GTATTATAATTTCCGGTAAATTTTAAATTTTACACTTTCCGGAAGAATTATAATTTTCATACAACCTTTCCGGAATTTTATTTAACTTCCGGAAATTTTTCCGGAAAGTTATATAAAAATAATTCAAACGGAGGAATCGTACTAAATTTATAAACTATTTCCGGAAAATTGTATAATTATTTAAATAACTTTCCGGAATTTTAATAAATAATTTCCGGAAGCATTATAATTTCTGACTACTTCCGGAATTATTTTTTCTATTTATTTTCCTATATAACTTACCGGAGAATTTTCCGGAAAGCCTTTCCGGAAATTTTAATTATATTTTTAATATTTCCGGAATAATTTTAAAAATATACAATTGACTTTCAGGAAAGTTTGTGGGAATACAAAAAAGCTTATAGTAATTTTATTTTTTTTATTAAAGGTGTCAGGCGACATCTAACGGCAAAGATGTTCTCCGAATTAAAGAAGCAAGATTTGGTAAATTTAATTTTTTCTTTTTAAATATTATATCCCGCTGTTCAAAATATAAAATTAAAAATAAAAATAACCTTTTATAATTTAAAGTAAGAGTACTTCCAAAACCAGAAGAAATACATGAGGCGAGGTAAAAATTTAAAAAATAAAAAAATAAAAGAAAAAATAGAGAAAAATAACATTATTAAAGTAAGAGTGAGATAAAATTTTAATCCCGGGCAGGCTCCGATCCTGCGACCTCCTGGCAGTTATTGCTAGGAGCTTTCGTTCACCACGTACAGGTGCTCTACCAACTGAGCTACCGGGACGCTGCTTTCGCCTTCTTTTTTTTTTTTATTAGATCTTAAACCCCCGCCTAGTGAGCGTTTTAAATGCTAGCCAGCTAAAAGCTTTTTCTTTTTTAATTAAATTATCAAAAATTAATTTTAATTAAGATATTAATCAAAAAAAAAATTTTTTTTTAAGTAGGTACAATGGAGCTCGAACCCGTGCCTTTCTAGAATTCGATTCCCCAGCACCAATAACTTCAGTAGGAAAATATCGTTGTGAGATAAACACAACAACAAATACAGAGGAGGGTGAAGAAAAAAGGGTTACAGTTGTAGGGAATTTATTTGTAAATATGCGCCCAGTATTAATATTAAATGCAACTACTAGATTAGATCAAGTAGAAGATGGAAATTTGTGAGAGAAAAAAATTGGAATTTAAAAAATATTTTTTTTGAAGTTTTTCTTGGATCGGCTCAGCCAAAACAGTACCATTAGGGGGTGATGTATTTATTGAATGCCCAGCTATAGGATATCCTTTGCCTGAGATACGATGGTTTAAAGATAATAGGCCGCTTAGTAAGTTTACAAATGTTGTGGAAAAATTTCCGGAATTGTAAAATAATTTTTATTACTTTCCGGAAAAGTGGAATTATTGCTTAGGTTACTTTACGGAAATATTTGATAAATTCCGGAAGGATTGTAAATTTTATTTTATCTTTCCGGAAGGATTGTAAAATTAATTTATTACTTCCCGGAAGGTTTGTAAAATTTAAACCTTTCCGGAAGGATTTTAAATTTATTCTAACCTTCCGGAAGGATTTTAAATTTATTCTAACCTTCCGGAGGGATTGTAAAATTAATTTTAACTTTCCGGAATGATTGTAATTTTAGCTTTACGGAAGAATTGTAAAATTAATTTAACCTTCCGGAAGGACTTTAAAATTATTCTACTACTTGCCGGAAGGATTGTAAAATTGATTCTAACAATCCGGATTATTTCCATTTATTTCCGGAACTTACACTAATTATTCTTCTAGATACTAGCGTTCTATTACCTCCTGATAAAATGCGTAAAACAATCTCAAGTCGTCGCAAATACGTATTAACTGCAAAAGCTTTGTATATTAGGTCAATAGACGTCGATGACGAGGCTACATATAAATGTTTAGCTACAAATTCATTTACAGAAGAATTTGGCAGACCACCACGAGAGTTTCAAGTTACCTTGGAGCATTATGTGAGGATTCCATGTGAGGAACATAAAAAAAATTTTTTAAATTCATTTTAGTCATATTTTAAATAAATTTACTAAAAATTAAGTTTATCTACTATTTTAGCTGCTTACAAATTATTTAATTCCTTTCGGAAAACATTTCAAAAATTTCCGGAAAAATATTGCAATATTCTTCGACAGAATAGTTTCCGGAATTATATTATCACCACAAAAATACATACCGTATTTACTGAAATAGTACGGCCTACTTTATTAGAACGGACCTCTCTATTACTACAGCCCTTTCGATGAGGGTTGAAAAATAGTACGGCCCCCTCAATTAGTACGGCCATTTGGAAGATTGAAAAATAGTACGCCTGGCCATATATCAGGAAATACGGTATATAGAATATAAAGGGGCTGGTATTTTTATTCTTCATTTACAATTTTTAAAACTTTCCGGAAATCGTATAATAAATAAAATCCTTCCGGATTTTATTCCTAAATTTATTTAAAATATGACTAAAATATAAATGTGTAAATTAAAACCTTTGGAAGGATTATTTTTCCTGAATTTTATTTATTTTTATTATTTTCTTCCCTATAATACAAACTTTTTTTTCCTATTTTTCGAGCTGACAAATTAAGACAAAGCGAAAGATTCACTTTTTATTTTTATTTTCCAAAATGATTGATGAAACTGGGGGAAGGCTGATTAAAAAATATGTACTTTTTGGTTAATATAAAGTTAAGGGGGCGAGGTATTTATTTTTATTTTTCATTCACATTTTCTTCTAACTATTTTTAATTTAGGTAGTAGCTATTTTTAGCTCTTATATTTTTTAAAAATTAATTTTCCTAATTTTTTATAGTAGCAATGTCTTGGATAATTCCTCTCATAATTATTATTGCAAGTCTTCTACTTTTAGCACTAATAATTTGGGGCTGTTCACAAAAAGACCGCAACAAGCGGAACCAATACAACGTTGCTCAAAAAGAGTGAGAAAAAAATTTAATTAAAAATTTTAATTTAAAAAATTAATTTTTTTTAAAGAAAAAAACATTTTCGCGCATCGGGAGGTGAGGGAGGTAGACCACCCACTGAGGATGAATTGGACGACTAAAAAAAATTTTTTTGCTGAAAAAATTTTTTGGAAAGAGTACTCAATTATACTAATTTTGTTTTGTTTCTGGCCGGTGCAATCTCAAAAATATAATAATTTTTTTTCATCAACTTTACGTGCAAAAATTTAAAAAAAAAACTGACAAAAACCTGTTCCTCTCAAATTTACATAAGTAGGGAAATTTAATTTTTTTTATTAAATTGATTTTCTTTTATTGTTTTTGTTTTATATTTTTTAGTACACTGTTAGATAAACAAAAAATAATATTTAATTTATGGTAAATTGTTTTAAACACTTTTTATATATTTTTATTTTCTAGTAAAAATATACAGTTATAGAAGGCTTAAAAATGCTGTAATAATTATTAACTGAAGTTTCCGGAAAGACAGAAATAAAATTTCCGGAAAAAAACAAAATTGTAATTTATTACAAAATTGTAATAAAATCGTTTCCGGAAAAGTAGACTAAAATTAAAAATTCTGGAAGGGAATAAAATTTAATAAAATATTTCCGGAAAAGTTGTATAAATAATTACAACTCTCCGGAAAAACAGAAATAAACATTTCCGGAAGGAATATAAACAATTACAATTTTCCGGAAAACAGAAAAAAATGTTTCCGGAAAGAAATAAAATTGTAATAAATTTTCCGGAAAAGTAGTATGAATAAGTATAACCTTCCGGAAAAGTAGAATAGATTCCGGAAATGTTGTATAAATGAGTACAACTCTCCGGAAAACAGAAATATTTCCGGTTGGAAACAAAATTGTAATGGGAATTCCGGAAAATAATAAAATTTCCGGAAAAGTTGTATGAATAAGTATAACCTTCCGGAAAAGTATATTCGTTTCCGGAAAAGTTGTATAAATAATTACAACTCTCCGGAAAAACAGAAATAAACATTTCCGGAAGGAATATAAACAATTACAATTTTCCGGAAAACAGAAAAAAATGTTTCCGGAAAGAAATAAAATTGTAATAAATTTTCCGGAAAAGTAGTATGAATAAGTATAACCTTCCGGAAAAGTAGAATAGATTCCGGAAATGTTGTATAAATGAGTACAACTCTCCGGAAAACAGAAATATTTCCGGTTGGAAACAAAATTGTAATGGGAATTCCGGAAAATAATAAAATTTCCGGAAAAGTTGTATGAATAAGTATAACCTTCCGGAAAAGTATATTCGTTTCCGGAAAAATTGTATAAATAATTACAACTTTCCGGAAAAATTACAAAAGTTATAAAATATATTTATATTTTTATCCCGTACAGAAAAAAAGACAAAAAAAGCGAAAAATTGGTAAAGTTGATATGATGCTTATTCTTAATTTTATATTATATAGAATATATATTATTTGAGAGTAATAAAAATAAATTTGTCTTAAAAATAGAAATCTGATTTTAACAAAAAAAAACTAAAAAATAAAAAAAAATTCTGATTTTAAAAAATAATTCTTGGAAAAAATATTTTTTACAAAAATAATTTTTTTTTGTAATTTTTACTTAAACAAAATATATAAATCAAACCTCACTATAGTGTATTCCATTGGGATCAGAAATGGGTCAGAACAGTCAGAGGTGTCGGAAATCGGAAGAGCTGGAAATCGGAACTGGCTCAAAAGTCGGAACTCGGAAATCAAAATTTTTCCGAAAATCGGAAAGAAAAAACGTTGGAAATCGGAATTCCGACACACCTCTGCTTGGGACTGAAAAAATCGTTTCTTATGACGAGGTGTATCTTAAATATTAGGGGGGGGTATCATTTAGACAGACTGGCCTCATTCCCCATAACTTGTGCGAACCAAAATAAAAAAAAAATAATTTTAAACAAAAGAAAAATAATTTTGAAGGGTATCCTATAATGAGGTTCGATCCTACTAATAATTTAAAAAAAATTATCTTTTTTTTTCTAAATTTTACCAACTTTGCCAATCTGTCGTATCTATTTTTGTTGTTTTTGATTTTTCAACTTCATTTTTCTTCCATTTTTCAGTCGGAATTGTAGGTGATTTTTGTCTAGCTAATATTGTTGAAGCAAAATTACCTCCTCCCCCTCCAAAATTTGAATTTGAATCATCTTCATGTTCATCCCCATAATTACTATTATTACTACTTGAAGTTATTGAGGATTTTGTTATTGAAGGCTTTTTAGGTTGTTGTTGTTGGTGTTGCTGTATTTTTTGTTGTTGATGATATTCTTCTTCTTCTTCTCCAAATAATAAAAGGTCGACATCTTCTAATAAAATTTAAAAATAATTTTTATTAATTAAAAAAGTTTTTGAAACAGCTTTTTTGAAAATTAAAAGAGGTCTAAATTTTTAAAAAATTTCAAAAAAAATTTTTTTGGAATTCTTAAAAAAATTTTCAAGGGTTCAAAAAAAATTTTTTTTTGAAATTTTTGAAAATCTCATTAAATTTTTAAAATTTTCATAAAAAAATTTTAAAAATTAAAACTTTGTTGTTGTGTTTGGCGATGAGTCATTTTAACTGCTCCAAGTTTTAATGCTTTTCCTCCTGTTGATGAGGCTGTGGTTGTTCCTTCAGTTATTGGTGGGCTTGGTTTTTTAGAAGAAGTAGCAGATTTAATTTCCAATGAAGATTTAATATTTGATGTTAAGGTTGCCTGAAAAATAAATAAAAAATTAACATTTTACAAATTGGGCATTTTGGAAATTGACCGTTTTGTAAAATTGGACATTTTGAAATAAATTTTCAGAAAATTTTTTAAAATTCCCAAACCTTGGCAGATACTAGAGGTCCCGCGCGGGTTTTTGCGGGAGTGAGGGATTTTGCGGGATCCCGTCCCACAATTCCGCACTTTTTTCGATTTGCGGGATTTTGCGGGGGTGAGGGATTTTGCGAAATTTATCCGTCGGGATCCCGCAAACACAATTTTGCCGGCCTCTAGTAGATACATAAAAAATTAAATTATTCTAAAAAAACCTCTTCATCATTAATAGATTCCCAACTATCGGCATCAATAGCACAAGTTCCCCCACCACTATTACCCCAATCATCGTCCTCATTACTAATATTTCTAGTATTTTTATTAATTTTGCCAATATTTTTTATATTTTCCTCTTCTTCCTCCACTTCATTTTCTGATAATTCTTCATCTCCCCAACCATCAGAAATTGCAGCAGAATTTTTATTAATATTTTGGGTAACCTGAAAAATTAATTGAACGAAAAAATCTGCTTTTTCTGGGTCAACAGCCAAAAGAAATAAAAAAATTTTTAAAAGTGATTTTCTAAAAATTTTTTCTGGGCATTTTTCAAAAATTTTTATTTCATTTTTCCTATCCATTTAAATTTAAAACCCAATAAAATTCATTTTTTAATTCAAAAATAATTAATTAAAAAAATTCTTAAATATATTTTTAAATTTCTGTGGACCCTAAAAAACAGGTTTTTTCAAAAAAATTTTTTAATTGGAAAAAAATTCTTTAACAATTTTTTTGGAAATTAAAAAAAAAATTTTTTTTGAGAAAATTTTTTTTGAAAAATTTAATTCAAAAATAACTAATTCAAAAATAATTTACAAAAAAATTCTTTAAAAATAAAAAAAATTTTTAAAATAAATTTCCTAACCTCCTTTTTAACCTCCATTTTATTAACCACACTTCCTTTGGATATATTCTTCTCATTTTCAATTTTAGTAGAAGATGCTTCTCGAACATTTTGTTGTTCAGTTGGAGTTGTCGTCTCGGGTGTTGTTGTAGTAGACTTATAAAATTTACCAGAAATTGCTTTAATTGCCCAACCAGCCCAATGAGGGACCTTTAATAATTTTTTTTAATTTTTAAAATTTCCAAAAAAACCTTATCTCCACTAAGCAACCCAACTTTTCCGCCGGCTTTAACTTGTGCTTCCATTTCAGCAATAAGTTCTGGGTTATCACTTGCTTTTTGGAGTTTTTCGAGGAAGCCGCTTAGAGCTTTGAATGTTTGATCTCGAACCTGAAAAAAAATTTTTAAAACTCGAAAAAACATTTTGAAAAATTTCAAGAAAATTTTTTTTTTTTGAAAATTTTAAAAAATTTTTAAAAATTTTCAAAAAAAATTTTTTTTGAAAATTTCCAAAAATTTTTTGAAAATTTCAAAAAAAAATTTCTTAAAAAGTTCAAAAAAAAATTTCAAAAAATTGTTCACTAATTTTCAAAAAAAATTTTTCTAAAAAAATTTAAATAAAAAAAACCTGTTTTTCAGGGTCAACAGCCAAAGGACTTAAATTTGGCAAAACTTTTTGAGCTACTTCATTTAAAGAAAAATATTGTTGTGTAGCACTTAAGGCAATAACACCAGACAATCTTGCAGGAGGAAATGGATCTTTTAAGGCACGTGTAAAAGCAGAAATTAAAATTCTTTGGCGATGACTGGCATCGATAAAACAACCAATCTTGCCGAGACACTAAAAAATTGAAAATAAATAAAAGGCCTTTAAAGGACCAATTAATCAAGGCAAATACTTAACGCTTATCAATATCTCATCAAGTAAAAATAAACGAAAAATTTTAAAAATTACTCGCGTGGTGTAGTGGTTAACACCCTTGACTGAACTTTTTGGGGGACCAAGGTTCGATGCCCATTGAGGGAAAATGGTTGCAATTTTTCCAATAATCCATTTTTAAATGATTTATTGGCTATGAAAACGCAGAAAAAGTTTTTAAAAAATTATGGATTAGTAGAATAGGCTTGGAAACAATACAATTATCGAATAAATTAAAAATAAATTTTCAATTTAAATTAAAAGAAACTAACGATTGTTGTATTTGTTCTAATGCTAGGTTCTGGATCTGATCCTAAAAAATTATTAGATATTTATTTAAGAATTTTTTTGGAAATAATATGATGAGATTTTCATTCAAGAAAATAAAAAAACCATTTTTGCCAAGTCGAAAATTTTTTGAAAATTTTTCAAAAAATTTTTTTTTTTGAAAATTTTTCAAAAAATTTCAAAAAAACCTTGTAATTTAGCCAAATATTTCATCAAATCATTATTTAAATTATTATAATTCAATTTATCTGCAAAAGAAACAATAGCTTTAACTGTGCTTTCACGAACAGCTGAATTGGAATCGAGAAAACCGGTAATTAAATTACTTGAAAAAAATGTAATTTTTTCTTAAAAATTAAAAAAAAAAACGAACGGATAAATTTTCTCATTGACAACCTGAGGTTTTAAGCGACTGGAAAACTCGTCTATTTTTTCTAGTAATTTGACCCTAAAAATTAAAAAAAATTATAAAAGATTTGAGTTTCAGGAATGTCAAGGGTTATCCAGAATCCGATAACCGGACATTTTTCCGATCTGAAATCCAAAACCTGATCCAAGAAAAATTTATTAAAATTTAAAAAATTATCCGAAAAAATTTTATTTTTTATTCAAAAAAATCCAAAAAACCCCGATCCAAAAAATTTTCCAAAATTTTATCCGACCTATTTTTCTATACCCGTGACATCCCTCTGGTTGATTTAATAAAATAAATAAAATACCGAGTAGTACGATCAGAAGAACTAAACAGTTTCACTAGGCAAGGAACTATTCGTTGTTGATACTAAAAAAAATAAAATTTTTTAGATAAATTTATTTCTATGGTCGTTTTTAATAATTTTAGGGGAAAAACTCGAAAATTTTTAAAATTCTAATGAGAAAACATTTTTAATACTTTTAGTGCACTTTTAAAATTTTTGGTTCCATTCAATAGAAATTTAAACGGCTAGTTATTTTGTAAGAAAACAAATATAACTTTGCAATATGAAGTTATGAGTCCTCTATTGAATGGAGAGATTGAATTTTTTCCAAAATTTTTCTTTACTTTTCCCATTTATAAGTGGATGAGAATATTAATTTATTTCTAATAGGGATGTCGGAACAGAAGAACCGAGGATTTTTTGGTCGGCTCTTCGGTTCGGTTTCGGATATCCGAAGAATTTCGAGGAACCGACAACCATAATTTCTAATATTAGTTGACTTTCATTAAAAGGCCCAGTGTCATCGACCACCTCTTATTAATAAAAAATAAACCCCATTAAAATTAAACCTCATCTTCATCAAGTAATTTGCCAAGTTTAAACATTGGAAGAAGAATATGCGCACCAGCATCTCCGTACTCATAAGTCTAAAATAACAAAATTTTGAAAAATATGAAAATTAAAAGCAAACATGAATAAGTTTCGGCAAAATTTTATTCCTTGCAATATCTTCAGGAAAAAGTTCCAAATTTGTATTTAAACGAACAAAAAAAGATTGTTTTTCTGGTGCTTCTCGAAGCTATAAAAATGATTAGAAATTAAAAAAGGGGAAAATGGTAAAAAAAAAGAATTATTTTGAAAATTTCAAGGGGGAATGGAAATCTTAAAAGGAAAAAAGAATCTCCTTTTAAATAAAAAAAATCGGTGATAGAGAGGAGAGGCGGAGGAGGACTGCTGTTAGTCACTCCAAAAATAGTCAAACTTAAATAAAAGGCCTATACTATCAGAAAATAGCTTCACAGACAAAAACAAGTCTAAAATTAACTAAAGAATTATTGACTATATCAAAGAATACGAAAAAAAAATTTTAAAGTCTCCTGAAAGTCACTTAATATTTTACAATTTTAAAAGTAGGGGAAGTGAAAGGGAACAAAAATATTGTCCCAAATTAAAAAAAAAAGCAGAAATTTAGAAAATAGATTGTCAAGAAATAAATTATTTAAAAAAATAACCTGAAATTCATCCAGAAACAATAAAGTATCGACAAATTTATTTTTCATAAAGCCACCATTTGCTCTACATTCTAAAAAAATATAATTTAAAAAATTCAAAAAAAATTTTTAAAAAACCATTCAAAATATCCCCAACAGTCATCACAGCTCGCAATTTTGCACATAGTCTTTTATATAAAGGATGTATTCTTTTAGGTATTTTTGAAAGAGCAGCAGGGGAAGAAATATCCAAAGAATCATTTTTAGTAAATATTTGAAGAACAACTGAGGCTAGGTCGTTTAAATCGACTTGGGGAGAGCTTTAAAAAATAATTAGAATTTTTTAAAAAATATTTTGAAAATTTAAGAAAAAATTTAGGCCCCTCAAAAAATATTTTTTATTGAGTAAAACATGTAAATTAATCCTCTAGAAAAAATGACTCAGTGGAAGGAGTCGAACCCTGAACTAACCCGACTCAAAATCAGACACCTTAACCACTCGCCCAAATAGAACTCAACAACAAATTAAATAATATCCCTAATGATTTAATTTAAAAATACCCTTAAAATTAATTTAAACAACCTTAAACTGCCTGAACTTTGAAAAGCAGCCAATTTCCAATCACCGGAGGAAGTAACAAAAATAGCATTTCGCATATTATTTTGAGACAATTTGGCTTCATTATGTAAAAATTTAAGGCAATTCTTTAAAAAATTTGAGAGAATTTTCAACAAAAAATTAATTCAAAACAGACCAAAACTTGATATAATCCCCAAGATACAACCAACTCTAATTGTGTAGAGGTCAATTTAGTTTCTGATAAATAATAGGCAAGAGGCCGGCAGGGTTCGGTAATTAAATAGAATGAGCCTTCAACCTAAAAATATTTTTGGAAAAAAATTTTTTTAGAAAATAGTAAAGGAATAAGGTTTTGCCTATTTCTACTTTTATTTATTTTATTTACGGGTTCTTAATGGCTACTATTGGATTTTGTAACATAATTCAGGGTCAGAACGTATTGCATCGGAGTAAAGGGACAGCCGTTAATTTTGAAGAGCTAAAGGACCCACAGAAAAGAAAAACGAGCTAGAACAAACTCAAAAGCTAGTATTTTAAGTGAAGTAGAATCGCTGACACAATTTCAAACATTTCAATCCCAAATAATGCTACAAAATTCAAAATACTTTAAAAAACCTGGGATAAACGAAAATGAAAAAAATGAGTGAAGAAGCAAAAAAATTCGAAAAAAAAAATTTAAAAAACCTCCAAAGAATCCAAATAAGCTAGCACATTAGGATGCCTCAGAGTTTTTAATTTTTGAGCTTGAATTTTAAGTGAAGTCGAATTTGCATTTAAAGTCCAAAAACAGGTTGCCTTTTCTTGAGGTTCTGACTGGAAAAAAAAGAAAATTAATCAAAACGGCTAAACTACAGTCTACGGTCCAGGCTCAGAATTGGACGATTTATATGTCATTCGAAAGAGCTCGGCGAGCTGAGTCAACGACACAAAAATTAGTGCCCTTCGCCTTAGCTCGCCGAGCTCTTTTGAATGACATATAAATCGTCCACTTCTGACAATGAGCCTGGACCGGAAACTGTAGTTTAGCCTTGAAAACAAAAAAAGAAACCTTTTTTAAACTTTTGCCAACATTTATTTGTTCTTGTGTAAGAACTGTAAAAGTCTCGGTAGGAAGTGAATAGGGAAATGATGTGCGCGGATCTCTAGAGAAAAAAGAACTTAAAACTGAAGACATTTAGTTTGAATAATTTATTTTTTAATCTAAAAACAAAAAAAAAGTTTTTAATCAACTCCACGTAATTACACAAAAATTCCAGCGTAAACCCGTTTTAGTTGACATTTTTATTTATTTTTGGCTAGTTGACAAAATGAAATTATTAAAAAAATAAAATGTCGTTAATTAACATTATGCCAAAATTGAGAGATTTTTTGATTTTTGAAAAAATATTTTTAATTACCTAATTATCTAACTCTAATTTTTTGTAGGTTAATCTGATCAAATCAGTCCTGTTAGATAAAATAATCCCCACATCAAGCGCTTTCGATTGATATAATAATTATTTAAATCGATTCGAGGTTAAAAAAGTTATGGTTCTAAATATAGCCTCAAGTCTGTAACGGTCAGAATCCCTCGGGTTTTTTTAATTTCTATTTTTTATTTTTTTATTCTTAGCTTTCTTGAAATAAAAAAATTGTTTTATTCAAAACATAAAACAAATTTTTAAATTAAATAGCTATGGAAACACAGAAAACAAATTAAGAAACTAGGGTTGATCCCTGACTCCCCAATCATCAAACGATATAAATTCAGTTCAAGTCTTCGACCTCTAACTCCGACAGTCCATTCATCAACATCCCCGTTCCCTGAAAAAAGTTTTCCCAACGGATCAGGAATGGTTGGGGAGACCTTGACTTGGGGAGACCTTGGCTTCTTTAAATGTTTCTTTAACGTTTTTTAACCTTCAAAAATTTAATTTTTTTCTTTATTTAATTTTAATACATTCACTTTAATTTATTAACCTTTTTAATTTAATTCAATTTTCTATTGAAAATTTCTTTTCACACATTTTATTTATTTTAATATTTATTTTCTCCCTTCATTTTCACCTTTTTTCTTTACCCTTTCTTCTCTTCGCGCAACTTTTCTTTTTATTTTTAACAAAAAAAAATTTTTTTCTAATTTATTTATTTATTCTTCAATCATTTTTCTATTCATCTACAAAATTTTATATTCATCTTTATTTAATAAAATTAATCACGTCAATTTATTTCTCTAAAAAGCCTTCAAATGTTCAATAAAAATTATACAAGCTTTAATAAAATATTAATTATAATTTTATTTTTTGTTCTATTACTTGAGCAAAATGTACTTACGGAATCACAGAAGGAACGCAATGAAAATGAAAATCCACGTAAATCCTTTTTGACTAAAAAATGTTCCCGTGGTGTAGTGGGTAACACGTTAGACTTGCACTTTCTTGGGGACCCGGGTTCGATGCCTGGTGGTGGAGGGTATTTTTTATTTTTATAGTAATTCTTTTTCAAGTTCTGTAAATCCGCGTAAATCCTTTTTTAGCTAATTTTTCAAAAAATCCTTCCCGTGGTTTAGTGGGTAACACGCTTGACTTGTACTTTTTGAGGGACCCGGGTTCGATACCTGGCGGCGGAAGGTATTTTCTATTTTTATAATAATCCTTTTTAAAGTGTTGAAAATCCACGTAACTCCCTTTTTAACTACCTTTATTAAAAAATGTTCCCATGGTGTAGTGGGTAACACGTTTGACTAGTACTTTTTTGGGGGACCCGGGTTCGATACCTTTCGTCGGAAAGAGTTTTCTATTTCCATAATAATTCTTTTTAAGGTGCTAAAAAGCCTTTGTAGTCTGTTTAATTAAATAAAAATTTTATTCAGACTGTTCTCTACCACACGATAAAGGTGTTGCGTGCTCTGGCACCACCTCTCCAAACCAAAATTCAAAACAATTTTATTACAATTCACAGACCGGTTTTTACCTATTTTTTAAATCTCAAAAAAGTTTAAAGGTCTTTGTCAACCTTTTATTTACAATGGATGTGAAGGAAACGATAATCGTTTCGAATCTGCTAGTGCCTGCAGAAAGGCTTGTAGTAGCAGTGAAAAGAAGGATCCGTGGATTTTAGGTAAATTAAATTATTTGGGGGGAAAATTGTAAGGTAAAAAAGAGGTTATGGACTGAGTTAAAGGAAAGGGGGAGGGGGGGGGTAAAAAATTTTTTTACATTTAAAATGACAGAAAATCCCATTTTGGATAATTTAAAGACAGAATGCCAAAACCCGGATTTTTGGTTTTAAAAATGAAACCTTAAGGAAGGTTTGTGTTAAACGACTATCAAACAGTTTTTTGAAGTTGACATCAGATTTGGCCCTAATTTTAAATTTTTCTCCCAGATATCACACTTTTCCCTAAGCACACAAAATTCCACGCCTTTAGAATACCTTTATTTACAAACAAATACTATGTACATACGACAATAATAGTGCGCAAACACAACATAGGGGCAATTACATAGACATATTTTACAATTGTGAACAAATATAGGAAAAACTACAATTGGTGACAAATACAAAGCATTAGAGCATTTTTATAGTATCACTTTGATGACTGCTCTCCGAGTTGGAACCATCCTTTCCTTTCTTCTTCTCTTCCGTGCCGCTGCACCATCACATCCCGCGGCGTCCCGTCCACTAGTTGCCGCCCTTCTGGCCCATAGCTTGCTGGAGCTGCTCCACGTAGGGATCGAGGTAGCCTGAAAAAAGGAGTGAAAGGATGAATTTTGATAGGGTTAAAAAAGAAAGAAAATTAGTACCGTATTTGTAGGCAGCAGCAACAGAGCAGACAATGGCGAGGAGGAAGATTACGACGGCGGCGCCCATGTTGATTTGTAGCTGTTGTTGAGAAGCACGAAGACGGAGTAGTAGTAGATTATGGCAGGTTGTGGAGAGAGTGTTCTAGAGGCTTTTATAGTCTTTCAGGAAGGATACCGGAAAGACTTTTTCCCTCTCAAAAATACTATAAAAGCAACTAGTCTTCAACCCTCTCTAACAACCTCGCCATACTCAGCGTGCTACAACGACTTCAACAGCCTTCACAACAACAAATCAACAATGGGTGCCGTCGTCGTGTTCTTCCTGTTCGCCGTTGTTGGTGCTGTTGCTGGCGCCTACAAATACGGTACGAATTTTTGTTTTTTTTTCTGTCTAAAACCCTCAAAATCCACCCTTTTTCATTCCTTTTTTAGGCTACCTCGATCCCTACGTGGAGCAGCTCCAGCAAGCTATGGGCCAGAAAAGCGGCAACTAGTGGACGGGACGCAGCGGGATGTGATGGTGCAGCGGCAACGGAAGAGAGAAATAAAAAAGAAAGGGCGGTCTCGATGCTTCGGAGAGCAGCCAGCCATCAACAATCCAATTAGCACAACTCATGTAACCAGCAAACAATGGCTTCTTTTGTGATATATAAATAAATATACACACACCTAATGCCTTTTTTGCTTCCAACTTGTGTTCCCTTTGCGCATATTTTTGTATACTTTTCCCCCTATGTTGTGTTTGCGCATTATTATTTTGTCCTATATATTATGCCTTTGTTTCTTGTTATTGTAATAAATAAATGACTGTCTTTTACTTAACTGTCACACAGATTGGCTCTGAGATTTTGAACTCTATCCTTAAAGCCAGGATTTCCCCTTAGATGTGTCAATTAAAAGCGTCCTTTCCTTTGATTTTGATTTTTTAGTCTAGAGAAGTTTGGCTCCCTTTGCTTGTCAAAAGCCATTGCCTTTATATCCTTTTGAAGTCTATCACAAGCATTTTTAATCGGAAGTTATCCTTTCCTTAAATTGGCTTTGTGGTCTTGTTGAAAATCGATCCTTAAATTCAGGATTTCTCCTTAGCTGTGTTAATCGGAAGTATCCCTTCCTTTAGATTCCCTCCTTAACTCCCCTACTTAAAAGAAAATTTCTTCCCTTTTAAAGCAAAACGTTGCAACGCTTCTTACCTCATCCCTGACGGCAACTACATTGAATGCCCTAAAGAAGGTGGAGGTGGATGTCCTGAAGGGCATGAATGCTCTCGTCAAAAAGGTGTTTGCTGCCCTACAAAAAGTTGTTTTTTAAAGAAAAAATTAAAAAGTTTCTCTTCAGAATTTTTGTGTTCGCTTCCCGACGATTCCGGTACCTTTGCTGAGGGAGTTCCAGACAAGCCCAGATTTGCCTGGAGTTCTCAAGTTAATTCTTGTTGGCGTTTTTCTTATTATGGAGCTAAAGGGAATTATAACAATTTCCCCAATTTTCAAGAATGCGTGAATTTTTGTGGAAATGAAAAATAAATTTGATGATGGGATGAAATGTCACTCTTAAAAAAATTTTTTTAATTTGATGCAATCTTTTCAATTTTTTATTTTTAAAATTCTGTCAAAAATAAAATGTCATTTTAATTATTATTTGGAAGATCAGTTGACTTAAAGCCTTCTTTCTATTTTTATTACCCCCTAAAGGCTTCCAGGCTTCCACTAAACTAGCTACCTACCAGCTACACTGGCAATCGATAAAAGCTTTTTTTAAGCTTTTTCTTTTCTTCCTTGTTCTGTGGCCAATGCTTTCAGTATAATTTTATGGCATTTGCCTCCGCGCTAGAGTAATATATCCTTCATTTTTTACTTATCCCTTACCATGAGCGAAAAAATTGACCCAAAATTAGTTAATCAAAAAAAATTTTTTTTAAATCTCTCCTCTAATTAAAAAATTATTTTACCCTTTATTAGACCGTTGTTAAATTACCTACATACCTACCTAGATTCATTTTTCTAATTTTTAGAAATTTTTTGGGTACTTTTCCGTTATACAACTGCAAACTGAGTGTCAGCGCGCTTTGATCGACTATAACTTTTTGTTGCTTTATCCAATACAATTGAATTTTATATCATTCGAAAGCCCTCGATAGGCTGTATCTTTTTTCTAATAGATTAGAGCAAGTCTGATCACTCATTAAAAAGTAATAACCCAATAACAACCTAAAATTTGAATCAAAAATGTCGAAAAATTACTGTAATTAAATAAAAACATTTCGCCAAAAAATTTATTTTTATTATTTTATTTAATTTTTCTCCTAAAAAATTTTTTTTTCAGACTTTATTTTAGTAATTCAATAAAATACAAGTTTATATTGAAGAATGGAAGACGATTTTTATGATGATAATGAACGCTGTTATGTTGATGTTAAACAAGGAACAAACAACAAATCTTCCTTTAAAATTGGACAGAAATTTCAAAAATTTATTCAGGTAGATTTCTTTTTTTATATATTTTTTTCTTAATTTGATTAGCCACTTGGTAGTGGTGCATAACTGCCTAACAACCCCTCCCTCAATTAAACATACCATACATTATATTTGCGGACTGTCCGCAAAAAATTTTTTCAAAAAATTTTACAAAAAAAGTCCGCAAAAAATTTGCGGACTGTCCGCAAATATATAGATGCACTTTTCTGTCCAAGGGTGTCTTATAATGATGTCCGATACTAATATTTTGTCTTGAATTAACAAAATCATGCCTATGATCCCTCCATAACCTCCCTACTATCACATCTCCAAATTATCCCAAGACAACATCAGACTTATTTTTAGGTCTTAAGACCCACCAAAGGATCATTGTGTTAAACTTGTCTCTTTAAAAATCCAAAAATATATATTTTCAAATTAATTTCCATGAAACTAATTAAATTTCAATGAAAAATAGCAGAACATTTTATTTAATTAAATGGTGCAAACCCTAAACTATTTAACCCCTCTCTCTCGAGTTTGGTCATTCATTTAATTTCCGTATGACTTTTTTTCATTTCATTGTTGTCCTCAAAAATATTTTCACGCTTTCATTATATTAATTACTTTGTGATATTCGGGTCATCGGAGAAAATAAAAAGAAATAAAATATTTACAAAAAAATTTGCGGACAAAAAATTGCGGACAAAAAAAATTTTTTGCGGACGTCTGCAAATATTTTTTTTCAAAAAATAAACTTGAGGGAATAAGCTTTTAGAAAAGTGTTCAGAAAATTTAAAATAAACTTGAGAACTCAAAAATATTTTTTTTCTGAAAATTTTCTCTACATGTTTAAACTGAATTTAAAAAGTTTTGTTGAATATTTAGCGAACAATGACGCTGTGAAAAAGTAGAAATTATATGAAATTTGTTTATGTATTGTTAAACATTAACTAACCAAATATTTCTTAATTTAAGTCCATTTTTTGCAGAAAATTAAAGAAAATAAATTTAAATTAAAAATTTGCGGACTGTCCGCAAAAATTTTTTTGTCCGCAAAAAATTTTTTTCGTCCGCAAATTTTGTCCGCAAATTTTTTGCGGACAAAAATTATATTTTATATTTATTGTCAGTCTGGTTCATGTGCTACTTGCATGATCTATTTTTTCCTCTTTTTAACCTGACCTATCTTTTAACACATTTTCCTTTTTGATTTATTAATTTAATAATTTGTGTGGAGAGACGAATTCTTTTTAACAGACGTTTTGACGGCAATATTTATTAAATTATTTAGATCAAAAAATATTTTTTAAAATTAATATTTGGGTTTAAAATTTGCACCCAACTTTTTTAAAAATATCTTTATGTTGCAAATAAGAGGATCTCTATATAAGGTACACCCAATATTAGATACCCCTCTATTTAATAGACATTCTATTTAAGAGACTTTGGCCATTAAGGGAAGGGACTTTATAAGTGGGAGGGGAGCTGCCTAAACGATACCCCTCTATTTAATATACACCTCATTATAAGATACTATTTTTTTGGTTTCAAGGGGGGTCTCTTATAGTGAGATCCGGTCTATAAAGTTCCCCCTCTCCTTTTTTAAAATTTCCAAGAAATAATTTTGGGGGATACCCACTTTTTTCTTGGCCAATAATCTTTGTAATTTAATACATTAAATTCACCCCTTCCCTTTTTTTAATCTTTGCGCATTTAAATGATAAGAGAAAATTTTTTTATTTTATGTGTTTTGCTCTAAATAGGCGTTTTTTCTGAATTTTTTCTTTTAATTAATTTTGCTTCTTTAAATTGTTGCAAAAATTGATGAAAATGGGAGGAATTTTTAAATTAGTTTTTTGGGAATAAAAAATAAATAGAAACTTTTAAATAAAGTCGGACTTCCATATAAGCTACACCTTAGGAAAAATCGTCTGAAAAATCGTCTCTTATCTCTTATACTGAAAAATCGTATCCAGTTGTCAAGAAAAGACGTTTCTTAAATTGAAGTATACCTAGTATTGAGTGTATATTGTAGGGAGGTGTATCTTAAATAGAGGTATCGCTTTGGAGGGAGTAGCTTAAATAGAGAGTATCTAATAATGAGTGTCTCTTATAAGGAGGATTTTTTAATTAAAATTAAAAAATTTTTTGTCCGCAAAAAATTTGCGGACAACATCAAATTTGCGGACAATTTAAAATTTTTAATAATTCTTTCTTTTTTCTAGCTTGTTCCATTTCCCTCCAAAACAAAAGAAACAAAGCAAAAACAAAAACAAAAAATATCCGCGCACCCACAGTCAACTACTACTACAAGTCACCCATCACACTCATTCTCTTCTTCTTCCTCCCCTTCCTCCCCAACAAGTACAATAACATTGTCTTTATCACAAGTAGCTAGTTTGCAACAAAATGAAGATTTATTAGAACCATTTACTATTGAACAAGAAGAAGAAAAAGAAGAAAATTTTGAATTTAATATTGACTTGGAAACAACAATGGAAGAAGAAAATAATAATAAAAATAGGCCTAAAATGCCCCCAAAAATGTTTTTGTCGTCAATTCCAATGAGGGATTTGGTTGTTAACAACAAACAAGGAGTGAGACATAATGTTGGTTTATTTTTAATTTTTGAGGGTTGAATGGGGAAAAAATTTTAAAAAATTTTGTCCGCAAATTTTGTCCGCAAAAAATTTGCGGACAAAAAATTTTTTTGCGGACAAAAAAATTTTTTTAACCAAAATTTTTGTTATTTTTGCCAAAATTTTATCGAGTAATTGACTAAAAATCCAAAAATGAAAATTAGATTTTCAAAATTGGATTACACAGAAATCAGAGTTATCGTTTGGGATCTGTCGAGTTTACCAGGAACCCGATCTGACTACCTATTTTTCTCGATCCTACCCAGCCCTGCTATTTAGCGTTTAATAATTTTTTTATTTTTAGGGTCTCTTGAGCTACCCTAAATTTTATTACTAAATTTTATTAATTTTTAAATTTATTTTTTTTTTGACTCTCAATCTTTGGTGTAATAGATCTATGGGGAAGGGAAGGGTTTTTAGGTGATTTTGATCCTTTTCTCGGGGATTTTTTTATCAAACTTTCTTTAAAAAATAATTTTAACAATTTTTTTAAATTTTTAAAATTTTTAAAAGACAAACATTAAAAGATAAAATAAAAGGGATTTTTTGTTAAAAAGTGTGAAAGGTCCTTTCTTTTAATAAAACAAAAATTTGTAAAGAAAAATTGAAAAGAAAAGGAATTTAAAAAAATGATAAGGACTACCACTACCACATAAACACAATATAGAACGATTTTTTGAGACTATTTAAATAAATATTTAATTTTATTAAAAATTCCAAAAATTGTAGATAACAAACCTAAAAAATATGCATTTTTGGGTTAAAAATTTTTGCAAAATTTAATTTAAATAAATATTATTTTGCGAATTGGTTCTATTTTTTGTGTTTATTTGTTAGTTAGTCTCCTATCATTTTTAAAAATTTTTTTGAAATTTTCTTTATTAACTTTAAAATTTAAAATGTCTTATAAAATTGTGTTTTTATTGTTATGTACATAAAAGTATTTCAAAGTCACTGATAGGGTTGCCGTTTTCAAGTCGGGCCGACGGTCGAGACATCTTTTTCGGGCCTAACTTTATCAAGTCGGGTCGTACGAGTCTTTTTCGGGCCAAATATCTTAGGCCCGATTCGATTTTTCAGTCCGAGTTGGGCAATTTTGGCAACCCTAGTTACTGATTTTTCTACCTATTTTTGATTATTTTCCTAAAAAAAATTTTTTTAAGAAATTTTTTTGTGTGTTACATTTCAAATAAAAAATAAATCAAAACAATTAAAAATATAATTGAATATACATAGAGACTAAAAAATACATATTTTGCTCACATGGATTAAATATATAAATGTGGGGGGATTTTTTCAACTAAAAAACATTTTTATCCTATTTTTTTGTGTCACATTTGATAGATTCTTTATTTTTAATATTTTTTTTAAATAAATTCTTTAATTTATTTCTGATTTTTTTTCAATTTTTTTCCGGAATTTTAACAAAAATTAAAAAAAAATTTTTTTAATTTTTCAAATTGATTTTTTCTTGAATTTTGATTTTTTTCTTAAACAAACTTAATTTAATTTTATAATTTTTTGAGAATTTCCATTTTAGGCCTTGAAGTTGAAAAAACAGCACAATTTACTTGCTCGTTTTATCTCTCTAGTTTATACCCCCCCCCTTCCCTTGAGAATTTATTTAAAACTTCATTAACCACCCTCCTCATCTTTCTATTTTACTTTATAAATTATGTATTTTAGAGTCTTTAAATTTTTTAAATTTTTTTAAATCTCTTCAGGGGGTACTAATAGTAAAGTCGAGCCTTATTTTTAGATACCCTTCTTTGACTGAAAAATTGTAGCTTATCTATTAGTAAGAGGTTCCTTAACAAGGTAACATCTCCCTCCACAAGTCGCCTACACATATGACCTGTATCTCCTGCATCTTGTGGTGAGTGTCCAACTAACTTCTCCATTCCCTACTAATTGTCTCCATCCCTCATCCATCCCCTCCTAAGTGTCTCAATCCCTCCTAATTTTCTCCTAGGTATACGTGTAATATTCAGGGGGTGGTGTTTTCGAGTCGGGCCAACGTTCGAGTCATTTTCGGGCTTCGGCTTCGATGCCCGAGCTTCAATGCCCGACTCGATCTTTCGGACCGGACACCAAACTCTACAAGTAATATTCACATCCACGGGTAATATACCTTCTTATTTCCTTTATTTTTATTTTCCTTTCATTTTTGGTCATTAAATACCCTTAAAAACTTAAAAAACATCTTTTCTTCATTTTAATCATCTTTAAAATTATTTTATCCCCTTATTTTCAATTTAAATATTCTTATTTTATATCCTTTTCTTCCCTTTCACTCTTTCCCTCCCTCCCGTACCACGCGACGGCTCTCTTAACTAACCTCTTGTTCGGGATGCTTATTTTTGCCAATAAATACATTTATTTTATTTTTTATTCCCTTCATTTTTATCCAAAATTTACTCAATCATAACTATTTTTATTTAATCTGAAGAAAAAAATTTTTTTTCCGACTTTTGCTTAAACTATTTTTTTATCAAAAATTTTCAAGTTCCGTTGTATTTATTATGATAATTTTGGCAAAAGTAAGTAAAAGTTTCATCAAAAATATTTTTTGGTAACTTTAAAAATTGGAAATCTTATTATGCAAAAGTTGTCCATTTTTCCTTTAAATTATGTAAAAATTACAAATTCAGTAGTTGTTCACTTTTAAATTGCTTCCTTTCCTTGTCATTTTTTGGTAAACACTGAATTTTAGTGACTAAAAAAGTACTTTTCTCCTTTAAAATTTTTTTGATAATCCATCCACTTTTCCTTTTTCGATCATTTTGGGTTAAATATTAAAATTGGTGACTATACTCACTATTTTATTTTTATTTTTACTTTTAAATTCGTCGTCATTCAATTTTTTTTGATGACTTTTAAATGTTTTCGAAGCTAAATTATTTTTAAATATATTTTTTAGAATGTTTCCGTTAAGATTGTAATTTAATTTAGATAATTTCCGGAGAATTGTAAAATATTTTTAGGATTTTCCGGAAGTTGTAAAATATTCGGGATGTTTCCGGAATTTTTTTTAATATATTGACTGTTTCCGGAAAATGGAAAATATTTATAACTGAGAGTTTTTCCGGATGTTTGGAGTTTTGTGAATATTTCCGGAAATGTTGTGAATATTCTGAATGTTTCCGGAATTGTAAATATATTTTTTAATAATGTTTCCGGAATTGTGAATATTCTGAATGTTTCCGGAATGTAAATATATTTTTTAATAATGTTTCCGGAATTGTAAACATTGAATGTTTGTTTCCGGAATTGTAAATATTTTTAAATAATGTTTCCGGAAAATTGTAATAATGATTTAAATATTTTTCCGGAAACATTGTAGATATTTTGAGTGTTTCCGGAATTCGTATGTTAATGTTTCCGGGATTGTAAATTTTTAATGTTTGTTTCCGGAAAATTGAAGATATATTTTAATTATTTTCCGGAATTTGTAAATATTTTTGATTGTTTCCGGAAATTTCTAAAAATAAATAGAATATTTTCCGGAAATGTTGTAATATTCTGAATGTTTCCGGAATTTGTATTCTAATGTTTCCGGAATTGTAAATAGGTATTTTTGATTGTTTCCGGAAAATTGTAAAATGCTTTTAATTATTTTCCGGAAGTTTTAAATATTTAATGTTTTTTCCGGAAAATTGTAAAAATAACTTGAATATTTTTCCGGAAATGTCGTAAATATTTGTAAATGTTTACGGAATTGCTGTAAATATTTTGAGTAAGTTTCCAGTATTTATAAACATTTTTGTTTACGGGAATTTTAAATATTGTTTAATATTTCGCGGGTGTAAATTAAATTTTATTTCAATTTTTATTTAATTATTTTTATAGATGCCTTCTTCAGTCTCTTCAATTCCTTCACCTACTCCACCTACAAAACCTCCACCCCCTCCACCATCGACAGGATCATCACGACGTTCTCGAATATCAAATGTTTGTCCACCAACTAGTTCAAAATCTTCTTTTCTTGTTTCTAGAACACAGGTAGAGGAACCAAACAAATAATTTAAGATTGGAAATTTAAAATTTTGTCAGATTCTTTTAACCCTTATTGCTTTTCTCTCCGTCCTTTTACTTGCTATTCTCTTCACATTTATACTTACTCGAGATGTTCTTTTGAGAGAATATATTGAAGGAAGGATTGCGGATGATGACAGTAATATTAATGAAAGTAAATCGTTTGATGGAATTATTTCGACAAAGTTGCCTGAAGTTGCGAAACTTGTAGGGAGAGTACAACATGAAAGGGCGACTGATATGTTAGTTTTTTCAGAAATTTTTTTTGAATTTTTTTTACAGAATTTTTTTTCAGAAAATTTTTTTCAGAATTTTTTCAGAATTTCAGAATTTTTTTCAGAAATTTTTTTTCAGAATTTTTTCAGATTTTTTTGCAGAAGTTCAGAATTTTTTTTTCAGAAATTTTTTTTCAGAATTTTTTCAGATTTTTTTCAGAATTTTTTCAGAATTTTTCTGATTTTTTTAGAATTTTTCTGATTTTTTTTTTGAATTTTTTTCAGAATTTTTTCTCAGAATTTTTTCCAGAATTTCTGATTTTTTTTCAAAATTTTTCAGAATGGACTAATATATTCTTTTAATTATAGAAACCGCTTTCGTGTTCCCGGCAAATCATTGGTCGCTCCAGCAACTTCTAACAACGAGACTTTAGAGGAGGAAGATAAAGAGGATGAGCAAGAGAGTAGTGTTAGTACGACCGCTGAGGAGCCTGGAGCCGATGAATTACGACTTTCTGGAGAGGTGAAATTATTTCAAATTTAAAAATTAAAATTTTAAACTTTAAGCTTTACCCAATTTGGTATAATTTAACAATGAAAATATTTGTTCCTGGCTTTGGTGCACAAATTCCTGACGAAAACAATTTAACTTTTAATGGGGATTTACTCATGAAGTTCCGTGTTGAACAAAGCACACGTCGAATAGAATTAAATGCTCTAAAGCTTTCTTTTGATCGGTTTAATCTTGAAAAGTATCAGTTGAATCGAGTGGATGAGAGCAATCAAAACATGTCAAAATCGGCCCCTAAAGTTGTTGAAGTCAAAGTTGATGAAGCTAGAGAAAAGGTAATGTTTAGAATAATTTTATAAAAAATATCAATTTTTCAGGTCTTTTTTGAGTTGGACGGGACATTGGAGAAAGGCGATGTGTACCTCTTTCGGGTATTTTGCTTTATTTACTCGATCCAAATAATATTTTCAATATTTTCATCAGATTCCATACACAGGACCAATCGCCTCCAAACTCTCTGGCCTCTATTTAACAACATACACAACACTTGCTGGTGAACATAAATGCGCGGCAGTTACACAAATGGAGCCTACTGATGCGAGAAGGATGGTACGGATAAAAATTGTCAAAGATGTAAAATAAATTTTTTTACAGGTGCCTTGTTTTGATGAACCACATTTTAAAGCTATTTATCGTCTCAATATTATCCACCCTTTTGGCTCTAGGTATCTAAATTATTTATGTTTGGAAGCGGTATCAAGGATGTCAGTAGATGTCCTTTTGGCTTAGAAGGATGTCCTTTTTGATGTCCTTTTCCTTTTCCTCCTTAGATGTCCTTTTGGAGGGTATCAAAGGTCGCGCCTAATCGTCGTGCGGCCCGCGCCTAATCGGGCTGTACCCATCTTGGTATACTCAACGATCGTTGTATTTTGGATCGTGATGAAGCGCCATTTTATGAATTTTTACCACTGACGACATTTTTTGGTTTTTCCAGAGCTGTTAGCAATGCAAAAGAAATTCGTGATGGAGTGGCTACAGACAATGAAGAATGGATTCAAACTGATTTTGATGAGACCCTTCCAATGTCTTCGTATTTGTTGGCTTTGGTAGTCTCCGACTTTGATTATGTTGAGGGATATACAAAGCGTGGAATTCGAGTAAATATTTTTGATGATTGGAATTTATTTAAATTTTAAAGTTTCGTATCTGGGCACGTCAAGATGCTGTAAACTTTACTTCTTATGCTTTACAAGCCGGAATTCGAGTGTTGGAATTTTATGAGGATTATTATGGAATTGAGTTTCCCCTTCCAAAACAAGATATGATGGCATTTCCCGACTTCGCTGCTGGAGCAATGGAAAATTGGGGATTGGTGGGGATATTGTTTGAAATTATTTTTTAAATTCCCCCCTCAATTTAAGGTCACATACCGCGAAAAATATCTTCTATATAGCCCAGAGTTATACACTGCTCAACAAAAGATGGCTGTTGCCTCAGTTGTCGCTCACGAATTAGCTCATCAATGGTTTGGTAATTTGGTTACTATGCGTTGGTGGAGTGATTTATGGCTTAATGAAGGTTTTGCTACCTTGATGGTTCGCCTCTTATTTTCCACTTTCAGTGTCTTCAAAAAATTATTTTTAAGGAATATTTGGGCACAGATGCAATCAGCAACGGGGGCTTTAGAATGCGTGATTATTTTATTATCGAAGCATTAGACTCTGCTTTCGACCGCGATTCTCGTGCAACATCCCATCCTCTATTCTTTGAAATTCGAAAGGCTGAGGATGTTAGTGAAGCTTTCGATTCAATAACTTACAGCAAAGGTGCAAGCGTTTTGAGGATGATAAGATCTGTGATGGGTGAAGAAAGCTTTAAAAATGGACTAAATGTAAGATTCGAAATCCTCTTGTATCTAATAAATTTTCTTAAAGATCTACCTAAACCGTTTCAAATACCATAACGCCGAACACTCTGACCTGTGGGATGCATTAACAGAAGCAGTTCCCCAACATTTACTTGATAGCGAAGGACAACCTTTTAATGTCAAAAATTTTGCAAAATATTGGACAGAACAAACTGGATTCCCTGTTGTACAAGCAAGTTTTAATTTAATAAAAAATAAATTTAAAGGAAAAAATAAAAATTTATTTTAAAGGTAAAGCGAATTTCTCCAAACAAAGTTTTGTTAACTCAACAACGTTTTCGTTTAGATCATATAGTCGGTGATTATAGTATTGATGAAAAAGGGGTAAAAATTGACAAAAACAACAATAATACATTTAATATTAAAAATCAACAAAATAATCCAAACAATTTAACAACAACAAACATTAATTTAAACAAAACAAGTTTAATTGTTCAACAAAAACAAGTTGGAAATGTGAAACTTGAATCGTCAAAGTTAATAGAAAATTCTGGTAAGTTTGAACTTATAAAGTTTAGTTCAAGTTTTTAAGTTCATACTTAAAATTTAGATAGAGTTTTTAAGTTTGAACTTAAGTTTTAATAATGTTTTTGTTTTAATTCAAGTTTTTAAGTTTGAACTTAAGTTTTAATAATGTTTTTGTTTTAATTCAAGTTTTTAAGTTCGAACTTGGGTTTTAATAATGTTTTTGTTTTAATTCAGGTTTTTAAGTTCGAACTTAAGTTTAAATAATGTTTTTGTTTTAATTCAAGTTTTTAAGTTCGAACTTAAGTTTTAATAATGTTTTTGTTTTAATTCAAGTTTTTAAGTTCGAACTTAAGTTTTAATAATGTTTTTGTTTTAATTCAGGTTTTTAAGTTCGAACTTAAGTTTTAATAATGTTTTTGTTTCAATATAAGTTTTTAAGTTCGAACTTAAGTTTTAATAATGTTTTTGTTTGATTTTTAAGTTCGAACTTTAGGTTTTAATCTTTAATCTTTCAAGTGTAACCTAATTTTTAATTCTAGGTTTTAAGCTTAAATTTGTAATTTTTAAGTGTGAACTTAAGCAAATTTAAGGCTTGAAGGATATAAAATTACATTTGGACAGAATGCCCAATTTTTAAAAATTTTCAATTAAATTTAAAAATTTTTTAAAGGTGAGAAAAATTTACAAGACGATGAGAAGAAAAATGAAGAGGAAAAGGAATTTAAATGGGATATTCCTATTTGGTGGAGTATTAATGGAACAGATCAACCAATGCTTTGGTTAACGAACTCAACAGAATTGGAAACGAGTGCTGGGGATGTAATTGTTTTAAATATTCGTTCTCAAGGATTTTATAGAGTGCAATATGCTCCTGATGAAATGGAACAAATCCGACAACAATTATTTGATAACCATACGGTAAACAATTAATTGGGGGTTTTATTGGGAGTTGGAAGAGACAGTGAGCAATTAATTGGTTTAATGAGGTTGAAAAACAGTTAGGTTGGAAAAAATTTTCATGGGGGGTCAGAAGAAACTGTGAACAATAAATCTGCTTTTTATGAGCTTAGGAAGGCAGTGAACAATTAATTGTTGCTTAGGTCGGAAAAATATTGAGTTAAGAAAATAATTTGTCTTATGGGGGTTTGAGAAAACCTTGAACAATTAATTGAATTTTTGAAACAATTAGTTGTTCAATTAATTTGTCTATGCCCCTATAGACTTTTTTATTTGTTATTCTATTAATTTTCTACAAATTATAGAAACTTTCAATGGGTAGCCGTGTACGTATAATTGATGATGCTTTTACATTAGCTGAGGGTGGTTATTTGCCTTATGAAGTAGGGATTGTTTAAATGATTAAATAATTATTTTTTAAAGGATACTTTAAATTTAACTCAATATTTGGCAAAAGAAGAGGAATACCCACCTTGGGAAATTGCTTTAACTGGTTTTAATGTAATACAAAGTTATTTTGATGATGAACCAGAAACTGAGGATTTGAGGGTAAAAAAATAGAAAATTTTTGAGGAAATTTTTTTGAAAAACTCGTGAATTGAGGTTAAGGTTGACCTCAGATTCGTCGGATAGAATTTTTTCGAGGAACGGGGATGTCGGGTGAATGAACTGACGAGAATCGGAGTCGGTGAATGAGCTGTCGGGGATCAGAGTCGTAGAACGGTCTGAAAATCGTTGTCAGGTGAGGAAGGGAAATCGGGTTCTGTCAGGCGAGGAAAGTGAAATCTTGCTCTGTCAGTGGAGGAAAAGAAATCGGGCTCGTGGACAAATTATAGAATAGCTGAAAGTTAGGATAACATTATTAAACTTATTCTGATTTAAAAATTAAAACTAAAAAAATTTAAACAAATTTACTTTTTAATAGGCTTATATTAAATTATTAATTGGTGACATTTTTGAACGTGAATTAGATAAACTTGCAGATTGGGAACCTGGAGATGGAGAAAAACATTTCTTTAATGAGTAAATTAATTGATTTAAAATTATTTAAAAAATTTAATTTTTTAAAGTTTACTTCGTCAACGAATAATTCAAAGAATGTGTACTTTAAGAGATTCGCGGTGTATAAACGCCATTCTTGATATTTATCGGCGTCAATTTGTGGATTCGTGCACAGATTTTATTTCAACAGAAAATAATGGGAATAATTCAGGGTGAAGATTTTTTTGAGAAAAAATTAATTTTATATGTCGGGATACTGAGGGATTGTGATAGAGGGATGTGTTTAGGAAATTTAAATCGGTGCCAAATAGGTGAGGGATTGGGGATATTTGAGAATAGGTCAAGATAAAGATTTTGGGGAGAAGCTGGGATAAGTTTTCGATAAAAGGTTGGATAAGAAGTCTCAGCTCGCCGTGATGAATCGAGTGACTTATAATTCGACCCGTTTTGGAGCTGGCCCTTCCACAGTTGATTTTGGAGAAAAGGATAGGATAAAGATTTTGGCTCTTTAGTTAATTTCACCTCAAATTTTTTTCTATTTTCTTGTTTAGATCACCACCTTCTTTACCACATAAACCAGGAAGAAAAATGGCTAGTCAATGTTCCAAAATCCCTGTACCTTTCCGAACTCTAGCATATTGTGAAGGTGTTCATTATGGAACGGAACAAGATTGGAATTTAATTTTGGAATTATTTAGAAATGAAATTGTTCAAGTAGAGAAGGAACGTTTACTTGTTGCCTTGGCATGTTCTAGAGATACACATACTTTAAAAATGTAAATTTAATTAAAATTTTTTAAATTTAAATTTTTGAAGGGAGATTGATTAAGAATGAAGGTTTATCACTAAGTTTGCTAAAATGTACCAACTCGGACCGAAAGATCGAGTCGTGCCTAAGATATTTGGCTCGAAAAAGACCCCGACTCGATAAAAAGAAGCCCAAAAATGATTCGACCATCGGCCCGACTCGTAAACGGCAACCCTATTTATCACATCTTTTTAGATTTAAAAATATTTTGAAATATTTTTTAATCAAAAATTGGGAGGAAAAAGTGTAAAAAAACAAAGCTGCTTTTTCTCCAATTGGGAAAAATCCGATTAATGTTGGCTTTCGAATGGTATAAGATTTACTTTGATGGGATCAAGGCTAATTGTTTAACGTTAGCTGGCACTCAGTCTTAGTTGACCCGTTCCTTGAAAATTTACTCAAACTTCTTCTCATCCTCTTAAAAATTTTCAAATATTTTTTAAGGCTTCTTACAATGGCCAGTGATGTAAATAGTACAATTATCCGTTTACAAGACAAACCTTCAGTATTTACACATGTTGGAAGTAGAATTATTGGAAAGAAAATAATTTTGGATTTCTTTATTGATAGATGGCCAAGAATTTATCAGGAGTAAGAAAAGAGGGGGAATTAAAAAATTAATTCCTTTTTAAAGCTTTAAAGACCAACAAACTTTATTACGTTCAATTATTTCTTCATCAATTGTAGGCAAATCTCAAAGGGTTATTGATCAAGTAGAAAACTTTCTTCGTGAAAATCAAAAAACTACAAAGTGGGAAAATTTTTTTTTTTTGATTTTTAAAAAATTTTCCCAAAAAAATTTTTTAAGGAAAAATTTTAAATCCAAAAAAAATTTTTTTTAATTTCTAAAATTTCTTGGAAAAAAATTTTTTTGGAATTAAGGAAATTTTTTTGAAAAAAATTTTTTTTGAAAAATTTTTGAAAAAAATTTCTTGGAAAAATTTTTGGAAAAAATTTTTTGGAAAAATTTTTGGAAAAATTTTTTTTTGGAGTTTAAAAAAATTTTCCAAGTGAATTTTTTTCGATAAAATCCAAATTTTTTTCATCTTTTTTTAATTAATTCAATATTTTTTTCAGAAATCTGGATGTATTTAAACAACGTTTGGAAGTTCTTCAAACCAATACACGTTGGATACAGAAAAATTTTAACAAATTAGCCCAATGGTTTAGGTAAATAAATATACATATTACTTAAAATTTCAAAAATTAATTTTAGAGAGCATAATGGTCAAAATGGGAAAACTTTGCTTTTAAACGAGGAGGAAATGCAAGGGGGCCCATTCCCTTCGCCTATTATGGCAAAATTTAAATAAATTTATTATATGTATTTTTAATTTTAATTATTATTAGGGTTTTTAGGGGAAAGAAAATTTTTAGGAGAAAGAAAATTTTTAAGTCTGAAAGATTTTTAAGTTTGAAAATTAATATTGTATTCCTGAGAAATAATGTTCCCTTCACTCTACCATAGAGTGAAGGGAACATTTTGTTCATAAACTTTTAAATTTTTCTGGTCTGAAAATTTTTCTGGGTTGATGTTTCTATTCCTCAATATCAAATAATTATTGTTAGTAAGGGATGGAAAGGTTCCGTAACTGGAACCGGCTCCAGAGAAATTTTGGAACTTTTCCATTACTGATTTTTGTAAAGGATATCCCTGTATATTTCCGATTTTTTTAACTAAACATTTCTGCATTTGATCAGTTTTTTGAGCAGATCGATCTCTACTGGAAAATATATTTTTACTGTTTAAGAAAACAATTTCAAACCCTAATAGTAATTTATACCGTATTTATTCTAATATAAGCCCACTTTTAATATAGGCCCATCTGAGAAAACTCATTGAAAAATATAAGCCCAGGGCTCATATTAGAATAAATACGGTATATATTTTTTGTTTTGTTGCAATTTATTTTGGTCAAATAATTTTTTTCTTGGTGTTTTTATTAAATATTCCACACATTTTATCTCATTCAATTGTCGCGCAATCTTTTTTTTCTTTTCTTTTAAATTTTAGTTTTTTTTGAAAATATTAAATATTTAATTGCTATAAAATTTAAATTTAGTAGAATAAAAAATTTATATAAAATATGTTAAATAATTATTTAATTATGAAAAATTCTGTTAGGTTTTGAGCTTATAAAGGTTAGCACAGGCTTTTAGGTTTGAATTTTTAGGTCAAGTTATTATTAGAGTTCGAGATTTTTGAAAAGCCTGGGCCTGTTCCTGGACTCTAGGTTTGATTTATTAACCTAGGCAGGATTCCGGGCTTGTAGTCAAGGAAAAATCCAGGCCCAGGAAAAACGCAGGAAGGTAAAAAAAAATGCCTAGGCCTGGACTCTGGGTAAAGGAAAAACTCAGGCCTTGGAACCCAGGCCCAGCTAGATCTCTAGTTATCATTATTAAATTTTAATTAAAACTTGATTTATATTTTAATTTTAAACCTACAGAGGTTTAAATTTGAACTTGAGCAATTTTTGTAAGATGCTACCATGTTCCTTTCACTCTACAATGTTCCCTTCGCATTACCCCTTTTCTCCAAAATTATTCAACCAAGCTTTTATCCAAACATTTACATAAATAACTTGTTTATCTAGTTATTTTTAATTCGGATTAATTCGTTTTAGACTTGAAAAAAATTTTTAACTCAAAACCTCAAATTTCGAAATTCTCAAACAAACAATCAATCACTTTAAAAAACTCATGATTGCCAAATCAACTGATTTAATCAATAAAAAAAATCAAAAAGCGTGGCCATTAGGCAATGTTGATTTGACAATATCCCCTCTCTATAGAGAAAGAAAAAAGGAGAGATAAGAGGGATAATGTAAAAAAAAAGAAAATTCTGGATTTATTAACATTGCGCAAGGCTGTTTGCGCAGCCTATATTTTCCCTCTCTTTCCTTATCCTCCACCTATTGTATATGTACATATTTGCCACATCATCCTGCGCTAGTTGGACGTCCTCTTGATTGCTTTCCCTTTCCTTAACAGCACTTTTAAATTTTTTTATTAGACGTTAAACAATTTTAGGGGTAACTTGTTTATATAAATTTTTGGGGGTTTTAATTTTTAAAAAATTTAGATGAAAAGTTTTGTGCTAATCATTCTTCTACAAGTCTTTGTTTTTACAAAAGGAGGTGGCGAAAATCCGGAAACGAATTTAGGTTGGTGAAATTTGAATTAAAAATGGCCAGGATGTTCCCTTGCAGTCAGGATGTTCCCTTTACATTACCTTGGGGTTCCCCTCGCACCACGGAGGGAACGGAGGGAACTCTCTTCACTAGCCCAATACTCCCTTTAATAGTATCTTTAAATGTTCCTTCCTAATGTTCCGTTCGCACTACCCCAATGTTCCCTTCGAACTACCCCAATGTTCCCTTCACACTACCCCTAATGTTCCCTTCACATTACCCCAATGTTCCCTTCACATTACCCCAATGTTCCCTTCACATTACCCCAATGTTCCCTTCACATTACCCCAATGTTCCTTCCACATTACTCCAATGTTCCCTTCACATTACTAATGTTAGAAAATAACTTTAAAAATGCCTAGCAGTTCCACCAAATACAACAAAAACAACACCTTCAGAGGTTCTTAGTCAACTGGCTCAATCTTTAACTCCATCTCCTGAAAGCCCTAATACTGTAATGCCAGTACCTCCTCTAAATGCGACAGTGGATGTTGGGGTACCTCAAAGCGAATTAACTATGACAACAACAACTATGCCTACAACTATAACAACTGAAGAAACAACAACTACAAACACTACTGGAGGTTGTTTAAATGATTGTTAAGGGATAAGACTTATTTGTTAAAATAGGACAAGATTAGAGGAAAGTTGTTCAGAGGGGGGGGGGGGGGTTAAAGAAGAAAATCTCTCAAGTACAGGAAATCTAGAAAGCATCACATCATGTTCCCTTCACATTACCCTGATGTTCCCTTCACATTACCCTGATGTTCCCTTCGCATTACCCTGATGTTCCCTTCACACTACTTTTATGTTCCTTTGGGGAAGAGGATTCTTTCTCCCTTTGAAGAGGAGAGTTTGAGGAACTCTTCCTTTGAGAAAGAGCCTCTTCCATTTCCTTATCTAAAAAATTTCAAAAAATTTAAGCACCGTCAACCGAACCAACGCATACTTCATATTTCATCATTGGCCCACCAGTTCAAGATGTGGTAAACACCAATACACCTACACCTGAAACAACTCCTACAACACCTGAAGTTCCCACCACAACAGAGACTCCAACTACAACACAAGCCCCAACTACAACAGAAGCTCCAACAACCCCTACAACTGAAACAACCACTACTACAACTCTCCCTCCTCCAAGCCCCGCCCCTCAGCCTCCATTTGCAGGAGCTTCAACTGCAACAATGACTTGGAGTATAATGGCGATTTGTTTGACTATGGTTTTGTTGGCTTTGAGTTATTGAGGAAGTGTATTGAAGCAAAAAATCAAAGAAGGGAAGTATGGAAGATATGATATGATTTTACTGGGGAAGGAAGCCCCTCAGCCTCCAATTGTGGGAGGAAGAACACCAACCAAATTTTTGTATTTTTTAAAATTTTTTCCCTATTCAAAACTATTTTTTAAAAGATTGATTTTATTAAATCGCTACAAGTGTTACTATTTATTTTTTTAAGTATGTATTATTTATTTTTTTTTATCCAGTAAACAGTATAAATTTACCCAACTTTATTTAAGTGTTTATATGGCGCACAAGTTTAGTTTTAATTCTGTTCTGGGAAAATATTGTTCTGATTTTGTTTTGAAATTATTCTGATTTTTTAAAAATCGTTCTGATCTTATTCTGGCTTTATTTTTAATTATTCTGATTGTTCTATTTTATTCTGATTTTGTTTTGATTTTATTCTGAACTTGTTCTGATTTCTGATTTTATTCTTATTTTTATTCTGATTTTTATTCTGAACTTGTTCTGATTTCTGTTCATTTCCCCTTATTATATGTATTCTGATATTAAAAATCAGAAAAATTATAAAACAAAATCAGAACTAAAAATATTCTGGCATTTAAAACAGATTTCACATCATTTATCTAAACCAGAACAGCTCCTTCTTTCTCATCAATCTTTTCATTATTAGTAACATCAATAAATTCATCATTATTGCTATTATTTTCTTCTTCTCTTCCAAATTTAGTAATTTTATTAGGTATATTTTCATTATTATTTCCATTCCTTCCATAATTTCCCCCTATTCCATAACCAAAAAATGTAGCCAGTTGTATTGGGCCTTTTTTCTGAAATTTTATTTGTTCTTCCTTTTCATAGCTAGGCGGAAACATTTGTATAGGTATTGAGGGGGATGAGGCTATTGAAGGGGAGGAGGCTGGTAATGATGATATTTTATTTATCTGTATTTGTCCATATGCTTTATTTTGCTCCTCCTTTATAGGCTTAAATAAGGGTTGTTCTGTTGCTAAATTGTAGGTAGTCAAGTCTTGTTTTATTGGGATTAGGGTTGGTGGGGGAGGTGGAGATGTTATTGGTGCGGGGGGTATAGAGTAATGATATTTTGAGGTTGTTTGTTGTTGATAGAAGGAATCTTAAACATTGAGGTTTATTTTGGAGGTTTGGAGGGGAGGGGGGTGTAGCCCAAGTCTTGGAACGTTGAATGGAACCCAAGGATTTTGGCAAGAATTTTCACAAAGATGGCCCTATGTCCATAGCATTTGTATAGGTTTTGAAAGGGTATGAGGCTATTGAAAAGGGATGAGGCCTAAGGACGGAGCCCAAGCCTAGAACAATAAGAAAGATGGCTCTTTCTAAAGCTCCCCCAAGGCTCTCCAAGTATCTCAATCCCAAATACTATCCCAGCTTCGTTTCCAAACAACCAAGGGTTATTTTCTCTCATTGGTCCCGGTAGAAGTCCTTTGCCTCACCTTGTTCCAACCCATTAAAGAAATCATTGGGGAACGAGGTTTCTCCTGTTATTAGAGACGTCCGAGACTCTTGGTCTTGGTCTTGATTCCAAGACTTTTCTTGGGTTTTTTTTCGGTCTTGGTCTTGGGGTGTAGTCTTGGTCTTGGTTTCGGTCTAGACTTTTTTGGGGTTTTCTAAATTTACACCCCTAAGAATTGAACTTTATTGGAATCTTTATTTTATTTCCAAAATGGAAGAAATCTGGCCTCATACCCTTCCAAAATTCTCAAAATTTTCGCCTGCGACGCAGGAAAAGGGAGAGCCACCATCACTCAATCACTCAGGTCCCCCAAATTCATAATATTTCTGTTGATCCCTCTTAATTCACCCGAATTCCCCTTTAAACCTCTATATCCTCCTTAATACCTCGATAATTCAGAATCCCCCGACATCCCTCATAATTAACTAAATCCCACGGTTATCTCTCTTAATCTTTGATATCGCTCAATATCACTTTAATCCACCCAAATATCCCTTTAATCCATCCAATCTGAAATAATATATTTCATTGATTTTTCACCCGGATAAATTCCCCAAAATTCTTTGAATTTCGGAAAAATTCCTTGAATTTCGCATAGATTTTTCGAAATTATAGGCGAATGTGCTGAATTTGACTGTGATCGTGTCAAAATAACAAAAAATAAACCAAAAATTTGACTTATGGAACCTAAAAATTGTCTTGAGTCTTGATAATTTTTGGTCTTGAGTCTTGGGGTCAAGTCTTGGTCTTGGGGTGTAGTCTTGGTCTTGAGTCTTGGAAAATTTTCGGTCTCGGACGTCTCTACCTGTTATAGTCCAATCGTTGCAAGTTCTCTAGTTAAGATTTCCTCACCTTGTTTACAATGCCAACAGCCTCCTGCTGGACCAGGCTCCCCTGGCGATCCTTGGGGGCCAGGCATTCCGACAACTCCGAATTCACCTCTCGGACCCATTAAACCTCTCATTCCTTTACTGCCAGGCATTCCCCATTCTCCGTCCTTGCCACTCTTTCCCGGAGGGCCTCGAGGGCCAGGCAATCCAATAGCACCTTGAGGTCCTGGAGGAGCACCGTTCAAAACTCGGCCTGGGTCGCCTGGTGGGCCTTTTATGCCCGGGAACCCAATCTATAAAGGGAAAAATAAATTTTTTGAGAAAAATGTACAAAATGGTCAAAAATATTTTAACCTCTCCTCTTTGACCAGCAGCACCAGTCAATCCATTCTTGCTACTTACTCCATTCTTTCCAGGTTTTCCAGGCTCTCCAGCCAAGCCCGGCAACCCTTTTAAGCCTGGAGCACCGGGAGGTCCGGGAATGCCGGGATAACACTAAAAATGGACTTGAAGTTTTCAAAAATATTTTATTTACTTTGAGGCAAGAATCTGTCGCTGCGTCATCCTTCGTTGCTGCAATGTATTTCCCTGGTCGTCCACCCCATCCCCACTTTCCTGGTGTTCCGTCTGTTCCTGGTCTTCCAGGTTTTCCTGCCTTCCCAGGGGGTCCGGGGCTGCCTTAAAAAGGAATCAGAATTAAATCAGAATTTTAAAATTATATTCAAAATTAATCAGAATTTAAAAATCAGAATTAAAAAAACAGAAGTTTAAAAATCAGAATTTTAAATTCAGAATTTCAAAAATCAGAATTTTAAAAATCAGAATTTCAAAAATCAGAATTTAAAAATCAGAATTTCAAAAATCAGAATTTAAAAATCAGAATTTCAAAAATCAGAATTTTGAAATCAGAATTTAAAAATCAGAACTAATCAGAATTTTAAAAAATCAGAATTTTAAAAACCAGAATGTCAGAATTCCAAAGTCAGAATATCAGAATTTATGACAACCAGAATTTAAATATAAAAATCAGAATTTAACGTTTATTATTCTACTTGCCTTGTTTGCAAGCACAACACAAATTCTCCTTCTCTGCTTGTTCAAACTTTGCATAATTATTATTACCAGTCTCTCTTCGAAATCTTTCAGTTTTGTAACTATTTCTGTTCAAATCATTCCATAAATTTTTCGATTCCAACTTTAATTTTTTAATTAAAAAAAATTTTTTTTTCTTTAAAAATTACTTTGCATTCATTAGCAACAGAAATTAGCAAAGAAAGCCGTCGTTGCATCGAAAAATGTGCCATAGGTATCAGTATTATGAGGGAAGCTAGAGAAGCACAGGAAACGATTGAAAGGAGAAAAACTGTTTTTGAGGAGGATTCTTCGAACATTTCTTTTTAAAATCAAAAAATACTCCATGTAGTCAACTCCCGATATAAGCGACTCACAAAAACTCCCAGTATAAGCGACTCAAAAAACCAGAATAAACCAGAATAAAAATCAGAATTTCTTCGAGTCTAAAGGGAAAAGTCGCCTATATCGAATTTCCGTTATTAAGAGGGTCGCTAATAACGAGAGTTGATTAAAAAGAAAATTTTGTTCAATTTTTTGATAAAATGATAAATAACGATAAAATGATAATTGAAGAGTAGAAAGTTTGAAAATCCAAGAATGACCCATATTTAAAGCAAAAAGCTTGTTTGTGTGTGCGGTCAATCAAAAAAATAGCCGGAACTAAAAGTGCAAGGTGTGAAAGCGTTTATCAATTAAAAGGGAGAAAATTAATTGAATAGAATTAAATTTGATTAGATTTGTTATTTTTTATTTCCTTTTTAATCTTTTTAATTCAAAAACTCGTCAAATAAAATACTGTTTCAGCCTACATAACTGTCGTATGCTCAATTGTCGTTTACTTAATTTTCATTTGGCTAATTGTCGCATGGACAATTGTCATATTGTCAAATGTCTTGTGTTCAATTGTCTTATGTCCAAATGTAGTATAGTCAATTGTCCTCTGTCCAAATGTCGTAACAAATTTTTATCAGACTGTCACGGAATTTTCATGTGTTATTTTAATCAAATGATTTTTATTTTTTTTTTAATTTTTTACGTCCATTTAGGCTTTATTTTAAGTGTATTAATTTAAAGGTTTTTTTTATTTCTTTGAATTTTTGATATTTTTAAAAATCACTTTTTTCATTCCTTTAATTCTTTTGCCCATTCCCCTGTGATTTTTTATAATCCATTTTTACATTCAAATTTAATGTTTCATTTTTGTTGCTCAACTAGGAGTGTATTTTATTGATTATTTATTTTGCCTGCTTTTTTAATACTTTTTTTTAATCTTTTGGTTTTTGGACGGTAGAAGAATAGACGGAAAATGACTTTGATTTTTAATAGTTTTTTTTTTCTGATAACTTGTCTGACATTTTAAAAAATGATTTTAATTTTCCTTTTGAGTAACTCGTTGATGTCCGCTAGTTTAATCCACAAAAAAATTTTTTGTCCGCAAAAATATTTTTTTGTCCGCAATTTTAGTCCCCAAGTGTCTGTCGGCAATCTTTAAAGTACTTTTTCCTATTCAACTACAAAATAAACATTTTATAATCTTTCTTTAAGTTCTTAGAAAGGCATGAGAAAAATTTTTTCCGCGCTCCTCCCTTCTTTAAAAAATTTTTTTTTCTATTTAAATAAATTTATTTTTTCAGTAAAAATGCATTTATTCAATAATTTATGGTTTATTTATTTTTTAAAATTAAAATAAAATAATGGGTGGATTAACTGATATTTTATTTTCTATTTGTGCGGAGTATTTTAGAGGATTGTTTTGTTCACTTCAAGGATTTTTGGTGTTGCATAAAATTGATAATCCGCCTGTTTCAAGCAGTGTAAGTCAAAAAATTTGTTTGTAGCTCGGGATTGGAAGAGGTTTATTTTATAATTAACACACTCGACGAAATTAACTGGAGAGATTTACTAGAGTTTGAGGTTTTCAAATTGACCTTGATCCCTGGTTTTAGGTGAGGACCTTGACCAGACCTGACCCTTCAAGGTTTTCTGATACCTTAAAGAACCTTGAGTCTAGGAAAAAATTAAGGAACTCTGAAAATGCCTTGGTCTGGATTCTGGATCCAGGAAAAATCAAGGTCTGGATCCAGATCCAGCTCGATCTCTAAGATTTGGGTTCAATGTCTTTATGAGGTTGGGGAAGTCTGCTTTAGTCTAGACCCTGTATAGGATTTAAATGTGTGGGTGGGAAGGTTCTCCTCGCTCGTAAATGCTCTTGGAATTGGGAGAGTAGGCTTATAATGAGGTGGTTTCTCTTAAATTGTGGATATCGCTTAATTCCAGAGCTCCACACTTTTTCAAATTTGGTATTGTCCGCAAATATCCTTTGTCCGCAAAAATTTGTCCGCAATTTTAGAAAAGTGTACCCTTTAATTTTGGGTGTATTTGGTATTTTCTATAGCTTCTAGTGTGGTTTAAAAGCTAAAAAAATTTTAAAGGTAACCGAGCATCGACGTCAACAACAACAAAAATCGACAACCTCCTTCCAAACAGTACTCGAAAAACGCAGACAACAAGAACTCGAAAAGCGTTCCAGTAAACCTCCACCGACTGAACAAATAAATAAAGTTTCAACTCCTAAACGTATTATTAGGGTATTTGTTTTTGTATGTTACTTCTTTTATTTAAGTTTTTTATTATTTTTTCTGGAATTTTTTGGGTTCCCAATTTTATTAAATCTTTAGTGGGACAATTTTCGGTATTTTTTGATTTATCTTGTTGGGAACTCATTTTACACCAAAACGGAGTTCATATTCATAATCAGCCCCCTATTTACCCTAGGAAATGTTTTTAAATAATTTTTAAGTCTGATTTTTGGAATTTTTGGAATTTTTTGGCTACCAGTTTTATTAAAATCTTAGGGGGGTGGGGTGTGATTTCTGGGAAACTTTTAATTTATCTTTATTTTACACCCAAAACGGAGTTTATATTCGTACTTAGCGCCCTTGTTTACCCTTGGAAACGTTCTTTAATCATTTTAAAGTTTGATTTTTGGAGTGGTGAAAGGAAAATTCTTTCTCTGAAAGGAAAATTTTTTTTATTTTTTTGAGGAAATTCGAAGTTATTCTTAATTTGAGTTTGACTTTATTTTTCTATTATTTTTCCATTTATTTTTTAATTTTATATAATTTTTAAGTGCGTCTGCGCCAACATTGCCTCTGTTCTTCTCGTGTTGTCAATTGCTTTCTTTGTAAATTTTGCTGGGCAAGGTACTCTATTTTCTTCATTTGTCAGTTGCTTGGGGTCTTCTGTGCTTATTCCTGTATTGATTGTTGTTCGGCTGCTATCGGTTATTTTTTAAATTCATTTTTGGGATTTTCTAAGGTTAATTGCGGTTGATTCGGATTCTGTTACTTTTTTCCTTTTAAGCTTGAAAATATAGGTTTAAATTTTGGTTGGCAGATAAGTTGTTTTCGTGGTCAAATCGGTAAGACGTTAGTCTTGGGAAGGTGACGGGATGGGTTCGAGTCCGTTTGGATGTTCTGCTGTTTTTCGCTTCCAGATTTGCTAGTTTTTCTTTGAAAATTATTTTTTCTCTCAAAAATTAGGTTAAAAAAATTTTTTGATGAAAAAATTACTCAAAAAATTTCCTTAAAAAATTTTTTTAATTTCTATTTATAAACCTAAAAATAATTATTTTCCCTTCCAAACAGATCCTCTGGTTTGCTGATGTTGCCGGCGCAGCACTCCGTTACCGTGGGCAAACAGGCCAAAAAATTCCAGATTATGCTCGGGCTGCTTCTGATTTTGTTCATGCAATTATTGTCGAATTAGTTTTTTTATTCCAGGCAATGCTGTTTTTTAACATTAATTTGCCTATAATTTCTTCAAGGTTTTTTTTAGAATTTTTTGAGAGAATTTTAAATTTTATTTTTTAGTCTTGGATTTGTTTATATGGCATTGCTAAATTCTTTGTATAGTTTTGACTATATTTGGATGAGTAATGGAGTTAATTTGGTATTTATTTAATTTTTTTAACGAATTAATTTTTGGGAGTAATCAAATAGGGAGGTAAGAAGTATAGGCATCTTTTCGGACATCTCCTAAAGACATACGGACATATCGGGACGGGCATATCGGGATATTTCAATGTAAGAACAATTTCCCTACTGATTTTGGAACCTACGGCCACTGGGTCTTGAATAGTATATTGGAATAGAGTTTTATGTTTTAAAACAAACGTATGAACTTATTTTTGTCACCCCAATCCCGATATGTCCTCATACTCTCTTAAATTCCAAAACCTTTAAAACTAAATTTCTTTTTCTTTTAATTATTATCTGCAAAAAATTTTTTTTGCAGAATTCCCGTATTGCCCTAATCGAACGTCGTTGGCCCTTTCATCTCGGTTTTGGCACAATTTTAACAATTGCAACAAATTATTCTTCAAATTTTATAATTTCTGGATGTATTTTTGGAGCTTTATTTCCTTTCTTTATTGTCAGTTCTTGTTTGGTTGACACAGAAATTCTTTCAACTTTAAAAGGAAATAATAATAAATTAAATTTCCCGGCGATTCCATTTTATTGTATTGCTCAAAATATAACAAACAAATTGTCTTTGGCAATTTTTGGAAGATTTTTTTGAATTTTTATTTTAATTTTAATTGTGTATTTTATTTTGTTGTGGCATTTGTGGTAATCCTTTTAGAGAATTTTCTTTACTTTGTCCGCAAATTTTCTTTGTGTCCGCAAATTTTTTGCAGACAAATTTTGCGGACAAGTTTTTGCGGACAGATTTAAATTAGTGGATAAGTTAAGTGCTAGAATTTTACTTCTGGTTCGTCAATAGATCATATGAAGACATTATTTTTGTGAAATAACGTTAATCCGTAAGAGTATGTTAATCCGTAAAATGTGTCCGCAAATATTTTGTGGACAAGTTTTGCGGACAAAAAGTTTTTGTTAAAGAAGTAATTCCCAAAATTTGCTTCTGATTTTTGTAAAGGATCATGTAGAAGCTGATGATTTGTTTTGGAAAAATATCTGTCCGCAAAATAAATTAGTCCGCAAAAATTGTCCGCAAATATTTTTTTGGAAAGATTTCTTGTTTTTTTGTGATTTTTCAAAAAATCCGTCTTATTAATTTATTTTTCTCTAAAAGGACTCTTAATTTGTATATTTTTAAAATTTGTAAAAAAATATGTAAAAAATGTATTTTATTGAGTTGCTATTTTGCTTGTTTTATGTTTATTTTTCTATGTAAAGAAATACTTAAAAAAATTTTTTTGAAATAATTTTTTTGTTTTAATTTTTTCTTTAATTTTCAATTATTCTTGACAATATTCTTGACAAATTTTTAAAATAAATGAGATGGTTAATACTCTTTGGTCGTCGTTGTATTTGTGATGTGCCGACATCAACTTCGCGCCTTTTAAATTTGAGTGCAACGAATTTAAGATTATTGTCTAATACAAGGTTTTTATTTTTTAAAATTTAAATGGGTTTTGTGATTTTTGGGATCATTTTATGTGGGGTGTTTCGTTGTTTAACTGGGCAGAATAGGTGGCATTTGCTAGTTTATTTTTAGAAATGTCCGCAAATTTTGAACTTTGCGGACATTTTTTGTCTGCTAAACTTTTAGCGGACATTTTTTGTCGAAAATACCTGTGCTTTTTGTTCTTAATATTTTTAGATGGTAACCCCCTTTTCTATATAAAATGGTCAGATTTAGAATGTGTTACCAACTTTAAACTAGCGTAGTACCCCGAAACCCCAACTATTTTTTTTTGGCAAAAACCCCGACTCGAACCTCGAAGGCTCTACCCCGGCAACCCCCGATCCCGACGTTCCCACCCCGAAGGCTCGGGGTGCTACATACCAACCAGAGATGTTTCGAAACAAAAAAATCTTCGAAAATCGGAAATCGAAAATCGAAAGAAATCCAAAAATATCGAAATCGAAAATCGAAAATATTTTTCAAAATCTTCGAAATCGAAAATCGAAAGAAAAATAACCTCGAAAAACGAAAATCGAAAAAAAATTTTTAATTAAAAAAATTGGAAAATTATTTTTTGTTATGTTAGGTCTAAGTTGGAACTTTTGCTTGAACTCTAAGGAATTGGGGATATAGTAGTAGTCCCCTGATATAGTAAAGAGCTAGGCCGATTTATTCATAGGGTTGGGCGGTACCTGGCATAGGGTTCTGGCATAAGGGAGAAGGCTTCCAAATGCACCTTAATTCAAGCAAATCCTCCAATATACCGGAGCCGAAGCATAATATTGTTAATAGATCAGGGCTTCTTCAAATTAGCGCCGCAGGCAAAAATTTTGAGAATTTTGGAGAATCCTTAAGCCAAAACTCGTCCATTTTCTGCGCCGCAGGCGAAAATTTTGAGAATTTTGGAAGATCCTTAAGCCAAAACTCGTCCATTTTCTGCGCCGCAGGCAAAAATTTTGAGAATTTTGGAAGATCCTTAAGCCAAAACTCGTCCATTTTCTGCGCCGCAGGCAAAAATTTTGAGAATTTTGGAGAATCCTTAAGCCAAAACTCGTCCATTTTCTGCGCCGCAGGCAAAAATTTTGAGAATTTTGGAAGATCCTTAAGCCAAAACTCGTCCATTTTCTGCGCCGCAGGCGAAAATTTTGAGAATTTTGGAAGATCCTTAAGCCAAAACTCGTCCATTTTCTGCGCCGCAGGCAAAAATTTTGAGAATTTTGGAGAATCCTTAAGCCAAAACTCGTCCATTTTCTGCGCCGCAGGCGAAAATTTTGAGAATTTTGGAAGATCCTTAAGCCAAAACTCGTCCATTTTCTGCGCCGCAGGCAAAAATTTTGAGAATTTTGGAAGATCCTTAAGCCAAAACTCGTCCATTTTCTGCGCCGCAGGCAAAAATTTTGAGAATTTTGGAGAATCCTTAAGCCAAAACTCGTCCATTTTCTGCGCCGCAGGCAAAAATTTTGAGAATTTTGGAGAATCCTTAAGCCAAAACTCGTCCATTTTCTGCGCCGCAGGCAAAAATTTTGAGAATTTTGGAGAATCCTTAAGCCAAAACTCGTCCATTTTCTGCGCCGCAGGCAAAAATTTTGAGAATTTTGGAGAATCCTTAAGCCAAAACTCGTCCATTTTCTGCGCCGCAGGCAAAAATTTTGAGAATTTTGGAGAATCCTTAAGCCAAAACTCGTCCATTTTCTGCGCCGCAGGCAAAAATTTTGAGAATTTTGGAGAATCCTTAAGCCAAAACTCGTCCATTTTCTGCGCCGCAGGCGAAAATTTTGAGAATTTTGGAAGATCCTTAAGCCAAAACTCGTCCATTTTCTGCGCCGCAGGCAAAAATTTTGAGAATTTTGGAGAATCCTTAAGCCAAAACTCGTCCATTTTCTGCGCCGCAGGCGAAAATTTTGAGAATTTTGGAAGATCCTTAAGCCAAAACTCGTCCATTTTCTGCGCCGCAGGCAAAAATTTTGAGAATTTTGGAAGATCCTTAAGCCAAAACTCGTCCATTTTCTGCGCCGCAGGCAAAAATTTTGAGAATTTTGGAGAATCCTTAAGCCAAAACTCGTCCATTTTCTGCGCCGCAGGCAAAAATTTTGAGAATTTTGGAGAATCCTTAAGCCAAAACTCGTCCATTTTCTGCGCCGCAGGCAAAAATTTTGAGAATTTTGGAGAATCCTTAAGCCAAAACTCGTCCATTTTCTGCGCCGCAGGCAAAAATTTTGAGAATTTTGGAGAATCCTTAAGCCAAAACTCGTCCATTTTCTGCGCCGCAGGCAAAAATTTTGAGAATTTTGGAGAATCCTTAAGCCAAAACTCGTCCATTTTCTGCGCCGCAGGCAAAAATTTTGAGAATTTTGGAGAATCCTTAAGCCAAAACTCGTCCATTTTCTGCGCCGCAGGCAAAAATTTTGAGAATTTTGGAGAATCCTTAAGCCAAAACTCGTCCATTTTCTGCGCCGCAGGCAAAAATTTTGAGAATTTTGGAGAATCCTTAAGCCAAAACTCGTCCATTTTCTGCGCCGCAGGCAAAAATTTTGAGAATTTTGGAGAATCCTTAAGCCAAAACTCGTCCATTTTCTGCGCCGCAGGCAAAAATTTTGAGAATTTTGGAGAATCCTTAAGCCAAAACTCGTCCATTTTCTGCGCCGCAGGCAAAAATTTTGAGAATTTTGGAGAATCCTTAAGCCAAAACTCGTCCATTTTCTGCGCCGCAGGCAAAAATTTTGAGAATTTTGGAGAATCCTTAAGCCAAAACTCGTCCATTTTCTGCGCCGCAGGCAAAAATTTTGAGAATTTTGGAGAATCCTTAAGCCAAAACTCGTCCATTTTCTGCGCCGCAGGCAAAAATTTTGAGAATTTTGGAGAATCCTTAAGCCAAAACTCGTCCATTTTCTGCGCCGCAGGCAAAAATTTTGAGAATTTTGGAGAATCCTTAAGCCAAAACTCGTCCATTTTCTGCGCCGCAGGCAAAAATTTTGAGAATTTTGGAGAATCCTTAAGCCAAAACTCGTCCATTTTCTGCGCCGCAGGCAAAAATTTTGAGAATTTTGGAGAATCCTTAAGCCAAAACTCGTCCATTTTCTGCGCCGCAGGCAAAAATTTTGAGAATTTTGGAGAATCCTTAAGCCAAAACTCGTCCATTTTCTGCGCCGCAGGCAAAAATTTTGAGAATTTTGGAGAATCCTTAAGCCAAAACTCGTCCATTTTCTGCGCCGCAGGCAAAAATTTTGAGAATTTTGGAGAATCCTTAAGCCAAAACTCGTCCATTTTCTGCGCCGCAGGCGAAAATTTTGAGAATTTTGGAAGATCCTTAAGCCAAAACTCGTCCATTTTCTGCGCCGCAGGCAAAAATTTTGAGAATTTTGGAAGATCCTTAAGCCAAAACTCGTCCATTTTCTGCGCCGCAGGCAAAAATTTTGAGAATTTTGGAGAATCCTTAAGCCAAAACTCGTCCATTTTCTGCGCCGCAGGCGAAAATTTTGAGAATTTTGGAAGATCCTTAAGCCAAAACTCGTCCATTTTCTGCGCCGCAGGCAAAAATTTTGAGAATTTTGGAGAATCCTTAAGCCACAAATCTTCCTTTCTCTGCGCCGCAGGCGAAAATTTTTTAAATTTATGATGGCCGATAAGCCAAAAATCCTCCGTTTTGGAGCCAAAAATTCAAATTTTTTCAAAAATTCGAAAATCGGAAATCGAAAATATCACTAAATTTCGAAAATCGTAAATCGAAAATCGAAAGAAAAAAACCCTCGAAAATCGAAAATCGAAAATCGAAATTTCGAAACATCTCTGATACCAACTTTAAGCTGATATAAATAAGTCGATGTTGAATGTTGGTTCTTTTTTGATTTTTTAACGTGTGCTTTAATCCTTCATTTTATAAAATTTCCCCTCTAAGCTTTCTGTTTTTAAGTCAATTTTAGTTTTTTTCTAATTTTCCTATAAAATTTGATTTTTCATTTTTTAGACATTTCTCAACCAAAATATCTTCAAATTTGTTGTCTAGACGAAATGAAACGGGTGACCTCTTCACCACAAAATTTCTTTCACCACAAAAATTGCGTTTACTCTTCAGGCCGTTAAGAAGAAATTTTAGCAGTGGAGAGTCTAAACGACAACCAAAACTTATTAAAGATTTAAAAATTAGTGATGTAAGGGGAATTGCGGTTTTGGCATTGCCTTACAAATGGAGAATTATAGGTTCGTAATTTTTGAAATTTTTTTAAATTTTTTGGAGGGACATTTGACCCCAAAAATTTATTTTTTAATAGAATTTTTGGGATGGGATTTAGGTTTGGTTTGGAATGTCCAGGTTTGGTTGTCCCAAAAACTTTTACGTAAATTTGTGGTATGTAGGACATTTTATCCCAAAAAAATTTTTTTTGAAAATTTCGGCGGGGTCCCAAAAATTTATTTTTTAATAGAATTTTTGCGATAGAATTTAGTCTCAAAAATGTTTTCGGAAATTTTCGGGAGGACATTTTGTCCCAAAAATTTTTTTGGAAAGTGTGGGGTGACATTTTCTCCCGAAATTTTTTTTACATTTTTTAGCCGGCCTAGTCTTTCTTTCTATTGGCTCTGGCCTATTTTTAACACTACCTCGAATTCTTGGCAAAATGATTGATGAATTTGACACTTCAAAACCAGAAGACAGAAAAACTGAGGGAGATGAAGAAGCAAAAAATGAATTAAATTTATTTTCAATAATTCCTCAAAAGGATACAAAAAAGAAAGAAAATGAAAAAGAAGACGATTTTCTTGGAAGAATAGCACGTTATCTTCGACACAATCCATGGGCTATAGGTATTATTCTTGCTATTGGAGCATGTGCAATTGGTGGACGTATTTATTTGATGCATACAACAAGTTCGTTTTTTGTTTAGTATTTGATGGGAAAATGGGGGGTGGGGGCTAACTCGAGGAATTCCAAATTACGGGACAGACAAGAAACGGAATTACCAAATCAGGGAATGACTAACAATTTGTTTTTAATTTTTATTTTTTTTAATATTCGGATTTCTCAAAAAATTCCGATTTTTAAAATATTCCTTGTTTTGGTCATCCCGTAACTTGTCGTTCTTGTCTGGTCCGCGAACTGTCCGTTCCGTGAGTTAGCCTGACACTGGGAAAATTGGTGTTTGTTGTCGAATGAGTCTGTGGTTAAGTGCAACTGTGTTTGCCTAGGTTAACGGAAAGGGGTGGGTTCGAATTCTTTCATGGGTTTATTTTTCGATTTGCTATTTTTAAGGAATTCAATTCAATTTTTCATCAATTATTGAAGAAAAAAAAATTTTTAATTTTTTACCCAAATTTTAACCAAGAAAATTTAAAGGTCAACTCATAGTCAACGATTTACGTACAAACGTTTTCCGCAACATTCTCCAACAAGATATGGCTTTTTTTGATAAAAATAAAGTTGGGGAAATTGTAAGCCGTCTATCTTCAGATGCTTATATTGTTGGAAATGCTCTTTCTACAAATCTGGGTGATGGTATTCGTTCACTTTTCACTTCTTTTGTGACTGCAGGAATGATGGTTTGTTTATTGATATGGGGAGGGTTTTGAAAAGGGAATAAGGGAACCTAATTTTTTGAAAAATTTTTCCTTTGGTGAGGCTTTGGACTCATTTGGTGAAGGAGTCCAGCTCCTTCTGTGAAGCTTCACCAAACTTCTTTTGGGGATGCCTTTTTTCTATTCAATGTACTCCCTCACTGCCAAAGATTTATACAGGAGTCGGATTTCGAGGGAGGGGGGGGGGCTATAGAAGGGTGTGTCTATATCCACTAACCATTGGAGATCGGAATTTTTGAGAAGCCTGGACCTGTTCCTGGACTCTGGGTTTGATATATTGCCTGGGCCAGGAAAAACCCAGGAAAGTAAAAAAATGCCTGGGCCTGGACTCTGATACAGGAAAAACCCAGGCCTTTGTCCAGATCCAGGCCGATCTCTACTAACCATTGACTGACTCGAAGTATTTGTTAACAATTTTGAAAAATCCTTTTCATTTTAACGATAAAAGTCACGATGTCCGTCTATTTCTTGTTACTAAGAGTTATTTCAAATATCAAAGAAATTTTATTTTCAGGTATATACATCACCAGGGCCCTATTTCAATTGTCCACAGATTCTGCGGTCTGCGTTCTGTGCACAGACCACAGAACCACAGAAATTCTGTTTCAATTATTCCACAGATTCTGCGGAAAAAGAAGTCCGCAGATTCTGTGGAAACATGCACAGAATCTGTGGAAACATCCACAGATTCTGCAAAACATCCAAAAACATGCAAAAACCACAGAATTCTATTTCAATTATTTTTCTGTGCACAGAAAAAAATCCACAGATCTGTGGCTTTTTTAGTCGATTCTGTGCATTTCTGTTTCAATTATTTCTGTGGTCTGCGGAAAATACACAGAATTCTTTAAAAAATCCACCCTAAAATTTTTTCTGCGAACTTTCTGTGGAAAAACTTTAACAATTTTTTTCTAGGCCTAGGCTTAACCAAATTTCAAAATTTTTAAAGATTATTAAAGTTTGAATCATTCTCTATTTTTTGATATAAAAATTATAATTTTATTACCTAAAATTATTGCTTAAAATTAATTTTGAAAAAGGTACATCTTTTTTACGCAGTTTTTGTTATATTCAAGCAATAAAAAAATAAAAAACGTGAGAGATTCTGAAATTTAGAGCTATGATGTTCTAATCATCATGGATATCTCTAATGAGGGGATGTTTACCAGGATCTATAGAATATATCTGTATAGCGTATACTGGGATATCTCCCATGATCTCTCATTGATATCCGTCATAATCTCTCCTCCTATTTAATGATAGATTTCCTCCTTAATCACTCCAATATATTAAACCTCAAAATCAATGGATATCCCACTTAATCACTCCTCTACGATTTTAAAGTTCCGATTTGACTATAATTTTGGATTCCAGGCATTTTCGATTTCCAGGAACCTCAATTTCTGACTAAACAATCCCCAAACATTTCCCTCCCTTGCAACAACTTCTATCGTAGTTTGAAAAAGCCACATGTCGGATCGACATCTCCTGATTTTTCCGATCCGAACCCTGCTTTAGGACATTAATTTAATTGGAGATTTAAGGATATTGGATGAACAAGAAAATTAAGCGGTATATCAGCGGTTTTAAAGTGATATCAAAGAGATTTAAAGGGATGTTATGTGATTTGGAGGGAAAATTTTTAAATCTTTACAATATTTTTCAGTTTAATTTAAGAATTTTTAAAGTTTTACTTCAAAAAATCAGGTACCATTAATACTGCGGTAGTACCGAACTGTCCAAACCATTTTTCGTTTCAATAAAACTGTTATTTTCAAAAACGCGGAAATAAAAAATTTGAATTTAGAAGAAAAAATACACAGAACCACAGAAAAATAATTGAAATACAAATTCTGTGGATCAGTGGAAAAAATCCACAGATTTTTATATTTTCCACAGAAATTTTCATCCACAGAATCTGCGGAATGTTTCCACAGAATCATTGGATGTTTCCGCAGAATCTGCGGGCACCACAGATTCTGTGCACACAGAATTTAATTGAAACAGAATTTCCACAGAATCTGTGTTCTGTGCACAGAATGCAGAATCTGTGGACAATTGAAATAGGCCCCAGAACTTTCTCTTTTGGGTCTAATTGTCATTCCTCTTATCGCTGGAACTTTCTTGGTTTATGGTAAATGGATAGGCTATTATGCTACTCAAATGCAAGAAGCAATTGCTGGAACTAATGAGGTTCTTTTAAATTTTTTGAAAGAAAAAAATTTTTTCAGTTGGCAACTGAACGTCTCTCAAATGTCAAAACTGTCAGAGTTTTTGTGGCAGAAAATAAAGAATTGAAAGCTTATAAAAATAAAATTTCTGATATTTGGGAAATTTCAAGAAAAGAAGGATGTGCTACTGCTATTATTGTTGGAGGGTTTGTTGAGATTTTTATTTAAATTATTTTTTTAACCTAAAAATTTCTTAAAGAATTTTTCCTGTGTTTTATGAATGAATAATTAAATGCAAAGCTATAGGTCCCGAAAAATGAAGAGGTATCTGGTATACTAGGAATAAACCGAGTACCGAAAACTGAAGTTCTGTCGTTTCTTTGATCCGAAACTCGATTTGAACTTTAAAACTCGGCCCGACTTTTTTTTCTCATTCCGGCCTATCCCTGAAACCCCTACAAAATTTAAATGGACATAAAGGTGTAACCTATCTGTAACCATAACATATTTCTCTCGTCCCTCAAAAATTATTTAAAAATCACCTAATAACCCAATCCTCTTTTTTTTTCAGTTATTACATTCTTGGATATGGCTTCCTTTCTTCTCTTCTCTATAATGGAAGTCAGTTAATAAGTTGTGGCCTTCTCACTTATGGCGATTTATCTTCATTTGTTATTTATGCAATTCTCTGTTCTGCAAACATTTCAAACATTCGAACTTTTTATTCCGAACTTATGCGTGGATTGGGTGCGTCTTCACGTCTTTTTGAATTGAGAGATACAAAACCAAAAATTCCTTTGAGTGGTAAGTAGGGAAGGTTTTTTAAATTAAATTTTAGAAAATATTTTTGAGGGCAACTGGGTCTGTGGAGAGCAACTGGGTCCATTGTCCTATTGGTACCTTTTATTTGGTCTGTTCTGTGGGTCCTTTGAATTTTACAAATTGGTGTAGAACAGACCAAGAAAGGTACTAATAAGCAAAATTATGAAAAAAATGCTCACATACACACCCAAACAATGTTAAATAATCAAAAAGTAACCACAAAACCCCAGAAAATGAATGTGAAATATGCAAGGAATGAACCTAATCATTACCTAAATTTTCCATAATTTTTGCCCTTTTATTAGAAATAGGAAAATTTAGAGATTCTGGGATTGAACGAATTTTTGGCACGGTTCGGTACTCCCACGGTACTCCTAAAAGTATTGACTCGATACTTCGGTATTCCCGGCTATTGTTATTGAAATCATCCATTTGTCGAACACTAGTCTGAATTTTGGGTAGGACAGAAAATTTCTAAGTCATCTTGCGGACTGCATCTGCGGATATTAAAAATAAAACTGTTTGATTTAGCTGTGTCAGACTTTTAAATATTAAATAAAAAATTTTTTACTTATAGGAGGTGTCTGTTTAACCGATTTGAAGGAAGGAATACGTTTTGAAAGTGTTGCATTTTCATATCCTGATCGTGACCCAATTTTTAATGATATAACTTTTAAAATTCCTGTGGGTTCTACAACAGCAATTGTTGGATCTTCGGGCTGTGGAAAATCAACAATAGCACATTTATTGTTAAGGTTATTTTTTTTTTAATTTTATTAATACATATAATTAGGGAAGAGTCCGAAACTTTTTATTCGCAATTTAGAATATTTATTTTCTCATAAATAGGGTTGTCGGTTCTGGACCGAACCAGACCGAAAACCGATGATTTTTTGGTTTCGGATATTCGATGATTTTCCAAGAACCGACAACCCTACTCATAAAGTATTATATAATTTTTTAAAATTATTTTTAATTTATAAATAATTTTTACGCAAATTGTGACCAAAAATCGTATTCTTGTGGTCGCTTAGGCAGCTTCTTTTTACATCCAATACTCGGGAAACGTATCCTAAATTGCGGCTACTACAACAGAGCCGTAACCAGGTTTTCTGGGGGCCAGGAGAAAATCCCCTCCCCAAATTCTTTCCCCTTCTCTCTCTGGTTACAGCCCAGTACTACAATCAAAATATAATCCTTTTAAAAAAAACTTGCGGATAAAAATTGCGGACTTCTCAAGAATTTTTTAGACTTTTGGAAGCACGAGAGGAAAAGAAATTTTTTTAAATTCTTAGGCTATATTCCCCAACTCAAGGACGTATTTTAATTGATGGACAAGATATGAAAAATATAGACCCTTCAGGTTTTTTCTTGGTTAGTATAAAAAATATTTTTTTAATTTTAAAAGAGTGGCGAAAAATGTGTGGAGTAGTAAGTCAAGAGCCTGTCCTTTTCTCAGCTACAATAAAAGAAAATATTTTGTATGGAGTTCCAGAAGGTGTAGAAATTGGGGATGAAGAGGTTTTTTTAATTTTTTTTGCGATAAAAAAAATTTTTTTTTTAAAATTAAGATTGAAAAAGCTGCCAAACTTTCAAACTCTTTAGAATTTATTCGTTCATTTCCTCAAGGATTTGATACAATGGTTGGGGAACATGGATCGTCTATGTTAAGTGGAGGTATTTTTTTTATTTTTTCTCTTCCTGAATATTTCGACTCCCACAAAACAACGAGGGAGCCAATTTTGCTTTTATGTTACAGATAGAAAAATAGAAATCCAGGGACTGAGCTAATTATAAAGAAGGGAGACCTGTACGTGTTGAGTTAAGCTGCTAGCAATAACCGCTAGGAAGAAACAAGATCAATAAGCTTTACCTCTCTCTCTCCAACTTTTAAAAATGGGAAAATTTTTCTATAAATTGAAAAAAAATTTTTAAAGGTCAAAGACAACGAATTGCTTTAGCCCGGGCATTAATTATGGTTTTTATTAACTATAAAATTGTAAATAATTTCTAATATTTTTACAGAAACCTCGTTTTATAATATTGGATGAAGCAACAAGTGCTTTAGATGCGACAAGTGAATATTTGGTATTTTTTTTAATTTTAAAAAATTATTTTTGCGGACATTTTTTGCAGACAGAAAGATAAATCTCTTAAACAATGAAACTACTTGTCCGCAAAAAATTAAAAAAAAAGTCCGCAAAAGTAAGGAATGTTCGCAAAAGTAAAAAATGTCCTCAAAAATGAGAAATGTCCGCAAAAGTAAAAAATGTCCGCAAAAGTAAGGAATGTCCGCAATAATTAAAAATGTCCGTAAAAATTCATTTTTCATCTATTTAAAGGTTCGAAAATCATTAGAAGTATTATCAAAAAGTGGACAAACAATTTTAATAATTGCCCATCGTTTATCAACAATTAAACATGCAGAACAAATTGTTGTATTAGATAAAGGAAGTGTTGCAGAAATGGGTTGTTTTGATGATTTAATGAATATAAAAGATGGAATATTTCAAAAATTGGTAGAAAAACAAACTTTGGATTGGAAATTTGATAGGTTTTAATGGAGGAGGTTTTTTTTGAAAATTTTTTTGAAAAAATTTTTTTGGAAATTCCAAGTGTTGTGCCCTTAATTTTTCTTTACTTTTTTGAAAAAAAATTTTTTTGTCTTTAATAAATAATTATAAGACAAAGAATATTTAGGTGTATTCGAAGAGTAAAGGAAAAATTAGGGCAAAAAATTTTTTTTTTGTTGAGTGAAAATTATTTAAAAAGAGATTTTTAAAAATTTTGTCACATTTTTATTTTTTTAAAAATTAATATTAAAAAAATATTAAAAAATGTTTTCAAAAATTGATTATTGAATAATCTATTATTATATTTTTTATTTATTTTGAAATTTTTATGTATCTGGTAAATACATCTATCAGATATCGAGCTGTAACAAAGCTATAGCTTGCTGGTACTCAACCGGCCACACTCAACTGACACTTTAACCCTTTGTGGGGACACGCCCAAAACGGCGCGCGGCAATAACGGCGCAAAGTCATAACTTGCTTTAAGATTTTTTAGTCTTACCAAATTTAGCATTAAACAAGTCTACTCATCTAGCTGAGGAGATTGGTACTAAAATTGTTAAGGGATGGATTTTTATAAAAGTTAAGGCTTTGCGCCGTTATTGCCACGCGCCGTTTTGTCTGTACCTCCTTTTGTGTTTTAATTTTTCATCAAAAATTTAAAAATATTTTTTTATTTGGAGAATCTTTTGGGGCCATGAGTCAGTCATTTTTACTTTAAAAACCTGAAAATGAGTCATTCAAAAATTAATTTAATTACCTGTTTACTTATGTATATCATTACAAAAATCACAAAAAATAATTAAAGAGGCTGTGATTGATTTACTGAAGGAAAATTTTAATTTATAATTTATTATTATTTATTTTAGAGAAAAAAATTTTTTTAATTCAAAAAATGGACAAAAATGGAAGAAAAGTAATTGTTGTAGATAACGGGACAGGTGTAAGTTTAAAAAAAATTTCAAAAATCTTCAAAAAATTTTTTTTTCTTTTCAAGTTTGTAAAATGTGGCTATGCTGGTTCAAACTTCCCCGATTTTATTTTCCCTTCAGCTGTAGGAAGGCCTCTAGTTCGTTCAAATACTCAACAAATAGTTAATAACAGGCCAATCAAGGTTTTTTTGAAATTAAAAAAAATTTTTGAAAAAAATTTTTTAAAAGGATTTAATGGTTGGGGAAGAATGTACAGACGCTAGACACTTGCTGGATGTAAACTACCCGATGAGCAATGGAATAGTTAAAAGTTGGGAGGATATGGGACACTTGTGGGATTATACGTTTGGGCCGGAAAAGATGGATATTGACCCTAAGGTTTGGATTTTTTTTTAATTTTTGGAGAATATTTTTTGTTGTTTTTTTTGTGGGTAAATGTGGAGATTACTGGTCCCGAAAAAAATGAACAAAGAAATGAGTTTTTGATATTTTTGAGGGTTGCCAGTAGGTAATCGAGTGTGCTGAGTCCGAATCTGAGCTTAGAATTTGTTAATTTCAAACCCCGGACCCGATTTCGACCAAGTCGAATTCGGGGTAAAAAATTCGAAATTAAAAATTTAAGGCTAATCTGACACGCCTATTCGAGTTGAGTCGATTGGTATCAAAATTAATTTCGAATTTTTTACTCCGAATTCGACTTGGTCGAAATCGGATCCGTGGTTTGAAATTAACAAATTCTAAGCTCAGATTCGGACTCAGCACACTCGACTACCTACTGGCAACCCTCAAAAATATCAAAAACTCATTTCTTTGTTCATTTTTTTCGGGACCAGTAATCTCCACATTTACCTTTTTGTGTTATGCTACGCTTATTTAAAAATCGGGACCTCTTCTGACAAAAAAAAATTAGAAAAAAGTAGAGAAAAGTTTCTGGGACACACCCAAGTAGGCGCGAGGCCATAACGGCGCGAAGCCATATTTTGCTGTTAAATTTCTGGCCCTCATCAATTTTGGTGCTAATCTCTTCAGCTCGATGAGGGGGTAGTTTGGTACCAAATTTGGTAAGATTCGTAAATCTTTTGCAAGTTATGGCTTTACGCCGTTATGGCCGCGCGCCTACCTGGACTGTGCTCTCATTTTCTGTCTCAAGAACGCGAAGCCTTTCCAAATGATTTTCTGTTGCGTTCGAGGGTTTGGTTCCTTGGGAGTCAGTTTGTGTTGCTTTGACCTTTAAGTTTCTTTGAATGTCGTTTTTTCTAGTTTTTAGTTCAAAATTAAAAAAAATTTTTTCCTCTAGGATTGTAAACTCCTGCTAACTGAACCTCCACTAAATCCGAACAGCAACAGAGAAAAATTGCTTGAAGTTATGTTTGAACAGTATGGTTTTCATGCAGTTTTTATAGCTATACAGGTTTTTTTTGATTGAAATTTTTTTTCTTAAAAGTTTAAATTTTTTAGGCAGTTTTGACTCTCTACGCTCAAGGACTTCATACTGGTGTGGTTATTGATAGCGGTGATGGAGTGACTCATATTTGTCCAGTTTTTGAAGGATTTGCTTTAAGCCATCTTACAAAGAGATTGGATCTTGCTGGAAGGGATATTACTAAACATTTGATTAAGGTTTTTATTTTTGATTTTAGTATTACAAGAGCTTTTTGGGGTGTAGAAATGGCGGCAATAAGATTTTTATTTCTGACAATAGTATGATGCTGCCCGTATCCAAGATTTTTTTCGGGAGGGGGGAAGAATCCACCTTGGTGTTTCAGGGACCAAAAATTCGGCAACCACTAGAACTCCTGGCTGCGGGCCTGGCCGTGATACTAAAAACGTGTAAACCGGCCTAGCCAAACAAACGGCCTATAAAAATATATTTGAGCAATCTTTACCCGTTAGGAGGTTTGGTATGTATATAACGTCGTCTCCACAGTTTATTATTTCAACGGTATTTCTACGTTTTAGCATTACGGCGTGTTACTCTCACAATAACCACTAGAGCCATTATGGCTTTGTGATTTGTTTCCGAGTTTCAAAACCCCTTTTATATTATTCTAAAAAATTTTAGCTTCTACAATATCGTGGTTATGCTTTCAACCATTCTGCAGATTTTGAAACTGTTAGGCAATTAAAAGAAAAATTTTGTTATGTGGCGTGAGTTTTCTAGTTCCTTTTTAACTATTAAAAAATTTTTTAAAGATACGATGTAGAGAAGGAACAAAAACTTGCACTGGAAACAACAGTTTTGACTGAAACATATACGGTTTTTTTAATTTTTTTTTAACTAATAAATTGAATTTAAGCTTCCAGATGGTCGAAATATTAAATTGGGTGCTGAACGGTTTGAAGCACCAGAAATTCTTTTTCAGCCACACTTGGCTAATGTTGAAAGGCTTGGATTGTCTGAACTTCTTTTTCAAGTTATACAGTCTGCGGATATTGGTAGGGTGGAAAAAAAATTTTTGAAAAAATTTTTTGGGAAATTTTCGAAAATTTTGGAAAAATTTTTTTTGAAAATTTTTGGAAAATTTCTGAAAATTTTCATAAAAAATTTTTGAGAAAATTATTGGAAAATTTCGGAAAAAAATTTTTTTCCGAAATCTTTTAAAAAATTTTTTATGAAAATTCCCTTGAAAAAAATTTTGGAATTTTTTTAATTTTCTAAAAATTTCTGAAAATTTTTTTAGACACTCGCCTTGAATTTTACAAACGTATAATCCTTTCTGGAGGCACTACAATGTACCCAGGCTTGCCTTCCCGATTGGAACGTGAAGTAAAGCAATTATATTTGGAAAGGATTTTGAAGGGAAATACGGAAGCCTTTCAGGTTTTTTTAATTTTTTTGAATTTAAATTTGTGTCAATTTTTAAGAAATTCAAAATTCGAATTGATGCACCTCCTAAACGAAAACATTTGGTATTTCTTGGGGGCGCTGTGCTTGCTCATTTGATGCGAGATCATGATGAGGTTATTTTAAATTAAATTTAAAAATTTTTTGTGGATTATTAACGAGTAACTATTAGTCCTTGAAAGCTTTTACCAAATGAGTGCAGGTACTCGCGTAACTACAGTTTGATGGAGAAACCCCACCAGTCTTGTAGTTATTAGAGATCTCGGTCTGGATCTGGATCCAGTCTAGATTTTTCCTGGATCCAGAATCCTGTCCAGGTTACTAGCCTAAATTATCCAAAATTTTGAAAATATCGGCCTCTATTAGTTACTAGTGTTGGAAGGCAAGTACTTGTATTCATACCTGTATATGATTTCAATAAATAAGGTACGAGCAAATTTTCAAATTTCCAAACACTGTTAACTACTGATTTGAAGGGGTCTTTCCATCTTTTTCCCTTCCTCTATACTTCTTTACCTTTATAAAATAAATTATAAGATTTGCGGACTAAACTTGCGGACTTTTTAAGAGGGTAAAGGAAAAGGACCAAAATTTCTTGTTTAGGCTAAAAATTTGTCTCTATTAAATAAAAAAATTCTTTTTTAGCAATGGGCAACAAAAGCAGATTTTGAGGAAAAAGGAATAGCTTATTGTATGAAAAAATTGGGCCTTACAAAATGAAAAAAAAAAGTTTTTATTAATAATTTAAAATTGTCTCAAACTTAATTTTATTTTTTTAATTTAATAATTTAAAAAATTAATTTTATTTTTAAATTTATTTTTCTCTTAAAAAATTTTTTTGATAAATTTATTTATTTTAATTTTTTAAAAAAGTTCGCTCATTTCTGAAGGCATAGAAATTTTTTGGTCTTTTCTATTTTTTAAATTTTAGTTCCATTATGGAGCTAAGACTTTGGGCTATAAAATAGGATAAAAACAAAATCTGATAAAAATGGTAAAAAATTTTTTTTTCATCATACGGTGAAAATAAACGAACTTTTTTATGAAACGACCTAGTAAATTAGTCGATAAAAATTTTTTTTAATTTTTTTATTGTTTTTATCAATTTAAATATTCTTAAAATTTTTTTAATATTTTTAAAAATATTTTTAGGGTTATTAAACAAATTTTTTTATTTTCTGAAGGAATTTTTGTTCTCTGAAAACTACCTTAAAAATGGATACGGACGAAACCTTTGGTTGTTTACCTTCCTTAATTTGTTCAACTGAAGATGATTTTGATGGTGGTGAATCCTGTAGGTTTTTAAATAATAATTTTTTAATTTTGAAATTTTTAATAAATTTTATTTTATTAATTTTTTGAATTTTTTTTAATCTTAGGGGCGTCTAGTATTTTTTTCTAGTTACTGGGTTATTCTTTATAATTCTATTTGGTCGAAAAAATAAATTTACTTGTGTTATGTAGTGGTGGTTAAGTTGATTAATAGTAGGTTAGCGTTCAATTGTTTTTAATGGTTGTTGAGGGTTCGAATCCCTATAGTTTTTTATTGTTTTGTTATCGCTTTCTTTTAAGGTAAAATCTGTCAAAAATAATCTTTAAATTTTTTTTTAATGTTGAAAAATTTTTTTATTTAATAAATATTATTTTTAAAAATATAAAAAAAACAATTTAATATTTTTTAATTAATTTTTAATTATTTCTCTTATTAAGCTTGGTTTAACAATCATTTTGGAGATGCTAATGAAGAGTATAATTCAGTTAAATTACACGAATTGGTCATTGAATATTTGGTATTTAGTGGATATAAGGAAGCAGGTTTATTTTAAATTTTTTTGGGGATTTTGATTATTTTGAGGAGGTTTGGGGCCGTCGAATCTCATTTCTAAATACCTCCTAGGGAGTAAAAAATTGTTTCTTACTATAATGAGGAGTACCCTAAATTTTGGAATCCGACTGATTATCGGCTTAGGTGCCCCTACCCAGTAGCCAATCAAATTTTAAAAAATCGTATATTAAATAGAGGCATATTTTGTTGGATATGACTTATAACTAGAGACCGGAATTTTGAAAAAAGCCGGGATCGGGAACGGGAAATGAAAATTAACCGGCCGGGAAACCGGGATCGATCCCGGCATCTTCAAAAAGGCCGGGAAACTGGACCGGGAAACGGGACCGGGTCTAGATCCCGTTCCGGTCTCTACTTATAACTAGGTCAGATAGAAAAATGAGGGGGACGTCTTATTATGAAGGTTGACTGAACAATGAGAGGGAAGGACCAGAGCTTCTCTTAAAATTTTTTAAAATTTTTATTCATTTTTCAGCCGATTTATTAATAAAAGACGCGGAATTATCTCCTTCATCTGATACTTCTCAACAAAAGAAAAATGATTTGTCTGATCAAAAAATTCTTCAAAATACCAAAAATGTGGATACGTTAAATGAAAGAAGTGCTATTCATAACTGTATAATAAATGGAGATATTGAAACTGCTATTCGTTTAATTGGTGAAATCGCTCCGAATTTATTAAATTCAAATCAAAAACTTCAATTTAAACTGTTACGACAACAATTGGTGGAATTAATTCGAAATAAGTCAGGTTTTTAAAATTAATTTTGGAGGGGAATTTTGGGGGGATTGGGACTTGGGGGGATTTTTTTAGGTTTATTTGGATTTAATATTTTTGGGAAGGTTTTAGAGGGAATATGTGGTTAGGGTTGGGGGCCCGATCTGAAAAATCGAGTCGGGCATTGAATTTTGGTCCGAAAAAGACTCGGTCGGGCCGGTCCGATAAAAATGAAACCCGAAAAAATGACTCGATCGTCGGCCAAACTGGAAAACCCCAACCAGAGCTGCACGAAAATTTTTCGTTTCGTGTTCCCTCTTCTTCTTTTTTAGCTTTAAGGAAATTATGAATTTCCTTCCTCTTCTTTTCCTCCGCCTTAAGGAACGTAAAGAAAAATTTCTCTTCTTTTCTTTTTCTTCCTACCTATAGGCGTTTATTTTCGTCCACAAAACGAAACCCTATTGGTGGTGTTAAGGGGAGAAAAGGTGGTGGGGAGTTAGGCATAAAAGGGTGGGTGAGTGTAAATGAACTCAAGAAGCATCTGTATCATTTTGGCCAAAGAACCCTGACCTTCGGGGATTGGAGGTAGGTTGGGGTATCCGAGGTTCTGATTTTTAGACCTGAAACCGTCCTAAGGAAAATTTTTCGAAAACTTGTCTTGACCATTTTCTCTTAACTCGATCTCCACCCTGCTTCGACGAATATGGGCCTTTAAGTGAAAAGGAAATTAATTAGCAAAATTTTTCAGGGAAAAGGGCTAAAAGGGGAGAATCCACACGGAGAAGAACCTTAAATTCTTGGTCTTTAGAAACCCCAAATATTTTTTTCATAAAATAATTTTTAATTTTTTTTTTCAGAGAAGTTGATAAAGTTTTGTCATTTGCCCAATCAAATCTTGCGGATAAATGCTCGGATATTCCTCAAGAATTATTTGCGAAGTTGGAACAAACTTATGCACTTCTTGCTTTTGATAACCCAGAAACTTCTCCTTTTGGATATCTCATGGTTTTTTTTTCAATTTGTTTTTAAATTTTGAGGGATTTGTAGGAAGGGGGGAATCCTTTAGGTCTTTTGTCCCCAAGCTCCTTTTTAGTCTTTTTTCTCCCAGCTCTTTTTTTTGTTTGATAAAGGTGGGTGGTAGGGATGAGCAGAGGTATTCTTAAGAAAATTGGACCGGATTCTGCTCTCCGATCCAGAGTTTCTTCCTTCGATTTTGAGGTTTAAAGACCATCCATCCAATTAACCATGATGCGGTTGTTCTCATACGTCTCACCGTCTCGGTCTCAGCCTAAAAAATTTTTTCCTAATCAGGACTGGAGTAAATGTTGATTTTTTTGTTTGTTATTTTGAGTCGTTATTTTTATCTCGTCGGCTTTCTCCTCCTCAAAAATTTTTTTGATTTAGCGAGGGATAACATTAAATTAAAGAAAGGGGAAAAATTTGAGCTAAATTAAAAAAAAATTTTTTAAAGAGTCTGAATCAACGCAATATGCTTGCATATGAAGTCAATGAAGCAATTCTATCCACCTTAAACAAACCTTCAATTTCTCGATTGGAAAAATTGTTTCGAGTCATGGTTTGGAACCATCATCAGCAGAAAACAAAGGATGATGGACGCTTATTGACCAAAGAAAATGCTGAAGATATTTCAAAAATTTTATTTGGAATAAGAGAAGATGATGGAATGAATGAATTACTTTGAGAAGAAATTGAAGAAAAGGCTCCCCTACAAAGGATAGATGAATTAAAGGATAGATGCGCTAAAGGATAGATACGGCCAAAAACTATCAAAGGATATATGCATCAAAGGATAGATGCGCTAAAGGATAGATACGGCCAAAAGCGATCAAAGGATAGACAGCTGAATAGGTCGTTTGAGTCTGGACAAAAATGTTTAACAATCTGAATCTTCGCTGGAAAAACTGTTTTTGTGCTGCTATGGAGGGTAGGCCGGGCATGGTCTTCGCTACACGATGGCCGTGCTTCGCTACGGTCGTGCTCGCTTCCTCGCGGCGACCATAGCGAAGCGGCGGCCGTCGTTCCGCTCGACATGCCCGGCTTCCTCCGCAGCGGCAAAAACTTTTTACCGTGAATATACTAAAGTACGAATAAAATAAAAATCAGAACAGAAACATGAAATCAGAACAAAGATCAGAAAAAAACAAAGATCAGGCACTCAACAGTCGGTACTCAACTGGACTCCAAACTTTATCTATGTTTTACCCAATTTTAGAGTGTCTATACTTTAATGGATTTTACCCCTATCTATCCTTTGGCGCATCTATCCTTTGATGCATCTATCCTTTAATCGTTTTTTGCCTTATCTATCCTTTAGCAGCTTTTGGCCGCGTCTATCCTTTGATCGATTTTAGCCGTATCTATCCTTTGATTCATCTATCCTTTGAGCGGGCACGGAAGAAAAGAATGAAGAAAAAAAACGAAATAAAAATTTTTTTATTTGAAAGCTTCACTGTTCTAATAAAATACATTTTGCCAATTTTTGACGTAGCTTTTGTCATTTTAAAATTGGTGGTTTATAGGGATTGTAACAACCACGAAGGGATATTTTTCTTGGTTCTATTTGATAGAGGACCCCCGATTTCCTATTGTAATGTGATATCCGCTATCTTGTAAAATTATTTTGGGCCGAGTTATGGCCATCCAAAGTTGGAACGCTAGAGACTGGGGTTATGGTGTAGACGAGCAACTTCTCTCTTCTTTTTCAGCCTCAAAAACCGTCACGCACATTTCTCTTATTTATTGTGCGTGACATTTTTTCTCTCTGCCTTTTCCTCGTGATTGTTGTTTTCTTCTTCATCTGCATAAAGAAATGTGAAGAAACCAGAGAGAGTGAAAAAAAGAAATAGCTTGTTTTCTTTTCCCTTTTCCGGATACTCAAACACTCCAAAAGCTAATACGGCGATGATCTCGAATTTCGTAACGCTGTCTTTAATAATACTATAAAAACCCCCCAATTCACATCCGCTTTACCAGTTTGTTCGACTTTATATTCATTTTAATCCGTATTTTAATTGAATTTTCTTTTTTCAGTAAATTTTATTATTTGACGTAAATTTATTGTTGCTGTTTGTTTTTCAGCCATGGGTATTTTTACAGTTTTTAATAGGTTTCTTATCTTTATTTTGACAGGATTTGAATCGAAAAAGACACCAAAAAAAGAAGAAAAAGGACAGGAAGCAGGGCCGAGTGATAAAAAAAGAAGGAAAAAACTCCGGAAAAGAAGGAAAAAACTCCTGAAAAAATTAAAAAAGAAGGGAATTCAAAAGATGGAAAGATAAAAAAGGATGGAAAGGAAGAATTGAAGAATGATGGAAAAATTAAAAAGGAAAAGAAAGAGGTTTCAAAAAAGAAGGAAAATGTTAAAAAAGAAGGAAAGGAACATTCAAAAGATGGGAAAGTTAAAAAGGAAGGACAGGAAAATTCAAAAGATGGGAAAGTTAAAAAGGAAGGAAAGGAAAATTCAAAAGATGGGAAAGTTAAAAAGGGAGGACAGGAAAATTCAAAAGATGGGAAAGTTAAAAAGGGAGGAAAGGAAGAATTGAAGAATGATGGAAAGGCTAAATTGGAAAAGAAAGAGGTTTCAAAGAAGAAGGAAAATGTTAAAAAAGAAGGAGAAGGAAAAGAAGGAAAGAAGAAGGAAAAGGTTAAAAAAGAAGGAAAACAAGCGTCATCAAAAGGGGGTATTGAAGATACCCAGGCCGTAACTTATGAGGAAGTGGAGGTGGCTTCTGTCCACTCGGTATTTTTTCTTAATTTAATTAAATTAGCTTATTCTCTTTTTACAGACTTCAACAAAATCGGAAGAAAGCGATAAAGAAGATGAGTAAAAGAAGTTAATAAAAATAGAAATTTTTTTGTCAAAAAATTGTTGTGATGTTTATTAAGAATCAGGGATGGAATGGGCTGAGAAATGAGTCGGGGTTTAAAAATTTTCCTAGAATCGGGTTTCGGGTCGATAAAAAGTGTTTCGGGCCGGGTCAATTAAAATTTTCTGAAAATCCAGATTTTTCGGAGCGTTTGAGGGATATTAGTGATTTGGGGACGATGAGGGGGATACCGGTGGATTTACACGAATTAAGGGTCGGGTTTCGGGTCAAAAAAAGTTCGGGTTTTGGGTAACCCGTCCTATCCCTGATATAAATATATTTTCTCGTTGTTATATAAATAAATATTTGTGCTGGATTTGTTAAGACTAGCTAACATAGTCCCGATTTCCTTTTGTTTGTCATAGGTACCAAAATTGTTTGGTGGGGACCAAACTTTTCCTATCTTTGACCAAAATTTTTTCTTTGTAGTTAAAAAATCATCAAAAAAATCATTTTAGTTTATTGTTAGTATGAATTCTTTTCTTCTCTCCTCTATTATGGAAGTCATTTAATAAGTTGTGGCCTTCTCACTTATGGCGATTTGTCTTCATTTGTTATTTATGCAATTCTCTGTTCTGCAAACATTTCAAACATTCAAATTTTTTATTCCGAACTTATGCGTGGATTGTGAGCGTCTTCTCGTCTTTTTGAATTGAGAGATACAGAACTAAAAATTCCTTTGAGTGGTAAGTAGGAGAGGGTTTTTCATGTTGGGTAATAATAGTCGGATTCGTTCCATGCATTTTTCACATTCATTTTTTTTGGATTTTTGGTTAATTTTTGAGCATTACTTGGGTTCCCTAATCTAGCCACTTCCCTAATCTAACCGATTCCCTAATCTAGCCACATAAAGGCTATTCTACTACCCTCAAAAGGGTCTTATGATAGGTATCAAGGGTACCGATTCCCTAATCTAGCCACATGAAGGCTATTCTACTACCCTCAAAAGGGTCTTATGATAGGTATCAAGGGTACCGATTCCCTAATCTAGCCACATGAAGGCTATTCTACTACCCTAAAAAGGGTCTTATGATAGGTATCGAGGGTACCGATTCCCTAATCTAGCCACATGAAGGCTATTCTACTACCCTCAAAAGGGTCTTATGATAGGTATCAAGGGTACTAATTCCCTAATCTAGCCTCATAAGGGCTATTCTACTACCCTCAAAAGGGTCTTATAATAGGTATCAAGGGTACCAATTCCCTAATCTAGCCTCATAAGGGCTATTTACTACCCTCAAAAGGGTCTTATAATAGGTATCAAGGGTACCTATTCCCTAATCTAGCCTCATAAGGGCTATTCTACTACCCTCAAAAGGGTCTTATAATAGGTATCAAGGGTACCAATTCCCTAATCTAGCCTCATAAGGGCTATTCTACTATCCTCAAAAGGGTCTTATAATAGGTATCAAGGGTACCAATTCCCTAATCTAGCCTCATAAGGGCTATTCTACTACCCTCAAAAGGGTCTTATAATAGGTATCAAGGGTACCAATTCCCTAATCTAGCCTCATAAGGGCTATTCTACTACCCTCAAAAGGGTCTTATAATAGGTATCAAGGGTACCAATTCCCTAATCTAGCCTCATAAGGGCTATTCTACTACCCTCAAAAGGGTCTTATAATAGGTATCAAGGGTACCAATTCCCTAATCTAGCCTCATAAGGGCTATTCTACTACCCTCAAAAGGGTCTTATGATAGGTATCAAGGGTACCGATTCCCTAATCTAGCCACATGAAGGCTATTCTACTACCCTCAAAAGGGTCTTATGATAGGTATCAAGGGTACCGATTCCCTAATCTAGCCACATGAAGGCTATTCTACTACCCTAAAAAGGGTCTTATGATAGGTATCAAGGGAACCGATTCCCTAATCTAGCCACATAAAGGCTATTCTACTACCCTCAAAAGGGTCTTATGATAGGTATCAAGGGTACCGATTCCCTAATCTAGCCACATGAAGGCTATTCTACTACCCTCAAAAGGGTCTTATAATAGGTATCAAGGGTACCAATTCCCTAATCTAGCCTCATAAGGGCTATTCTACTACCCTCAAAAGGGTCTTATAATAGGTATCAAGGGTACCAATTCCCTAATCTAGCCCCATAAGGGCTATTCTACTACCCTCAAAAGGGTCTTATAATAGGTATCAAGGGTACCAATTCCCTAATCTAGCCTCATAAGGGCTATTCTACTACCCTCAAAAGGGTCTTATGATAGGTATCAAGGGTACTAATTCCCTAATCTAGCCTCATAAGGGCTATTCTACTACCCTCAAAAGGGTCTTATAATAGGTATCAAGGGTACTAATTCCCTAATCTAGCCTCATAAGGGCTATTCTACTACCCTCAAAAGGGTCTTATAATAGGTATCAAGGGTACCAATTCCCTAATCTAGCCTCATAAGGGCTATTCTACTACCCTCAAAAGGGTCTTATGATAGGTATCAAGGGTACCGATTCCCTAATCTAGCCACATGAAGGCTATTCTACTACCCTCAAAAGGGTCTTATGATAGGTATCAAGGGTACCGATTCCCTAATCTAGCCACATGAAGGCTATTCTACTACCCTAAAAAGGGTCTTATGATAGGTATCAAGGGAACCGATTCCCTAATCTAGCCACATAAAGGCTATTCTACTACCCTCAAAAGGGTCTTATAATAGGTATCAAGGGTACCAATTCCCTAATCTAGCCTCATAAGGGCTATTTTACTACCCTCAAAAGGGTCTTATAATAGGTATCAAGGGTACCTATTCCCTAATCTAGCCTCATAAGGGCTATTCTACTACCCTCAAAAGGGTCTTATAATAGGTATCAAGGGTACCAATTCCCTAATCTAGCCTCATAAGGGCTATTCTACTATCCTCAAAAGGGTCTTATAATAGGTATCAAGGGTACCAATTCCCTAATCTAGCCTCATAAGGGCTATTCTACTACCCTCAAAAGGGTCTTATAATAGGTATCAAGGGTACCAATTCCCTAATCTAGCCTCATAAGGGCTATTCTACTACCCTCAAAAGGGTCTTATAATAGGTATCAAGGGTACCAATTCCCTAATCTAGCCTCATAAGGGCTATTCTACTACCCTCAAAAGGGTCTTATAATAGGTATCAAGGGTACCAATTCCCTAATCTAGCCTCATAAGGGCTATTCTACTACCCTCAAAAGGGTCTTATGATAGGTATCAAGGGTACCGATTCCCTAATCTAGCCACATGAAGGCTATTCTACTACCCTCAAAAGGGTCTTATGATAGGTATCAAGGGTACCGATTCCCTAATCTAGCCACATGAAGGCTATTCTACTACCCTAAAAAGGGTCTTATGATAGGTATCAAGGGAACCGATTCCCTAATCTAGCCACATAAAGGCTATTCTACTACCCTCAAAAGGGTCTTATGATAGGTATCAAGGGTACCGATTCCCTAATCTAGCCACATGAAGGCTATTCTACTACCCTCAAAAGGGTCTTATAATAGGTATCAAGGGTACCAATTCCCTAATCTAGCCTCATAAGGGCTATTCTACTACCCTCAAAAGGGTCTTATAATAGGTATCAAGGGTACCAATTCCCTAATCTAGCCCCATAAGGGCTATTCTACTACCCTCAAAAGGGTCTTATAATAGGTATCAAGGGTACCAATTCCCTAATCTAGCCTCATAAGGGCTATTCTACTACCCTCAAAAGGGTCTTATGATAGGTATCAAGGGTACTAATTCCCTAATCTAGCCTCATAAGGGCTATTCTACTACCCTCAAAAGGGTCTTATAATAGGTATCAAGGGTACTAATTCCCTAATCTAGCCTCATAAGGGCTATTCTACTACCCTCAAAAGGGTCTTATAATAGGTATCAAGGGTACCAATTCCCTAATCTAGCCTCATAAGGGCTATTCTACTACCCTCAAAAGGGTCTTATGATAGGTATCAAGGGTACCGATTCCCTAATCTAGCCACATGAAGGCTATTCTACTACCCTCAAAAGGGTCTTATGATAGGTATCAAGGGTACCGATTCCCTAATCTAGCCACATGAAGGCTATTCTACTACCCTAAAAAGGGTCTTATGATAGGTATCAAGGGAACCGATTCCCTAATCTAGCCACATAAAGGCTATTCTACTACCCTCAAAAGGGTCTTATAATAGGTATCAAGGGTACCAATTCCCTAATCTAGCCTCATAAGGGCTATTTTACTACCCTCAAAAGGGTCTTATAATAGGTATCAAGGGTACCTATTCCCTAATCTAGCCTCATAAGGGCTATTCTACTACCCTCAAAAGGGTCTTATAATAGGTATCAAGGGTACCAATTCCCTAATCTAGCCTCATAAGGGCTATTCTACTATCCTCAAAAGGGTCTTATAATAGGTATCAAGGGTACCAATTCCCTAATCTAGCCTCATAAGGGCTATTCTACTACCCTCAAAAGGGTCTTATAATAGGTATCAAGGGTACCAATTCCCTAATCTAGCCTCATAAGGGCTATTCTACTACCCTCAAAAGGGTCTTATAATAGGTATCAAGGGTACCAATTCCCTAATCTAGCCTCATAAGGGCTATTCTACTACCCTCAAAAGGGTCTTATAATAGGTATCAAGGGTACCAATTCCCTAATCTAGCCTCATAAGGGCTATTCTACTACCCTCAAAAGGGTCTTATGATAGGTATCAAGGGTACCGATTCCCTAATCTAGCCACATGAAGGCTATTCTACTACCCTCAAAAGGGTCTTATGATAGGTATCAAGGGTACCGATTCCCTAATCTAGCCACATGAAGGCTATTCTACTACCCTAAAAAGGGTCTTATGATAGGTATCAAGGGAACCGATTCCCTAATCTAGCCACATAAAGGCTATTCTACTACCCTCAAAAGGGTCTTATGATAGGTATCAAGGGTACCGATTCCCTAATCTAGCCACATGAAGGCTATTCTACTACCCTCAAAAGGGTCTTATAATAGGTATCAAGGGTACCAATTCCCTAATCTAGCCTCATAAGGGCTATTCTACTACCCTCAAAAGGGTCTTATAATAGGTATCAAGGGTACCAATTCCCTAATCTAGCCCCATAAGGGCTATTCTACTACCCTCAAAAGGGTCTTATAATAGGTATCAAGGGTACTAATTCCCTAATCTAGCCTCATAAGGGCTATTCTACTACCCTCAAAAGGGTCTTATAATAGGTATCAAGGGTACCAATTCCCTAATCTAGCCTCATAAGGGCTATTTTACTACCCTCAAAAGGGTCTTATAATAGGTATCAAGGGTACCTATTCCCTAATCTAGCCTCATAAGGGCTATTCTACTACCCTCAAAAGGGTCTTATAATAGGTATCAAGGGTACCAATTCCCTAATCTAGCCTCATAAGGGCTATTCTACTATCCTCAAAAGGGTCTTATAATAGGTATCAAGGGTACCAATTCCCTAATCTAGCCTCATAAGGGCTATTCTACTACCCTCAAAAGGGTCTTATAATAGGTATCAAGGGTACCAATTCCCTAATCTAGCCTCATAAGGGCTATTCTACTACCCTCAAAAGGGTCTTATAATAGGTATCAAGGGTACCAATTCCCTAATCTAGCCTCATAAGGGCTATTCTACTACCCTCAAAAGGGTCTTATAATAGGTATCAAGGGTACCAATTCCCTAATCTAGCCTCATAAGGGCTATTCTACTACCCTCAAAAGGGTCTTATAATAGGTATCAAGGGTACCAATTCCCTAATCTAGCCTCATAAGGGCTATTCTACTACCCTCAAAAGGGTCTTATAATAGGTATCAAGGGTACCAATTCCCTAATCGGTATTATTCCCCTCTCAAATCCCCCAAATATATCTTTACTTTCTTCTCACCCAAAGTCCCTAATTTAGAGGGTTTTCCGGTATTATTCCCCTCTCAAATCCCCCAAATATATCTGTATATTCTTCGCGTCTAAGGTCCTTAATTTATGCCCAAAGGTCCTTAATTTAATTTTCAAATCCTCCGATATTAACGTCGTTCTGGCGTTGTGTATTTTAAAAAATTTGTTCGCGATTAATTGTATTCGCCGCGAATTTGATATTCGTTCACTAAAGCCGAACATTAATTGTTGTCCATTTTATTTTTCATAATCCCTTGTTGTATTTTCAATCGTAGTTTAAACAATTTAAAAGAAGATAGTCAAAATACTTTGGTAATTCCATCTGTCTTTTATTATTTTTAAGAGATGGCGTCTGTGCCTCACGGTAATTTTGTGCCTCATTCATCGCCTTTATCAGTATCTTATTCTTATGGTCCACGTTCTTCTCCACCTCAAAACAACGAAAAAAATAAAGATGCTGAAGTTTGTTACACAAACGAGTATATTTTTTAAGGATATATTTTTTACACGCCCAAAACGGCGCGAGTCCATAACGGCGCAAAGCCATAACTTGCTTCAAGATTTACGAATCCGATTATATTCAGTGTCAAACGATTCCTCTCTTCGAGCTAGGGAGATTGGTACCAAAATTGATAAGGGCCAGAAATTTTCCAGCAAGTTATGGCCTCGCGCCGTTACGGCTCTGCGCCGTTATTGGCTGTACCTATTTTTGCTTACTTTTTAAAAATTTTCAGGGCCGACATACAAAATCAACGACCTTCAAGAACTTTGCCAAATCCCTTAAAAAATTTGAGTGCCCAAAAGAACAGCAGATCAATACTTAAAAATCCGTCTGAGGGAAGAGGAGAGTCACAAGAAAGGAGAGGTTTTAAGCATGGTTCAAATCAGAGTTTAGCTAGTAATTCTGAAAAGAAGTCTGTCAACAATAACAGCAATAGACAACCTGTTCAACGCAAAGAAACTTTAAAAACTGTGGCTTTTGGGTTAACCACAAAGTTGGAGGAAACTGTTTTGGTTTGATTTCTAATGATTTTTTGAACGATTTTTGGTTTTATTTTTAAGGGAAAAGAAGGGAAGGTACCTGCAACACCTCGTGATGGAAGAACAAAAACTATAATATTTTCTCATGAAGCTCAGTCCTTGCATAAATTGGTTAGTTTTTGAGTATTTATTGATTTTAAGATTGGTAGATTGGGATGGCTTTTTACTAGAGATCGAGATTTTTGAAAAGCCTGGGCCTGGACGCTGGATTTGATGCATTTACCTGGGCCGGATTCTGGGAGTCCGGGAAAACCCCAGCCCTAGGAAAAGCCCCAGGAATTAAGAAATGCCTGGACCTGGACTCTGGGTACAGGAAAACCCAGTCCTTGGTCCAGAACCAGTTCGATCTTTGCTTTTTATTAACAAGTTTTATAATAGTCTCCCGTAATGGTTTTGTGATTTCCATGGGGTCGTTCTTGGAATCCTTTGACCATTAATCTTTCTGTTAGCTTTATAGGACATTTTAACTCCTTTATCATAAATAGATTCTGAAATCTTGTATCCATGGGCCATCAATCTATTTAGGAAGGCTGCCTTGTTTTCCCAGGGGTTGCTTCTTGCTTCTTCTCTAATCCTTCCTTTAATACAAAGGCAAAATTATGGTTGTTTTCGAGGGCAGCATGGATTCGGACAAGGTTCAACCAAACTTTCCCTATCTCTTCATCCTCTGAACAATTCCTTGATCTTTGACAGCAATTCTGAATTTTTTCCTATATTTTTTAGATTCAAGACCAGAAACATCAAATAGACACATTACGCGATACTATTGAAGATTTGAGGGCAGAACAGGAAAATCAACGTGTTGGGTCTCGTGAATTAATTGATATTATTTCAGGTTTTTTTAAACTTTTTATTTTTTCAATTTCCCTTTTTTCAGCTCTCGCTACTCGTTTACAAGAAGTGGAAAAACAAAAAACTACGGCAAATACAAGCCTTCCATTAATTTCGAATTTGTCACTCAAAAATTCCAACAAAAAAGAGTTGCCAACAAAATCAGCACCAACAAAAGTAGATAAAGCGACATCGATTGAAAACGTTCCAAACAACAACCAAGAAGTCAGACAAAACAAAGAAAATAGAGGAAATTCTGCTGATTTGGTACTTCATCAACGTAATGATTTTCTTCGCCGGTTGGAATCTGAAATGACTAAAAATCCTCGTTTTGAGCAAAGATTACATTCAATGTTGAGGGTTTGGTCTGAAGATAGTTCTGTTCCTCCTGCTATTTATAGGTTTATTTTTTTTATTAAGGGTTGGGTCTTGGGCATGATGTTATTGAAACGTTGAAATACCAAGCGCTATAATCAGGCTCGTAACCCGGATTTTTTTGGAAAGGGGTGGGGGACAAGGGGGAAAATTTTGGTGCTGTGGACGAAAAAAAATCACTTTTTTCCTCAGTCCCTTTATTTTTTCTTTACCCCATTTCGGGGAGAAGGAGCAAATTCCACCCATACCCTTCTGGGTACGGGCCTGCCTATATATAATATCTGTTGGAATGGCGTCATGATGGTATTTCGGTGCTTTGTTATTTTAAAGGTTCCGGTGTTAGGGTCGTGTAGAATAAATTTTGGGTTATTAACCAGGTTCGAGAGTTTACTTGTAAAATATACGGGTGAATGTTTTCCTATGGGTATGTGTTTTTGCGGATTACTTTTGCGGACATTTTGCATTATTGCTCATTTTTTCAATTTAATTTAAAAATTTTTTTAAGTAAAAACAACAATCTTCCACAAGAAAACGAGGAAAGTTGTGGTCCGTCAATGGTTATGAGAGTGACAACTCAACGACAAGAAATTTTCTATACATCCCCAGGTCGATGTTCTAATAATGTTAGATAATAATGTCTACTACCCTAAAATGTCTACTACCCTGTTCTAATAATGTCTACTACCCTAAAAAGGGTCTTATGATAGGTATCAAGGGAACCGATTCCCTAATCTAGCCACATAAAGGCTATTCTACTACCCTCAAAAGGGTCTTATGATAGGTATCAAGGGTACCGATTCCCTAATCTAGCCACATGAAGGCTATTCTACTACCCTCAAAAGGGTCTTATAATAGGTATCAAGGGTACCAATTCCCTAATCTAGCCTCATAAGGGCTATTCTACTACCCTCAAAAGGGTCTTATAATAGGTATCAAGGGTACCAATTCCCTAATCTAGCCCCATAAGGGCTATTCTACTACCCTCAAAAGGGTCTTATAATAGGTATCAAGGGTACCAATTCCCTAATCTAGCCTCATAAGGGCTATTCTACTACCCTCAAAAGGGTCTTATGATAGGTATCAAGGGTACTAATTCCCTAATCTAGCCTCATAAGGGCTATTCTACTACCCTCAAAAGGGTCTTATAATAGGTATCAAGGGTACTAATTCCCTAATCTAGCCTCATAAGGGCTATTCTACTACCCTCAAAAGGGTCTTATAATAGGTATCAAGGGTACCAATTCCCTAATCTAGCCTCATAAGGGCTATTCTACTACCCTCAAAAGGGTCTTATGATAGGTATCAAGGGTACCGATTCCCTAATCTAGCCACATGAAGGCTATTCTACTACCCTCAAAAGGGTCTTATGATAGGTATCAAGGGTACCGATTCCCTAATCTAGCCACATGAAGGCTATTCTACTACCCTAAAAAGGGTCTTATGATAGGTATCAAGGGAACCGATTCCCTAATCTAGCCACATAAAGGCTATTCTACTACCCTCAAAAGGGTCTTATAATAGGTATCAAGGGTACCAATTCCCTAATCTAGCCTCATAAGGGCTATTTTACTACCCTCAAAAGGGTCTTATAATAGGTATCAAGGGTACCTATTCCCTAATCTAGCCTCATAAGGGCTATTCTACTACCCTCAAAAGGGTCTTATAATAGGTATCAAGGGTACCAATTCCCTAATCTAGCCTCATAAGGGCTATTCTACTATCCTCAAAAGGGTCTTATAATAGGTATCAAGGGTACCAATTCCCTAATCTAGCCTCATAAGGGCTATTCTACTACCCTCAAAAGGGTCTTATAATAGGTATCAAGGGTACCAATTCCCTAATCTAGCCTCATAAGGGCTATTCTACTACCCTCAAAAGGGTCTTATAATAGGTATCAAGGGTACCAATTCCCTAATCTAGCCTCATAAGGGCTATTCTACTACCCTCAAAAGGGTCTTATAATAGGTATCAAGGGTACCAATTCCCTAATCTAGCCTCATAAGGGCTATTCTACTACCCTCAAAAGGGTCTTATGATAGGTATCAAGGGTACCGATTCCCTAATCTAGCCACATGAAGGCTATTCTACTACCCTCAAAAGGGTCTTATGATAGGTATCAAGGGTACCGATTCCCTAATCTAGCCACATGAAGGCTATTCTACTACCCTAAAAAGGGTCTTATGATAGGTATCAAGGGAACCGATTCCCTAATCTAGCCACATAAAGGCTATTCTACTACCCTCAAAAGGGTCTTATGATAGGTATCAAGGGTACCGATTCCCTAATCTAGCCACATGAAGGCTATTCTACTACCCTCAAAAGGGTCTTATAATAGGTATCAAGGGTACCAATTCCCTAATCTAGCCTCATAAGGGCTATTCTACTACCCTCAAAAGGGTCTTATAATAGGTATCAAGGGTACCAATTCCCTAATCTAGCCCCATAAGGGCTATTCTACTACCCTCAAAAGGGTCTTATAATAGGTATCAAGGGTACTAATTCCCTAATCTAGCCTCATAAGGGCTATTCTACTACCCTCAAAAGGGTCTTATAATAGGTATCAAGGGTACCAATTCCCTAATCTAGCCTCATAAGGGCTATTTTACTACCCTCAAAAGGGTCTTATAATAGGTATCAAGGGTACCTATTCCCTAATCTAGCCTCATAAGGGCTATTCTACTACCCTCAAAAGGGTCTTATAATAGGTATCAAGGGTACCAATTCCCTAATCTAGCCTCATAAGGGCTATTCTACTATCCTCAAAAGGGTCTTATAATAGGTATCAAGGGTACCAATTCCCTAATCTAGCCTCATAAGGGCTATTCTACTACCCTCAAAAGGGTCTTATAATAGGTATCAAGGGTACCAATTCCCTAATCTAGCCTCATAAGGGCTATTCTACTACCCTCAAAAGGGTCTTATAATAGGTATCAAGGGTACCAATTCCCTAATCTAGCCTCATAAGGGCTATTCTACTACCCTCAAAAGGGTCTTATAATAGGTATCAAGGGTACCAATTCCCTAATCTAGCCTCATAAGGGCTATTCTACTACCCTCAAAAGGGTCTTATAATAGGTATCAAGGGTACCAATTCCCTAATCTAGCCTCATAAGGGCTATTCTACTACCCTCAAAAGGGTCTTATAATAGGTATCAAGGGTACCAATTCCCTAATCGGTATTATTCCCCTCTCAAATCCCCCAAATATATCTTTACTTTCTTCTCACCCAAAGTCCCTAATTTAGAGGGTTTTCCGGTATTATTCCCCTCTCAAATCCCCCAAATATATCTGTATATTCTTCGCGTCTAAGGTCCTTAATTTATGCCCAAAGGTCCTTAATTTAATTTTCAAATCCTCCGATATTAACGTCGTTCTGGCGTTGTGTATTTTAAAAAATTTGTTCGCGATTAATTGTATTCGCCGCGAATTTGATATTCGTTCACTAAAGCCGAACATTAATTGTTGTCCATTTTATTTTTCATAATCCCTTGTTGTATTTTCAATCGTAGTTTAAACAATTTAAAAGAAGATAGTCAAAATACTTTGGTAATTCCATCTGTCTTTTATTATTTTTAAGAGATGGCGTCTGTGCCTCACGGTAATTTTGTGCCTCATTCATCGCCTTTATCAGTATCTTATTCTTATGGTCCACGTTCTTCTCCACCTCAAAACAACGAAAAAAATAAAGATGCTGAAGTTTGTTACACAAACGAGTATATTTTTTAAGGATATATTTTTTACACGCCCAAAACGGCGCGAGTCCATAACGGCGCAAAGCCATAACTTGCTTCAAGATTTACGAATCCGATTATATTCAGTGTCAAACGATTCCTCTCTTCGAGCTAGGGAGATTGGTACCAAAATTGATAAGGGCCAGAAATTTTCCAGCAAGTTATGGCCTCGCGCCGTTACGGCTCTGCGCCGTTATTGGCTGTACCTATTTTTGCTTACTTTTTAAAAATTTTCAGGGCCGACATACAAAATCAACGACCTTCAAGAACTTTGCCAAATCCCTTAAAAAATTTGAGTGCCCAAAAGAACAGCAGATCAATACTTAAAAATCCGTCTGAGGGAAGAGGAGAGTCACAAGAAAGGAGAGGTTTTAAGCATGGTTCAAATCAGAGTTTAGCTAGTAATTCTGAAAAGAAGTCTGTCAACAATAACAGCAATAGACAACCTGTTCAACGCAAAGAAACTTTAAAAACTGTGGCTTTTGGGTTAACCACAAAGTTGGAGGAAACTGTTTTGGTTTGATTTCTAATGATTTTTTGAACGATTTTTGGTTTTATTTTTAAGGGAAAAGAAGGGAAGGTACCTGCAACACCTCGTGATGGAAGAACAAAAACTATAATATTTTCTCATGAAGCTCAGTCCTTGCATAAATTGGTTAGTTTTTGAGTATTTATTGATTTTAAGATTGGTAGATTGGGATGGCTTTTTACTAGAGATCGAGATTTTTGAAAAGCCTGGGCCTGGACGCTGGATTTGATGCATTTACCTGGGCCGGATTCTGGGAGTCCGGGAAAACCCCAGCCCTAGGAAAAGCCCCAGGAATTAAGAAATGCCTGGACCTGGACTCTGGGTACAGGAAAACCCAGTCCTTGGTCCAGAACCAGTTCGATCTTTGCTTTTTATTAACAAGTTTTATAATAGTCTCCCGTAATGGTTTTGTGATTTCCATGGGGTCGTTCTTGGAATCCTTTGACCATTAATCTTTCTGTTAGCTTTATAGGACATTTTAACTCCTTTATCATAAATAGATTCTGAAATCTTGTATCCATGGGCCATCAATCTATTTAGGAAGGCTGCCTTGTTTTCCCAGGGGTTGCTTCTTGCTTCTTCTCTAATCCTTCCTTTAATACAAAGGCAAAATTATGGTTGTTTTCGAGGGCAGCATGGATTCGGACAAGGTTCAACCAAACTTTCCCTATCTCTTCATCCTCTGAACAATTCCTTGATCTTTGACAGCAATTCTGAATTTTTTCCTATATTTTTTAGATTCAAGACCAGAAACATCAAATAGACACATTACGCGATACTATTGAAGATTTGAGGGCAGAACAGGAAAATCAACGTGTTGGGTCTCGTGAATTAATTGATATTATTTCAGGTTTTTTTAAACTTTTTATTTTTTCAATTTCCCTTTTTTCAGCTCTCGCTACTCGTTTACAAGAAGTGGAAAAACAAAAAACTACGGCAAATACAAGCCTTCCATTAATTTCGAATTTGTCACTCAAAAATTCCAACAAAAAAGAGTTGCCAACAAAATCAGCACCAACAAAAGTAGATAAAGCGACATCGATTGAAAACGTTCCAAACAACAACCAAGAAGTCAGACAAAACAAAGAAAATAGAGGAAATTCTGCTGATTTGGTACTTCATCAACGTAATGATTTTCTTCGCCGGTTGGAATCTGAAATGACTAAAAATCCTCGTTTTGAGCAAAGATTACATTCAATGTTGAGGGTTTGGTCTGAAGATAGTTCTGTTCCTCCTGCTATTTATAGGTTTATTTTTTTTATTAAGGGTTGGGTCTTGGGCATGATGTTATTGAAACGTTGAAATACCAAGCGCTATAATCAGGCTCGTAACCCGGATTTTTTTGGAAAGGGGTGGGGGACAAGGGGGAAAATTTTGGTGCTGTGGACGAAAAAAAATCACTTTTTTCCTCAGTCCCTTTATTTTTTCTTTACCCCATTTCGGGGAGAAGGAGCAAATTCCACCCATACCCTTCTGGGTACGGGCCTGCCTATATATAATATCTGTTGGAATGGCGTCATGATGGTATTTCGGTGCTTTGTTATTTTAAAGGTTCCGGTGTTAGGGTCGTGTAGAATAAATTTTGGGTTATTAACCAGGTTCGAGAGTTTACTTGTAAAATATACGGGTGAATGTTTTCCTATGGGTATGTGTTTTTGCGGATTACTTTTGCGGACATTTTGCATTATTGCTCATTTTTTCAATTTAATTTAAAAATTTTTTTAAGTAAAAACAACAATCTTCCACAAGAAAACGAGGAAAGTTGTGGTCCGTCAATGGTTATGAGAGTGACAACTCAACGACAAGAAATTTTCTATACATCCCCAGGTCGATGTTCTAATAATGTTAGACGATTCCCTCGTGCTGAAAATATAAGGGATGGTGACAGACAGAGACATAATTTTCGAAGAGAGAGGGAAGAGAATAATCTTAACAATACAAAACCGAATATTAAGGTTAGTTAAATTTTTATTTTTCTGAATAAAGTTGGAGGTCAATGTCTTGAGAATTTCGTTTTTGATAACCGAGGTTTTAAGAGAGGTCATCCCAAAGGGTGTGCGGACATATCGGGACTGGGGTGACAAAAATAATTTCTTGCGTGTTAAAATAATTACTTGCCGTAGTTCCCGAAATCAGTAGGGTAACTGTTCGTGCATTGAAATATCTCGATATGTCCGCGTGCCATTCCAAAGACTAGAGTAGATATTGGAGCCAGGAGATGGGGACTCTGTTGTCTTTTAGAGTTGTTAAACTTCCCTTCTTTTTTAATTTGTATAGTTCAGTGTCAGATGCTTCCTTGTTAAGGAATAGGCCACCAAATTTATTTTGAACTTGAAATATGTATATTCGGGAATTTTCCCTTGTATTCTAACAATAAATATTATTAAGTAGTTTCCATTAAAAATTAGTTTACCTTCCTCCAATCTTCTAAATTAAATCAGTCTCTTAACTACGTTCCTTTGGACATTTTCATCTTTATGAGCATAACTAACATATGGCCTGGGCAAATCGAAATCAAAATTAAATAAATTTTTAGGTTGTTGAATTGGATGATGATGGAGAAGAAAAAGAAAATAGCTTAAATGAAGAAATTAATGATCATCAACGTCATCAAACAATGTCAAAAAATGTTCGTAGAAGTGAACAAATTGGGACAGACGAAGCTGCTGAATTTTTTCCACAAAGACAAAGTTTTGAAGATGAAAATGATGAGGATGACGGAGGGGATGAATTTTTTGTTGGAGGTGATCATCAGGAGAGAAGAGGACGGGAACGAGGTTTGTTAATTTTTTTTAATTTTTGCGGACAATTTTTTGCGGACAATTTTTTTGCGGATAAAATTAAGGTTGGCTTCAATAGGGTTGGTTATTGACTTGTACAAGGTGCTGACTTATAATTTTTATTTGCTTTTCTCTGACATATTCGTTCCTTTTTTAAATATCCGTTAAAATGTTAACAGAATATGTCCGCAAATTTTTATTTTTTGTCCGCAAATTTTTTTTAACTTTTTTGGGAGGTCCATTTATATTTAGAATCTACATATTTTCTTTTCTCCGGCATATTCGTTCCTTTTTTAAATATCCGTTAAAAAAAATGTTAGTCCGCAAGATTTGTCCGCAAATTTTATATTTTTTGTCCGCAAATTTTCTTTAATTTCTTGTGGGGTCCGTTTATGCTGAAAATTGTCGTCCGCAAGATTTGTCTGCAAATTTGAATTTTGTCCGCAAAATTTTTTTCAACTTTTTTGGGGGTTCATTTATAATAAAAATTGTCGTCCGCAAGATTTGTCCGCAAATTTTATATTTTTGCGGACAATTTTTGTCCGCAAATTTTTTTCTTCAACTTTTTTTTGGGAGTTCGTTTATGAATAAAAATTTTCTTTAAAGATTCAAGTCGTCATCATCACAATAATACTCATCTTAATCAAACTTTTGATGATGGTCACAATAATAATAATAATCAACATCGTTATCCATTTACTACTCGACGTCGAAAGCGTGAAGCAACATCTACAATACGAAATCGTTACCGTTAATTAAAGGATGTGGAAAAAAAATTATTTTTTTTAATTAAAGTGCGGGAAAGGTTATTTTATGAAAATATTTATTAATCTATTTTTTCTGGGTAAGGGGTAACTCAAAGAATTCCAAATCACGGAACAGACAAGTCGAGGAACGACCAACTCAGACTAGGGTTGCCGTTTTCGATTCGCGCCGACGTTCGGTGCATTTTTTTCGAGCTTGGGTTTTTCGATTCGGTTTGTTTCCGAGTTTTTCGAGTTCTAATTTTTTTGATTCGGTTCGTTTCTGAGCTGAAAAGCCTCGGCTTGCTCGATCTTTCGAGTTTCGGGTCGAGCGAGGTGGCAACTTTACTCACGACCAACTCATGGAATAGCTTAAAAATTGGAATTTTTTAAAAAATCTGAATATTTTTAAAAAATAAGAATTCTAGGAAAATTAGAATATTTTAAAAAAACAGAAGTAAAAAAATTCTGATTTTTAAAAATTCTCTGATTTTTAAAATATTCCATGATTTTGAAAAATATTCCATGAGTTGGTCGTTCCTTGACTTGTGTCCGCAAAATACTTGCGGATAAATTTTTTGTCCGCAAAACATTTGCGGACAAAATTGCTCTTTTCTGTTCCTTGACTTGTCGTTCCTTGTCTTGTCCGTTCCTTGAGTTAGCCCGACACGTTTTTTCTTGGATTGTTTTTTTAACTACAAAAATCTCTTTTTGCTATCAGTAATTTATTTTGTATGTTTGTTCTATTTTTGGGGTTTATTGAATAAAACAAGTAAATATTTATTTATTTTAAATTTAAATTGATATATATTTTTGTCACATCGTTTCTATCGATTCTTATTTTTGTTTTAATTTTCTCTTTGTTTATTAATTTTTGTGTAATGGATGGCGTGGGGTTGTGTCCGCAAAAAATTTGCGGATAAATTTTAGTCCGTAAAATATTTGCGGATAAAATAGATCTTTTTTCTGCTTTTATGAGGACTTGTTTTTTGTTTTTACCGGCTAGTAAAACCCCCCTTTTATCTTAACAATGAAAGGCCGTATTTTTGTATCGATAAAAAATTGCAAATTTGTCCGCAAAATACTTGCGGGCAAAACTTGCATTTTTTGTTTAATATCAAACTATTTTAAACGATTTTTTATCTGAAAATGTAAGAGCGGGCATTTGTCTAGATAAAGAGAATTGCAAATTTATCTGCAAAAAATTTGCGGATAGCCGCAAAATACTTGCGGACAAACTTGAATCGATATTTAAATTTTTTTAACTAGTGAATGGAAGGCAATAAATTTGATGATACTGATTTGTCTGTGTTAATTCAATTTGGAGATGAATCTTCTGAAATTATTACTGATGAATGTGCTGGTGGATTGACTCAATTATTGCTTTGTGCTGGCGAAATTTATTATGGACAATTCGTCTTACTTGGGTTTCTTTTATTTTATCAAAGAATTATTTTTTATTTTTTAGCTATAACGGTGCTGAATTAACTGGAGAACAGAAGAATCATGCAAATAATCGAAAAAATTTTTCCAAAATGTTTTTCAAACGCCGTTTGGAGCCAAATGGAATAAAGAAAGGTTCAGTCACTAAATTGAGTGGAACTGCTGCAGCCAATAAAGCTAAAGCTTTGCGTGATTCTAATAGACATACAGTGGCTTTCGGTTATGGAAAGAATGGAACTGTTGTTGTAGAGTATTTGTTAGACCCTACCAAAGATATGTTTCAGGTTTGGTGTATTTTAAGGAAGTTTTCGGGGTGATTATTTAAATAATATTTTCTGTAAAAATTAGAGATAGAGATTTTCAAAAAGCCTTGATTTTGGTTGGATATTTTGACCAGATTCTTGACCTTGAGTCAAGGAAAAATCAAGGAACTCTGAAAATGCCTTGACCTGGACTCTGGATTTGGGAAAAATCAAGGTCTGGATCCGTATCCAGCTCCCTCTCTAGTAAAATTACTAACATAAGTACCTTCCTGTTGTATGTGGATTTGTTCTAGAGGTGATTTTGAATTTAAATTTTTGACTGATTTAACTGACACTAAGTCGCTTATCTTTCATAGGGATCGGGCCTTAATTCCAAAACGTCTAAATACCAAACCACCAAAATTAGGACCAGCTCCAACCCAAATCTTTTAGAGTTCAAACTTGATATATTCACCAGGATAGCACGTCCCTGAGTTATTTAAGTATAAAGAATTTTTTTCAGATGTGTGTTGATCTAATTTTTAATTTAATTTTCTTTGTTAGATTGGCCGTTCTTCAGAAGAACAAATAGACTTTACAATAGTAGACACTTGGCTAGCTTCGGGTAATGGACATCCTTCTCCTTGTTGTGGTGGACATAATAAAAGCCGTCATTCAAGTCACCGAGAAGAACATTCCGAACAAAAAACAATTAGTTCAACAATATCTCGCTATGCTTGTCGTATTTTGGCTGAAAGGGACAAACCTCACAGAGTTTGGATTTTTTGGGTTTTAAGAAAATTTCTTTTGAAGGTTCAAATTTTTGCTGCTGGTTTTGACTCTTCTCGTAATATTTTTCTTGGAGAAAAAGCTACCAAATGGCAAAAGAAAAATGGGGAATTTGATGGATTAACTACAAATGGTGTGCTTATATTACATCCAAATTGGTGTAACGGGGAGGAGCATTCGGTTAATTTTTCTTGTTTTTGAACTGAAATTTTTTTTTATTTTTTAGGACGATACAGGAGAAATGTACATTTGGAGAGAAGGTTATTTTTTAATTGAAAAAATATTTAAAATTTATTTTTGTGTTTAGTTTCGGTAGATGGCGATATTTACACTTTGCGTTCAGCTCGATCTTCAACTCAACGTGGTGCTTTAGTTTTGGGTGAAACCAATGAACTTCAGGTTGATTTGAATTTTTAATTATTTTGTTCATTGTCTGGGCAAGGGTTCATCCAGGAGGAGGACTTATGTTAAGGGGGTACGTTCTCTGGATGGTCTCAAAATTAATTTTCTTGTTAAAATAACTGTCTGCTTTATATTTTGTAATAGCTTAATCCCCCCCTCTTCTGTTTCCAAGGGTTTAGTCGGGGGGTCGATTTCAGGGGGCAACCCCTCTGGCTGCGCCCTTGCCTCTTTCTTCTTCAGGAAACCCACGGAGTAAATGCTTCCTTCAAAAAATAATTTTCTCATTTACCCCAAATTCAGGACGGTACTCTAATCGATCTTTGCGGGGCAACACTTTTGTGGCGTTCTGCTGAAGGGCTAAAACAAAGTCCATCAAAAGTCGAATTAGAGCATAGACTTGACGAACTCAATGCTGGCAAACCTCAATGTCCAGTCAATTTAAATACTTTGGTTATTCCAAGAAAGCGACACAGCAAAAGTAGTAGTAGTTCAAAACAGCCTTATGTAAGGAAAAATTTTTTTCGAATTTTTTAAATTAAATTTTTGTAGGTCTATTTCCGTTGTGGACATGTTCAAGGGAAACACAATTGGGGAGGTATTGTGTTAAATGCTATATTTATTTTTTTGAAACTTAATTTTTGAGTAGAAAAGTTTTTCTTGGAAGTTTTTAAAATTAAAGAAAAAAGTCCGCAAATTTAGTCCAGAGAAAAAAGTCAATGGCAAAAAGTCCTTAAGTCTTGCCTAAACTTAATCCTCAAAATTTATTTTTTTGGTTAAAATTTTTTTCTATAAACTTTTTAAATTATTTTTGGAGATGTTTAAGGTATCCAATATAAAAAAAAATTTTTAAGTTCAAAAGAACGGTTCAGCAGTAACATTTCGTTGTCCAATATGCCTCGTCGACTCAGAACGTGTTGCTCAATTAACAATGGGCATGGAATCAGCCTTTCATCTTGACTCGGGTCTTTTGGAATATTCATTTAATCCGTGTGGACATATGGCTAGTAAAAGGACTGTTCGGTTTGTTTTTTTGAGAAATTTTGTCTAAAAAATTTTTTCTTTTAAAGTTATTGGTCTCGTATAACAATGCCTCATGGCACCAATTCATTCCATCCAGTATGTCCATTCTGTACATCTCTACTTACTATAGACAAGCCATTTGTTCGATTGATTTTTCAGGATCATTGCTATGAAAATTGAATTTTTAATAGGAGAAAGGTGTAAGGTTTATTTTTAGTTTTTTTAAATGTTAATTTATATGCGTGTCTCGTATATATGACGAACCTAAAAGAAAATTTTGGCTCTTGTTCAGTTTAAGCGTCCAATCGCATTTTATGCGTCCAAGCGCACCTTTATATGTCCAATCAATCTTTATACGTCCAGTGAAACGTTTATACGTTCAAACAAATTTTTATGCGTCCAATCACATATTTTAAGTACCCGGTTCTTTGTGTTAAAACCGTTGGTCTGGTAATATGTTTGTGTTTTATAACTCTAGTTGAGTAGAGGTTTCTATTTTTTGGTAATATAGTGCAGAACCGGGTACTTAAAATATGTGATTGGACGCATAAAAATTTGTTTGGACGCACAAACTTTTCATTGGACGTATAAAGATTGATTGGACGTATAAAGGTGCGATTGAACGCATAAACTGGACAAGAACCAAAATTTTTTTCTTCCAAAAAAATTCCATTTTTTGTGTGTCTTTTTTTGATTTTTTAATTAAAATCGAAAAATATCCTGCAATTGAATCTTTTATTTAAATAAAAAATAAAATTGTTCTTTCATTCACCAAAAAATTAAACTTAAAAAAATGTTCAAAAATTCTGTCATAATTTGCTTATACCTAAGAAATCTTCAAGTAAAGAAAAACGAAATTTGTCTCTGTTTTCTCATGTTTATTTTTATGACTAGCAAAGAAACACTTGATTAAAGAAATACCGGAAAAAGTTGGAATAAAAAAAGTCCGCAAAATCTGTCCGCAAATTTTGTCCGCAAATTTATTTTTTTATTATTTTAGTTTAAATAACTATTTTTATGGTTATCTATTTACACGATTTTACTAACCAATAATCATCAATTTTTATTTTATCTGGTCTTTTGTTAAGTCTGCGAAAAGAAAGCATGATCAACTTTGCGGACATTTTTGCGGACTTTTTTTTGCGGACTTTTTTTGTGTGGACTTTTTCAAAAATTTTAAAAATAAAATTTTTAAATCAAGTATTTTTTGCTTTTCTTTAACATTCTCGCCTCTCTACTTTTTATTTTTATTTCTTTTTTATCTCAATTCTATTTCTGATATGAATATTCATATACTTGAATATATATTTTAATCAAAAAATTTTTTTTGTATTTCCTGTATTTAAAAATTAAATTGATGATTGTATTGCCTATTTGCTGAGAAACAATAAAATAAAAAATTTTGAATAAAATTTGAAAATGTGGAAATTTTTTGAAATTTTTTAAAAGAAAATTTGGTTAATTTTTCCATTGGATTTTTGGTGTTTTTGAATTTTTAATTTATTTTTTTTTGTTTTTGGAAAGGATAATGGAAGCGGTAAGCATTACAACAACAAATACAGCAACTCCTCTATATTTAGGGGATTTGGAAAAATGCGGAATTGCGACGTCTAATAATTTGAGAGAAATTTTGACAACGTGTGCTGATCCTGTTGAGGCTATTAAACAATTTCAAGTGACTAATAGTGTTCAGGTTTGTGAATTTTGCTTTATTTTTTGGGGTAAAAATGATGGGGGAATACTAGTAGGGAGAATACTTCTATTTAATTTTTTTTAATTGGGCAAGCCACTAGGTGTGTGTCTGGAGAATTAAGGATTTTATCTGTGGTGGAGCAAAGGATCTAGTTTGTCCGTAACTTTCCTTGCTTGAAAATCCGGAAAAATTTTAAATTTTGTTTAATTTAAAAAATTTTCTTTATAAAATTAAGAAATTAATATATTTTAGCTCCCTTCTCTAAAACCTGTTATGAAACTGTTGGATTTACATGGAATAAGTAGGGCTGATTATCATGAAACGGTTTGTATTTAAATTTATTAATTTTTAGTTAAGTTTAAAATTTATGAAATTGTTAAGTACGTTTGTGGTCAAGTGGTTAAGGTTTTGATTTTTTATAAGCCTGGGTTCGATTCCTTTCGTTTCCTTTTATTTTTCTCTCGAAAGCTTTTATTCTTAAAATTTGTTAAAATTATTTTTTTAATTAAAAAAATTTTATTTTTATTTTTTTAAAGGTTATTACCGAACTCACCGAACGTTTAGTATCAAAATTACGTTCACTCGGCAACAATCAAACACCTGAAAATGTACATAGACTAGAACGACATTTGGAGCGCTGTTTTCGTCTTTATCGTGTTCCGAGGATTAGGCCTATAGTTTTGGAAACACTTGCTAGATTACCTAAAGTTGCGGACAGGTTTTTTAAAATTATTTTTTTATTCAAAATTTAATTTTAAATAATAGATATTTGAAGCTCATAATTTGTGATAAGGTTAGTCCGCAAGTTTTGTCCGCAAAAATTTTTTTGATTTAAAATTTTTTTTTTGATTAAAAAATTATAAAAGATTACTTTTATGAACTGACAGCTTGTCAAAAATTAAGAAAATAAATTTTAAAGCTTTAAATTCTTTCTAAAAAATAATTTTTAGGAACTCTATGATCAATGTTCAGTCTCTGTCCGTCAACAAATTTGGGTTAAAAACGAAACTCTTTTTCTAGAATCAATCGAACCCATTTTGGATAGTTACATTTCTGAGGAAAGAAGACAACATTTAATATTTGGAGAAAAAGGTTCCGATGTCTTAAATGAATCGCTAAGTGAAGGACACGGCCAACAATTGCTTTCCCCGGGCATAAACGTTACTAGTAGCTTTTTTGCTGGGGAAGTAGCTACTAAACAGAGACGTCAGAGAAAACAAGTACAAGGTTTTTATTTAAATTTTTGTGGGGAAAAGGTTGCAAGTTTTGTCCGCAAATTTAATCAGAAGTTTGCGGACAAATTTTTTTTTATTTAAAATTTTGCGGACTCAATTTGCGGATTTTTTTTTAATTTGTGGGGAAAAGTCCGCAACTTTTGTCCGCAGATGTCCGTAAAATTTTGCTGACAAATTTTTTCAATTTAAAATTGCGGTTTTTTTTTTACATTTTTGTGATGAAAAGTCCGCAAGTTTTGTCCGCAAATTTCTATAAAAACTTGCGGACTTTTCTTCAAATATAATTTTTTTATTGTTCTTTTTTTGTAGAATTAATCTCAATGATTGGGTTAAGAGAACAACTTTATACTAGACTAGTGGTAAATTTAAAAATTAAATTTCCTTTCAAGTTCAAATTTTTTTCAAAGGATACTCTTCGTGAACGTTTTTTGGCAACAGAAAATCCTTATTATTGTTCTCTGCGGTTTGATTTATTAATGGCTCTTAGAGATGTAAATATGGAATTTTGTGGGAAAGTAGGTCTGTTTTTTTGTTTATTTTTTAAAAAGATTTTTTTAGATGTTTGTCACTATTTTGCTTGGTGTTTAGATGCTTGTTCTAAACATTTGAGAACTAAACATTTGGGTTATTTTTTAATTATAAAATTTTTTAAAAATTCATTTTAAGATGTTCAACAATTAAATAAATTAAAGACGTTATTAGAAAGTGGTGGTGGAGGAAAGAAATGCCAAAACAAGGTTTTTGTTTTTTTCATTAAAAAAAGGTAGTTAATTTTAAAGGTAGTTAATTTTCTAAGGTAGTTAATTTTAAAGGTAGTTAATTTCCCTTATTTTTTATTTTTGTATAAGTTGATTAAATAATAGTTTGTTGTTTAGTGATGTTGTGGTGTAGTTGGTTGTGTGTTTGGTTCTTACGGCAATAGACTTGGGTGCGAGTCCTCTTGGAGGAAAGCTATCTTTTTATCACCCCTGTTATTTTATTTTTTAAGTTTCTACTTTAAAAAAATTTTTTTTTAAATTTCAAAAATTCAAAAAAAATTTTTTTACTTCTAAAAATTTTTTCGTTCATTTTTACAACTATTTTTTATTTATTAAAAATGTATTTTATTTTTAAAGGCAATAATAATTCCTGAAATGGCAATGATCGCAGGAGATCCCCATATACTTCATTTAATTGCTTCTTTCGCTGTCAAAATGTTGAGAGATAATGCTGCTAGTCCTCGTCCACATTTGCCTAAAGAAATGGGTTCTTTACAATTACTTTTAAAATTGTTAGTAATGGGCATCCACTGCAAATCTTTATTGTTGGGAGAGGAACAGTTAATTAATTTGATTGAGGGAGAGTTGAAAGAAGTTGTTGGACACTTTTTACCTTCTTTTTCTACAATGCTTGTACAGGTTTCTTTTAAATTATTTTTGTTTTTATTTGGCTTGAGTCTAGGACCCAACCTTTAAATTGGAATGTAGAAGGCTATAAAAGATTCTCTTCGATTAAAGGGTGGGTTAGCTGATCCGGGGAAATCTTTGGATACCCGAACCCGATATCCAAAAAAATTGTACTTTTTTCTGACGGAATATTTTGATTCTTCGACAATACTTTTAAATAATAGGGTTTCTTCGCTTCTATTATGTGCCCAAACCTGAGTTTTGGATATCCCGACTTTTGGATCCAGTTATCTGGATCCGCCATTTCTGTTTTTAAGGATTTAAGGGTTTCTTTCGCTTCCATCCACAGCGAATTTCATCTTTCTCTCTCCCATTTTCCCTTTTTCAATTTATATTTTTACTTCTTTACAGGATGCAATCCGTGCAGAATTAACACTTTCAACTCCAATAAACCTTCCTTCTCAAACAGAAGAATTTTTATTTTCTGATCAAAGACCTCCTTCAATTGATAAATTTATAAAAGAAAAATATTTGTGTTCACTTTTGTGGTTACACCATTTAGTTTTGGGTGGCGAATTTTGCCCTTTAAGTGGAACAATTAAAAGAAGACAACTATTTGACCCTTCAAATGCTTTTAGATATTGTGAACCTTTAATTTGGATGGCTAAAAATGTAAATTAAACATTAATATTTATTTATTTTAAAGGGTAGGGTTAGGAAATAGAATGTCGGGGTCCGTGTCGGATTTCAAAAAAGATTTCTTTGGCTTAGGTTTTGAGTCGAAGAAAGGTCGAGTTTCGGCTATCTCGACCTAATAAATTTCACATGGGATGGGTGGGGTGTACGAAATTTTTGTCTCTCGAAATTCCGTCTCCAAGATTTTTCGGAACATTTGTCTCCAAATTTTCGGAATTTTTGTCTTGTCGAAATTTTCTTCTTCGTCAAATTTTTTTGAACTTACGGTGACTCATAAACTAGACCAGAGCCAATATGGCCAATTTGGTTTACCACTCTATGTGTGTGTAGGGGGAGAGGGGAGATTTCAAAAAGATACCCTCAATTTAAGTTACCTCTCATTATAAGCTCAATTTTTCTTTGGGATTAATTTTTCCTTGAAGGTCCGATTGTGTTAATAATCTAATAATATTTTTTAAAGTTAGCAATCAAAGATCCATGGGTACAATTACTAGTCCAAAAATTGATGCAATTCCCGGCATGTCTTTCAAATGAATTAACAGCAAATTTATTTATTCAACAATTTTTTATTCCAAATTTAAAGGTTTTTTTTAAATTTTTTTTTGAGAAAATTTTTTGAAAAATTTTAAAAAATTTTTAAGAAATTTTTTGAAAAAATTTTTGTAAGTTTTTTTCAAAAATTAAATTTTTGAAAATTTTGAAAAAAAAATTTCTGAAAATTTTTAAAATATTTTTAAAATTTTTTTTCAAAAAAATTATTTTTTTCAGCGTATTCCTAGTGCCAAATTTAATTTGCTACGTTTAACTTGTCATCATCGTTCAACTATTCCACTAAAAATTTTTGTAAATTCCTTGGAAGAATTGTTAAATATATTTAATAAATGCCAAGAATATTTGAAGGAATTGGAAGAAGAAAAAGAATTGGAAGAGGGGGAAGTTGGGAATGAAGAGGAGGAGGAAGAGGAAGGAATTAATGATAAAATATTGTGTCTAGCTTTTATTAAAGAATTTGGGAAATTGAAGGAATTGATGGAAGAGGTTTTCTTTTTTAATTTTTTTTTAATATAAGAAGGGGATGAATTTTGCGGATTTATACTTGCGGACATTCAAAAAAATTTTTTTGAATGTTTGTTCTTTGTCCGCAAATTTTGTCCGCAATTTAAAAAATTTTTTAATATAAGATGGGGAAGATATTTGCGGATTTATACTGCGGACATTCAAAATTAAAAAAAATTTTTTTTCAATGTTTGCCTTGAAGTTGAGTATGATATTAGAATTAAATATTTGTTTTAAATTAGCATTGTCTGCAAATGTGTTTTTTATCCGCAAATTTAATTTTTTAAATAAGGTTAAAAAAATTTTTTTTATTTTTTAATGTATAACTCGAAATTGAGCAAGTTGATTTAATCAAACATTCGAGATAACGACACATTGACGGGATAACTTTATTCTTTTCTGATTTAGCGGATTCCGTAAAAAAGTGTTTTGTCCGCAAATATCATCCGCAATTTTTAAAAAATTTTTAATTGATTATATTTTTCTATTTTTGGTTTCTAAGGAAAAATGACTTTATAGAGTATCCAATTGAGCATTTCTGATTTTTAAAACTAGATTCCGTTATTTTTAATTGTGTCCGCAAATCTCGATCGGCCAAAAAAATTTTTTTAATCATTTTTTAACAATTCTGTCCCCACTTGTTAATAATCTTTTCGATCTTCTAAATTATTTTTAAAAATATTTATATTAAAAAAATATTTTTTAGACAAAAATATCGCGTGGAGGAGGCCCTCCCCCACCCCTTCCACAATTATCAACATCTTCATCAACCCCATCAATTACTAGTTGTAGTAGTAAAGAAAGTTGTACGAGTAATTTGGAAGAAAAACAACAACAATAATTGATTATTTATTTTATTTATTTTTTTTATAGATAAATTTTTTTTTGAAAATTTTTTTTTCTATTTTTTAAAAATTCTTTTGAATTTTTTACTTTTATTTTTTTTAATTAAAAAAATTTTTTTAAATTTATTTTTAGATATTTTTAGATATTTTTTTTAATTTGGCAAACTTGAATATGCAAGCAATTAATACTCGAGAACAATTTGAGAATTTTATTAATTCTGATGGGTATATTTTTTAAATTAATTTTTAATTAAATTTGAAAATGTTTGTAAGGGACTTTTGTAACAGTTTTCCAATGGGGTTTAAGGGGAATTTATTGAAGAAACTTACTGAATCGGTGGTGTAGTGGTTAGACTCCTTTGTTTTCCCCCAAGAGGGGGTGGTGGTTCGAATCCCTTTGGTTTTAAACATTTTTTAAACTTTTTTTTTCGCTGTTTAAATTAATTTTGGATGTTGAAAATAATTTAAAAAAAAATTTTTTTTTATTTTAAACAATATTTTAAATTTTTTAACACTATCTAAATTAATTCTACAAGACTAAATCGATGGGGAAAAAATAGAAGAAAATGGGGAAAATTTTTTTTTCGAATAAATAAAAACCCTAAAAATGTTTAAGAAAATATTTTTAAAGTCTAATAAAATATATTTTTAATATTCCCTATTTTCTAGAAAATTTACAAAAATTGTTCTCTTCTCGGCAAGTTGGTCAGAAGCTTGTACTGATTATGACAAATTAATTTTGGAATTAAAAAATGAGAAGGAATATGGAACAGATTATGAAATTGGGAAATTGGTAGCTGAGGAAAATGAAGAAATTGCTAAAGAATATCAAGTGAATTCTATCCCGACGATTTTGGCTTTTCAGGTTTTTTTTAATTTTTTTAGAGGGTTATTTTAGCATTTGAAGCAAATTTACGTCTATTTTAAGGAAATTCATTTAAGTTGTTCTGTGGTGTATTGGTTAAGGCTCTCGATTACCCTGGAAGGGATCTGAGGTTCGATTCCCTTTAGTGCTATTTATTTTTTAAATAATTATTAAAATAATTTTAAATAATTTTTTGACTTAAAATTAATTTTTTTATAATTTTAATATAGAAAGGAAAATTAATTGACCGTATAGAAGGCTTCATTCCAATAAAACTCAAAGAATTATTAATTAAATCTACTTTTGATGCAATTGCAGCAAAGAAAGAAAATATTGATAAATTGAGAGAGACGGCAGAGAAGACAGAGGGGGAAGAAAAAAGTGAAGAAAAACAACAAGAAGAGGTTTATTAATTTTTTTAAATTTTTAAAATTTTTTTAAAGTTAAATGAACGACTTAAACGTTTAATAAATAAAGAACGTTTGACTCTTTTTATGAAGGGATCGCCAACTGAACCAAAATGCGGTTAGTTAAAGAAAAATTTTTTTAATGAAAATTAGTCTGGACCAAGGCCTAGATTTTTTTCCTGTATCTAGAGTCTAGGCCCAGGCATTTTTTACCTTCCTGGATTTTTCCTAGGCCTGGGTATTTCCTGTACCCAGAGTCCAGGCCCCCAGGATCCGGCCAGTTCAATAAATCAAACCCCAGAGCCCAGGAACAGGCTTCCAGGCTTTTTCAAAAAATCTCGATCTCTAAAAATTAGTTCGAAAATCTTAATTCTTTTTCAGGCTTCAGTCAACAAATTGTCAAACTTTTAAAAGCCCACAACGTCCAATTTTGGACCTTTGATATTCTTCTAGACGAACAAGTCCGTCAAGGATTGAAAATTTATAGTGATTGGCCTACTTACCCACAACTTTGTTTGTTTTTTGAATTTAAAGATAAAAAGAAAAAATTTAGATCTGGATGGTGAACTTTTGGGAGGTATTGATGTGGTAAGAGAAGAAATGAAAGATCCTGCTTTTGTTGAAAAATTGCCCAAACTTGTTTGATGACATTGACTCTCATAAAGATTATTTTAATTTTGTTCGATAAATTATTTTTTAATTAAATTTGCTGTTTTTGTCTCATGTTCATGTCCGATGCTTGACAAGGAAAACGGAATTTTTTGAAATTTAAAAATCCGCGAGGCATAATGTTAATGATCTTAATAAATGACACTTTATCCCAATAAGAAATTGTGCGGATAGGGAAAAAATAATTTAAGCGGTTTAGGTTGGTTGAGTGTAAAATCTTGAAAAACGTTTGGTCTCTTTTTGTTAAAATAACAAACATTTTTTAAAAAATTATTTTATTAATAACTAGAGAATATTCTAAGGCAATAAACTTCAATAGTTTTTAAAAAATGTAAAAAAAATTTTTACCAAAATAAATATGGCAGTGTTGAGGTAGTAAAAAAATAATAAAAATATAAAAGCATTCAGGGGGAAAATTTTTTCTAAGACAATGGAGAGATTATTGCATAAAAAATGAAGTGTAAATTAAACAAAATTTTTGAAATAATAAAATTTTTCAAAAAATAAAAAGAATTGATAATAAAGATAAAATTATGTAAGAGCAACACATTTGCGGACACCGACTAGAGTAGTAGACTATAGAGATCGAGATTTTTGAAAAGCCTGGGCCTGTTCCTGGGTTCCGGGTTTGATCTATTGACCTAAGCGAATCTTGGGCCTGTAGTCCAGGAAAAACTCAGGAAGTTAAAAAATGCATGGGCCTTGACTCTGGCCCCAGGCCTTGGTCCAGGCCCCAGCTCGATCTCTAATAGACTAGAGTAAAAGTTTCAGTCAACCGGAACTTTCGGAATTTTTTTGCCCTTTCTTGTAATTTCCGGTTCCTGTCAGTCTTATTACCCGAAATCCACCAAAAACTTTTAATCTCCACAAATCCCCTGTCATCCTTCTTTACTCTCTAAATTCCTTGGATATCCCTTGATTCCAGGTCAAGAACCTGGTCAGTTTTTAAAAAATAAAAAGAAAAAACCTTAGCTTTTCTGCCCTCTAAAATGGCAACAGAGGAATTTGTAAAACCAAAATTAATTCCAATAACAGGTCCTCGTAAATAATTACTTTAAATTTTAAAAAATTTAAGAAAAAAAAATTTTTACCCAAAATTTCTGACAGAAAAAAGTGTGGAGGTTGGCCTTAATTTTACCATAAACACATTTAAATTTATCTGAAAAATATTTAAAAAATATATAAAAAATATTTTAAAAAATTATTATTTATCAAATAAAAGTTTGTAAAAATAAACAAATATGGCAGCATTGAGGTAGTTAAAAAATATAAAAAAATTTTATTAAGGCAGTTAAGAAAAATCATATTTTAAATTTAAAAGAGGAAAATAAATGAAAAATAATGAAATTACAAAAGGTTATTATTTATCAAGAAAATTTGCGGACAAAAAATTTTTGCGGAAAAAAATTTTTAGGCAAAGGTTGAGCTTTTTTTCCTTCTTTTTTTTTTGGTTTAATTTTTTCATAAAGTTTTGGTTAACAGCTAACGGTATCCATTAAACAATAGAAATTTAAAATTTTGTCCGCAAAACATGTCCTCAAAAATTTTTAAGAAATTTTCTTTCTAATATGCTCTAAATAAAAAATACTTTTTATTCTTTAATTTTAACCATCTCTTATTTTTTTGAGTTTTTATTACTCTTCTAAACTTAATTTTTTGGAGATCTTCATACTTTTCTGGCGATGGTAAATTAATTCTATAAACAAAAGGCTTTAATTTAGTCCAAACTTTTTTCTTTTTAATAAACAAAAAATTCTTTAAAAAATTGTAAACATAGTTGCATAAGTATTCCGGATCACCAGTATCATAATAATAATCAGGTCCATGTTTAGCACTGGAAAAAATATTTTTCTGGTAAAAAAACTTTTGTTTGTCCGCAACAATTCGATGACATATTATTTCACGAAATTATTTTTCAAAAAATGGGGTAACTTAAACTTATGGAACAGTGTGCAGACACTGGGGCGACAAAACGAATATACTAAAGTTCAAACAGTTACTAATCAATTTGAGAATTTGCGACCTTTTCTTAAGAAATTTACTTGTTACCTAATTCAGTTAGGTATGTCCATCCTGATATACTTATAAAAATTCCCAGATCAAGTCGGATTTCGTTGATTTTGGTATCATTCGACTCAACTCGACGAGCTCTTTCGAAAGAGGTATAATTTGCATATTCGAATTTTTCACTCCAAAAAGGTGCTTGGTCCCCCCTATTGTTTTTCGGTTTTTAAGGACCTATATCTCTGCTCATAGGAATTTCCGCAAAGAAAAGAGTGGTACCATTCGACTCAACTCACCGAGACGAATCGAATGGTATATAATTTGACCCGTTTCTGAGTGGGCCACCGGCTAAAGTACAGCCTGTTTTTCAACAGCCATCCATATTGTAAAGTAGGGTAGCACGAGACCGTTTAATTCGAGGTTTATTTTTCCCTGTGGCGGACTTTTTCCTTCTCTCTTTTCTTTTTGACCCGCCACAGGGAACAATAAACGAGGTTTCTAAACGGTCTCGTGCCACCCTATTGTAAAGCAAAGAAGTCGTGGGTTACTCGAAACAAGAATCTCGGTCTTTTTTCCAAGCCAAAAATCGATCCAATAAATTTTCAAAACACAACCCGAATTTTTAAAGTCAGGTTGAACCGACCCTAGCCCGTCATATTTCTCACCCCTAGGGATCCCTAGTATGTTAGCATATTGAAAAAAAAGTTCAAACTAGTTATCAGCATCGAGAATGGCGCGCCAGCATTCTCTATCATCAGAAAAACGTGTAACGAAATACCCTAATGTTCGTGTTGCTTTTTTTGATCGAATATCAATATGCAATGCAATATAATATTCTTTAATCATAATTGTAATAATTCTCCAAAACTATAAGAAAAAATTTTCCTTTGGAAAAATAATAAAAATAAAAACATGCTTAGCGAGATTTTGTAATCCAACAGCTTTTCTGTCTCCAATAAACATTTTTTGTGAAGCCTAAAAATAAAAAAAAAAGACATTGAAAATTAAAATTTGCAAGATTGGACCTATGAGCTAGATGGACCTATGAGCGTATAAAAAATACCATTGTAAAAATTCGATTTTTAGATGTTCGTCTATCATCCAAATAATTTATATCACCAAAAAGAACACCTAAATAAATGGCTCCAGTTGAAATTTCTCCATCTTCAAGTTGAGAATCAGATATTTCCTTCTTGAAAATTTCTTCAATAACATTTCTAATCTACATTTAATTAATTAAAAAAAAAACAAAACAAAATATACTTTCCATTATCCACCCTCCCTTTTTTGGAGAAAAAAAGGAAAACAGAGAGGCGAGTGACCCTCAAAAAATTTTTTTGAAGAAAATGGAAAAGAAAAAAAATGGGGCGAGTGGGAGAGAAATAATGAAAAATAAATTTGAAAAATTTAAAAAAAAACCTTAGGTACTTTAGACATCCCTCCAATGGTCAAAACTGAGGTAACTCCAGTAGATTGTAAATCCTCCTCCTCCTCATTTAATTGTAAATCCTTATCATCTGCTTGATTTGCCATTTTAGCATCATTTAATGTTCTTTGAGCAAGTTGTTCAATTTTTTGTATCAAATTTTCAGTCAACTCCTCAAATTTTGAACGTGTCAATTTTATTCGAAAATGTTTAGGAGGTCCATTAGTATCAAAAAAAATATTTGGAAGAATAATTTCAGTTTGTGTACAACTTGAAAGTCGACATTTTGCCTTTTCAGAAGCTTTACGCAAGCGTTGAATTGCAACAGGGTCCTTAAAAAATAAAATTGTAACTAAACTAACGCCAATTTTCGTCAGATAAAATAGGGAGACTCTTCTGCATATAACCAAAATTGCCATGTCTTTTTTTCAGTTTCCCTGCCTTAGGTAAAAATAAGGAGAATCTTCGACATGTTCAGGGATCCATAAAAAATTTAAACCGCTTGTTTTTTTAGGAGGAACCGGGAAAAGATCAATAAAGAAGGAAAAAAAGATAACAAATGAATGGACCAGGATTTGAACTACAAAGAACAATTAACTTTTAAAATTTTTTTTTAATTTAAAAAACCTTGCTCAACTCAATTCCATTCTCTCGTTCAAATTCAGAAACAAAATAATTTACAATAGTATTATTGAAAGCATCGCCACTTAGTAAAGGATTGTGATTAGTTGACAAAATTTCATAAGCCTCATCTTGAACTCTCAAAATGGAAAATTCAAAAATGCCTCCATTTAAGTTACAAACAGCACTAGAAATTTTTTAATAAAATTAATTTTAGGAAACCTCACTAAAGCTCGGAGTGGGAAGTTAAAGACAAAATTCATTTTCCAAGAAATTTAAGTCCCTCGTCCCGTTTATCGAAATAATTGGAGGATATGGGGAAAGTAGTGGAGAATTAGAGAAAAGTGGGCCAGAATTTCACTTAAATAAAAAACAACAAACATTTCGCGTGATCCTCGTCCATAATCACAATCAATTGCAGCTGCAGTAGCAGAATCATCAACAAACCGTAAAATTTTCATTCCCGCAAGTTTACCAGCTTCCTCCAATGCTTGTTTTTGTGAATCATTAAAATATCCAGGAATTGTAATTATTGCTTCCCTAATTTTTTTGTTTAAATAATTTTCGGCTGTCTGCTTCAATTTTAGTAAAATAAAGGAAACAATTTGTGAAGGAGAATAAAGCTTTGATTGAATCTCAATACAAGCATCACCATTAGAAGATTTTACAATTTTGTATGGGATGGTTTTCCTGTAAAAGAAAAATATGTGTAAATTTTCCCCAAATGATCACTTGAACATATTTATGAGGACAAATTTTAAAGTGGAGCAAATTTACTTGTGAGTCATCAAACAAAATGAGAAAAATGTTTATGTTAGAACGAAAGGGCTTTACTTCCGTAAAAGAAACAATTGAGGGTTAAAAGGGGAGTGAAAGAACCTAGGATGGCAGAAAAATGTGGAGAGGAGGTCAACGCATTCAAAAATTTATAAAACTATCGAGAGGTAAATAAACGCTTAGACGTGGGTGATCCTGCGACCTCTTGGAATCCTTCCTATACAAATTCATTAAAAAGGATCAAGTTAAGCCGCGAACTAAATTTCTGGAGGGGATATATTGCCGAGTTCATGTAAAAAATTGAATTGGGATAACATACAGGTATCAAAAAAATTTGGTTATGGCTAATCAGTTAACTATAGACTTCTTAAATTTATAAGAAAAATTTCTTACATAAAATCCTGAACTTGTTTATCCTCATATTTAAGTCCAATTAATCGTTTAATACCAAAAATTGTATTTTGACTATTCAAAACAGCTTGTCTCACAGCTGGGGCACCAACTAAATATTCCCCATCTTCAGTAAAGGCAACAACTGAGGGAGTAGTGAAAGCATCTTCGTCATTTTTGAGAACCTAAAAATATTTAACAGATTAATAGAGATCAACTTTTTCCTAGATCCGGAGTCAAGGCATTTCCAGGTTCCTCATTTTTTTTGACACAAATCCTCCTAATCCTCGATATCCCTCCTAATCCAACGGTATCTCCAAATTCACCAAATTCCCTGATATTCCTTTATTACCCAAAATCCACCAAAAATTTTTAATCTCCACAAATCCCCCAACATCCTTCTTTACTCTCTAAATTCCTTGGATATCCCTTGATTCCAGATCAAGAACCTGGTCAGTTTTTAAAAAATAAAAAGAAAAAACCTTAGCTTTTCTGCCCTCTAAAATGGCAACAGAGGAATTTGTAAAACCAAAATTAATTCCAATTTAATTTATTTAATTTATTTATTCAATATAAAAATGACAATGAAAGGGATGGACACTTACATCATTGTCTTAATAAAATATATATTTGGTCAATGGTAATAAATTAACTGAATATTCAACAAAAATAATCATAATGAAGGGATATTGATATACACAGATATACGACTAAGTTAATTGTCAAATTGCACTGGAGAGAAATGAACTGGGTTACGTTTCACACCAGGCATGCAAGTCTGAAAAAAACAGCAAAATAAATTATAGTAAATTTAATTTTAAGATTATCTAGCCTAGATGTATATCTGTGTATTAATTTAAATAAAACATATAATAAAAAAAAAAAATAAAAAAAAAACCTGAAAAAAACAGCAAAATAAATTATAGTAAATTTAATTTTAAGATTATTTCAGTCTAAAATAAAAAAATTTTTTTAATTAAAAATCCAAACAACTAAGAAATGCTAGAGTATAAAAAAGTACAAACAACAGCATAAGGAATAAATCGATTAGGCCACTTTGACGCCAAGCCCACTTAGGCGCAAAAAAAAAAATAAATTAATTTGAATATTTAGGCGCGAAAATAAAAATAAATTAATTTGACCATTTAGACGCGAAAGTATAAAAATTAATTGACCATTTAGTCGCAAGGTAATTTAATTTGGCCACTTAGATGCAAAGCCCATTTAGCAAAAAAATACAGTTTTTAACTTTGGATTTTTTTAGATTTTTTTAGATAGCCTGGATGAGTTTAATTAATTTTTTTTTAAGAACACTCAGTTTATTTATACAATAAGTATTGACTTAAGCTTATTTTTAAAATCTAAGGGTGATTTACTTAAAATAGTATTTTTACCTAGTATATTCCACATTTTAGTTGTTCTATTTATAAATGATCTAGAACTTTTAGAATTTTGTTTTTTTGAAATAATTCTATGAGAAGAATGGCTAGATTTCTTAATAGGATGAGAAAAGAGTGTTTCAAGTCCCAGGTGAGAATAACCATTAACTATTTTATACATAAGCATTAAATCAAAAATTTTACGTCTATTCTCAAGTGTTTGAAGGTTTAGATATTCCAACCTATTCTCATAGGGTAGTTCGGGTAAATTACATTTTTTAAAAACTTTTTTAGTAAAAAATTTTTGGCATTTTTCAAGAGAATTAATTTCTGTTTTGTAAAGAGTGTTCCAAGATTCCGGTGCGTATTCAAGCATAGGCCTAATATAACTCTTATATATCAGTATCCAAGTTGATGTTTTTCTTGACTTTATTATTCTAAAAATTGTTTTCATCCTTAGATAGGCGTTGCGAATAATTATATTAATGTGTTCTTTAAACCTAAGCTTGTCGTCTATGATTATTCCAAGGTCGCGAATAGATTGAACTTCATTTATAGTATTATTAAAAATCTTATATTGATCCCTTGGGTTATCTTTACCTAAATGAAGTACGAATGTCTTATCAACTGATATATCTAAATTCCATTTTTTTGACCATTCCTCGACGTTTTTAAGGGCAACTGCTAGTTCTAATCTTTCATTTTTAGTCTTATAAACTTTATAGATTTTAACGTCATCAGCAAATAGTTTAATTTTGACTCCGTTTGGAATAACGTCGGATAAGTCATTTATATAGATTAGAAACATTAGTGGGCCAATAATGGATCCTTGGGGAACACCCGTGGTAATTCCATATGGGTTTGATAAAACATCATTAATTTTTACTTGATATGTTCTATTTGATAAAAATTCACTAATCCACCTATGTAGTTTTCCCCTAATTCCACAGGCATATAATTTGTCAAGAAGGAGTTTGTGAGGAACACTATCGAAAGCTTTACAAAAATCAATATAAATACAATCTATATTCTTTTTTTCAAATAAGGCTTCGTACCAATCCTCCAAGCTACTTACTAGCTGAAGAGTAGTGGATCTTCTTCGAATAAATCCAAATTGATCCGAACTAAAGAACTTTTTATTCTCTAAGAAATTTATTATATTTTTTACAAGTATTTTTTCCATGATTCTGCAACTACAGCAAGTAAGTGAAATTGGACGATAGTTTAATGGATTAGATTTTTCGCCTTTTTTGAAACTGGGAATAACTAATGATTTTTTCCATATGTCAGGTATAATGCCTTCATCCAATGAAGCTCTAAATAATTCAGATAAATAAGGTGCCAATATTATGCTTATATTTTTTAACATAAGATAATTTATGCCATCCGGGCTAGCGCTGTTTTTTGATGGTAGGGCTTTTAGGATTTCATAAACTTCAATACTTGTAACATCAATATCATTCAATATATAAGTAGTATCTGAATTAACGCTAGCAATAATATCATTGCGAGAAACATTAGAGTTAAAATTGTTAAAATTTTTGTGAAAAATTTCTGCAAAAAGTTCTGCTTTTTCAGAATTCTCTATATAGACTTTATCCTCATATAATATAACTGGTATATCTCTATTGTTTTTATAAACTTTGTTAACATATTTATAAACATTAAGTGGATTATTTGAAATGATTTTGTTTTGTTGTTTACTAATAAAATTTTTTATAGCGATTCTAATATATAGAGATATACTGTCATATTTTGATTTATATTCCTTATTAATTTTTTGTAACCTGTATAATCTCTTTTTCTCAGCTATAGAAGCTTTTAAGTGAGCGGGATATTTTATTCTTCGATCTTTTTTAGTTATAATTTGTTCAGGGATGAAAATGTCAAATGAATTTAATATTGACTTAGCAATTATATTATATTTGTCCCCAATTAGAAACCCAGTATAAATAGTATTTTTTAATAATAGGGACAAATATGGGTTTAAATTGCTTATTTTATTCTTATTATAAAATCTTTTTTTTATTCTATTCTCATTTTGTTTACTTATTGGACAATTAATATCAAATAATAATGTTTCATGATCTGAAGAAAAGATTCCTCCTTCAACTAAAACGTTTGATACTAAATTCTGGTTTGTAATTAATATCAAATCTAAGAATGAATTATTTCTAGAAGGCTCGTGTGTGACTGATGTTAAAGTGTTTCTATTAAAAAAATCGATAAAACATTCACCTAATTTAGATTTTGCATAAGGTGTAAAATTAAACCAGCTCAAATCTTTAAACCCAAAGTTGAGGTCACCGAGGATTATACAATTTTCGGTACAAAGAGTTTCGATGTATTTAAAAAGAGATTTTGTACTAGCGTAGCTAGTGTTAGGTGGACGGTAAAGTAATATTATATTTAATTTCTTAAAATTGTTTATTTGTAGACAAATAATTTCTGTGTTGAATTTGGATATTTTTACTTTTTCATAAAATGTAATATTTCTACTTAATAGTATCGCGCATCCCCCACCTAGTTTGGATTTCCTATTAATATAAACAATATTATAATATTCTGAAAATTTGAACTCAAATAAATTTATGTCCTCATCTTTTAACCATGTTTCAGTAATAAACAGCATTTCTAAACCTAGTGTTCTTAAACTAATTAAAAACTCATCCATTTTATTTCTAATTGATCTTATATTTATTAAACCACTTTTTATTTTATTTTTTGAAAAATTTTTATTTTTAGTCAACTGGTAGGTATCAAAGTGGCCATCCCTTACTCCTTATGCATTGTGGCAAACACATTTAAAATTATTGGGGTTTGATTTAAATAAAGGGATGTCCTTAGCGGACAGGACATGGTCAGCATAAATAACATGATCGGAGTTGGGATTTTGAGAATGCAAAGTTTTACAAATTTCAATAAGCCTAGACCGTTCGGCTCGCTGAGCCTTAGACAAAGATTTACGAACAAATAACTTATTAAATTTAGAATTTTTTAATTTTGATTTATTCAATAAAAATTTTCTTGCAAAAAACCTGGTTGGTAATTCCACCTTCAAAAGTCGCGGTCTTCCAGAAATTGTTCCCATTCTGTAAACTTGACTTGGTCTGCATTCCACATCGCATAAATCAAGAATTTCTTTGACTTGTTCAAAATCTTCTTCCACACGCTCCTTTGCATGTTCACAATTACTTTCAGGTAGATTGGTGATCACGATTGCTTTTTGTTGTTTTTCTTCTTCAATGAGATCCAGGAGAGTGTCACGCATTTGAAGTTTTTGAATAGTTTGTTGTTGTTCCATAATTAAATTTTGTTGTTGAGCCATTTGAGTCAATAATGTGGTGCAAAATTGAAACATTTGCTGCATTGTTGTCGTATTATCGGTTCCACTGTTGCTTTCCATTTGTTTACCAATTGCTGCTAATTGATTAGCAAGTTGGGTAAAGGTGTCAGAAGAAGACATTTTTTGCTTTTGGCTGTCAAATTGCACTGGTTTATGTTAGAACGAAAGGGCTTTACTTCCGTAAAAGAAACAATTGAGGGTTAAAAGGGGAGTGAAAGAACCTAGGATGGCAGAAAAATGTGGAGAGGAGGTCAACGCATTCAAAAATTTATAAAACTATCGAGAGGTAAATAAACGCTTAGACGTGGGTGATCCTGCGACCTCTTGGAATCCTTCCTATACAAATTCATTAAAAAGGATCAAGTTAAGCCGCGAACTAAATTTCTGGAGGGGATATATTGCCGAGTTCATGTAAAAAATTGAATTGGGATAACATACAGGTATCAAAAAAATTTGGTTATGGCTAATCAGTTAACTATAGACTTCTTAAATTTATAGGAAAAATTTCTTACATAAAATCCTGAACTTGTTTATCCTCATATTTGAGTCCAATTAATCGTTTAATACCAAAAATTGTATTTTGACTATTCAAAACAGCTTGTCTCACAGCTGGGGCACCAACTAAATATTCCCCATCATCAGTAAAGGCAACAACTGAGGGAGTAGTGAAAGCATCTTCGTCATTTTTGAGAACCTAAAAATTTAATAGAGATTAATAGAGATCAATAGAGATCAGGGATGGGCCGGGTTACTCGAAACCTGAGACACTGACTTTTTTGCGACCCGAAACCCGACCTGAAGAAAATTTTGAAACCCCGACCCGACTTTTTTCTCAACCCGGCCCATCCCTGATAGAGATCAACTTTTTCCTAGATCCGGAGTCAAGGCATTTCCAGGTTCCTCATTTTTTTTTGACACAAATCCTCCTAATCCTCGATATCCCTCCTAATCCAACGGTATCTCCAAATTCCTTGGATATCCCTTGATTCCAGGTCCTCTCTTCTAAACTTAATTTTTTGGAGATCTTCATACTTTTCTGGCGATGGTAAATTAATTCTATAAACAAAAGGCTTTAATTTAGTCCAAACTTTTTTCTTTTTAATAAACAAAAAATTCTTTAAAAAATTGTAAACATAGTTGCATAAGTATTCCGGATCACCAGTATCATAATAATAATCAGGTCCATGTTTAGCACTGGAAAAAATATTTTTCTGGTAAAAAAACTTTTGTTTGTCCGCAACAATTCGATGACATATTATTTCACGAAATTATTTTTCAAAAAATGGGGTAACTTAAACTTATGGAACAGTGTGCAGACACTGGGGCGACAAAACGAATATACTAAAGTTCAAACAGTTACTAATCAATTTGAGAATTTGCGACCTTTTCTTAAGAAATTTACTTGTTACCTAATTCAGTTAGGTATGTCCATCCTGATATACTTATAAAAATTCCCAGATCAAGTCGGATTTCGTTGATTTTGGTGTCATTCGACTCAACACGATGAGCTCTTTCGAAAGAGGTATAATTTGCATATTCGAATTTTTCACTCCAAAAAGGTACTTGGTCCCCCCTATTGTTTTTCGGTTTTTAAGGACCTATATCTCTGCTCATAGGAATTTCCGCAAAGAAAAGAGTGGTACCATTCGACTCAACTCACCGAGACGAATCGAATGGTATATAATTTGACCCGTTTCTGAGTGGGCCACCGGCTAAAGTACAGCCTGTTTTTCAACAGCCATCCATATTGTAAAGTAGGGTAGCACGAGACCGTTTAATTCGAGGTTTATTTTTCCCTGTGGCGGACTTTTTCCTTCTCTCTTTTCTTTTTGACCCGCCACAGGGAACAATAAACGAGGTTTCTAAACGGTCTCGTGCTACCCTATTGTAAAGCAAAGAAGTCGTGGGTTACTCGAAACAAGAATCTCGGTCTTTTTTCCAAGCCAAAAATCGATCCAATAAATTTTCAAAACACAACCCGAATTTTTAAAGTCAGGTTGAACCGACCCTAGCCCGTCATATTTCTCACCCCTAGGGATCCCTAGTATGTTAGCATATTGAAAAAAAAGTTCAAACTAGTTATCAGCATCGAGAATGGCGCGCCAGCATTCTCTATCATCAGAAAAACGTGTAACGAAATACCCTAATGTTCGTGTTGCTTTTTTTGATCGAATATCAATATGCAATGCAATATAATATTCTTTAATCATAATTGTAATAATTCTCCAAAACTATAAGAAAAAATTTTCCTTTGGAAAAATAATAAAAATAAAAACATGCTTAGCGAGATTTTGTAATCCAACAGCTTTTCTGTCTCCAATAAACATTTTTTGTGAAGCCTAAAAATAAAAAAAAAAGACATTGAAAATTAAAATTTGCAAGATTGGACCTATGAGCTAGATGGACCTATGAGCGTATAAAAAATACCATTGTAAAAATTCGATTTTTAGATGTTCGTCTATCATCCAAATAATTTATATCACCAAAAAGAACACCTAAATAAATGGCTCCAGTTGAAATTTCTCCATCTTCAAGTTGAGAATCAGATATTTCCTTCTTGAAAATTTCTTCAATAACATTTCTAATCTACATTTAATTAATTAAAAAAAAAACAAAACAAAATATACTTTCCATTATCCACCCTCCCTTTTTTGGAGAAAAAAAGGAAAACAGAGAGGCGAGTGACCCTCAAAAAATTTTTTTGAAGAAAATGGAAAAGAAAAAAAATGGGGCGAGTGGGAGAGAAATAATGAAAAATAAATTTGAAAAATTTAAAAAAAACCTTAGGTACTTTAGACATCCCTCCAATGGTCAAAACTGAGGTAACTCCAGTAGATTGTAAATCCTCCTCCTCCTCATTTAATTGTAAATCCTTATCATCTGCTTGATTTGCCATTTTAGCATCATTTAATGTTCTTTGAGCAAGTTGCACAATTTTTTGTATCAAATTTTCAGTCAACTCCTCAAATTTTGAACGAGTCAATTTTATTCGAAAATGTTTAGGAGGTCCATTAGTATCAACAAAAATATTTGGAAGAATAATTTCAGTTTGTGTACAACTTGAAAGTCGACATTTTGCCTTTTCAGAAGCTTTACGCAAGCGTTGAATTGCAACAGGGTCCTTAAAAAATAAAATTGTAACTAAACTAACGCCAATTTTCGTCAGATAAAATAGGAAGACTCTTCTGCATATAACCAAAATTGCCATGTCTTTTTTTCAGCTTCCCTGCCTTAGGTAAAGATGAGAATTTTCGACATGTTCAGCAGAGATGTTTCGAAATTTCGATTTTCGAGGGTTTTTTTCTTTCGATTTCCGATTTCCGAAGATTTTTTTGTTTCGAAACAACTCTGATGTTCAGGGATCCATAAAAATTTTAAACCGTCAGTTAAACCGCTATTTTTTAGGAGAAACCGGGAGAAGATCAATAAAGGAGGAAAAAAGATGACAAATGAACGGACCAGGAAACACTAATAAAGGAAATCAAGGCTGAAGAAGATAGAGGAATTGAGAGGAAATTTGGATTACGCTTTTAATTTAAAAAACCTTGCTCAAATCAATTCCATTTTCTCGTTCAAATTCAGAAACAAAATAATTTACAATAGCATTATTGAAAGCATCGCCACTTAGTAAAGGATTGTGATTAGTTGACAAAATTTCATAAGCCTCATCTTGAACTCTCAAAATGGAAAATTCAAAAATGCCTCTATTTAAGTTACAAACAGCACTATAAATTTTCATAAAATTAATTTTTTTGGGAACCTCATCTAGGGTTCTTCGTTCTATTTCACCCTAAACGTGTCAAATAAAGACGAGTGGCCTCCAAATTTACGAAAAATTCATCTCTCAATAAATTTCCGATAGCTCCAAGTTCCTCGTCCCATTTATCGAAATAATTAGAGGATATGGGTAAAATAGGGAGGAATTAGAGAAAGGGGGCCAGAATTTCATCTAAATAAAAAACAAACATTTCGCGTGATCCTCGTCCATAATCACAATCAATTGCAGCTGCAGTAGCAGAATCATCAACAAACCGTAAAATTTTCATTCCCGCAAGTTTACCAGCTTCCTCCAATGCTTGTTTTTGTGAGTCGCTAAAATAGCCAGGAATTGTAATTATTGCATCCCCAACTTTTTTATTTAAATAATTTTCGGCTGTCTGCTTCAATTTTAGTAAAATAAAGGAAACAATTTGTGAAGGAGAATAAAGCTTTGATTGAATCTCAATACAAGCATCACCATTAGAAGATTTTACAATTTTGTATGGGATGGTTTTCCTGTAAAAGAAAAATATGTGTAAATTTTCCCCAAATGATCACTTGAACATATTTATGAGGACAAATTTTAAAGTGGAGCAAATTTACTTGTGAGTCATCAAACAAAATGAGAAAAATGTTTATGTTAGAACGAAAGGGCTTTACTTCCGTAAA